ATGCAAGGCTTTGACCATTTCTTTAAACTCTTTCGAAGCTTTGATAGGGTCTCCCTCACCACTAGCATAACGGCTCATTGGAGCAAAAAAGTTAACCGTCGAGTAACCCCATGTGTTAACCTAGCAAAAAAATATTCTTTCAGCTAGTGAAACCACCGGAATTTCCATACGTGAACAACTCAATACCAATTGAAAAAAGTATTAGACACGCAAATTGCTGATTCGTACTTACCATGTGATCTCTAGGATTAGGACGCCTCTGAAGCTCCAATTCATCAAACTCAAAGACTGGCAATAGCTCCACTGCATTTATACCCAGTTCTAGAAGGTGTGGGATCTTTTCAATAGACGAAGAAACGAGTGTGAGATATCAAAGAAGCATTGCACATAAACATATCCTCAGTTTCTGTGATAATAAGCTTTTACAATATACACATTTCGACATTTTATTGGTAGACTACTTATCCCTTTAGCATTTCTTACTATTAGCTCTTGTGCTCATCAGAGGCAAGCATTGATGTGCAGTAAATTTCAGTATCTCAATGTACTTTTGAGGTAGAATATAATTACCTTCTCAATGACACCAAGGTAACTGCCTGCTATAGACGGGTCCGTCCCACTGGATTCATCAGCAGTAAAAGCACGAACATTCATCTCATATATAACAAGATCTTTCTGGAAAAAAAACAGCAGAAGATGATAAAACAAAACTGAGAGAAAATCTAAACACTTCAAAGAAAACAGCAGAAACCATTAGTGCTGCAAAGGAGAAAATGAATTTTTTACCTCAGGGATGTTAGGGAACTTGTAATCATCTCCCCAGTTAAATGGCGAGTTCTCAAAGTCGAAAGTTCCATAAAAGTGAGTAAACTTTTGGCTACTGTCTCCAAATAAGCTTCGGCCTTTAACTAGCTTTGCGTAGGGATCCAAAAGCAGAATGCTCCTGTCAAACCTATGCCCTTGTTTCCATTCTCCAGGACCATCAACATGGTAACCGTAAAGAACATTCTTGAGAGGCAAATCCTATCATAATGGCAAAAATATCACAGCCATGAATAATAAGAAGACAAAAAGATAAATTGTGTGAAGAATTTTCACAGTGTATGATACTACCTCAACACAAATGTGCCAAATATCCCCAGTCTTATTTTTGCAGGGATCCAAAACCAATTCGATCATACCATCATCATCCTTATCACTGGAAAAACAAAATCACCAATAATTAAACAAACCAAGAACATCAACAAACTTCAAAATCAAACTAGACAAAGAGCTATTGCTCATCACACTGAGTGAATACCGCAAAGCATTGAGAGTTTATACCTCTGAGGAAGTGATAAGCAGAGTGTCACAGAAGAAGCGTTCTGAGAAAACAGAGAGAAATTGATTCCGTTGTCGATTTGGGACACACCAAGAGGAGATATCTCACCAGAGGAAACTTTGAAGGATTGTTTAGTAGTATCTGCCATTGAAGATGCTTCTTCCTCTATCACTCGCTCGTGTGCACGACGACAAGTGACGCTAAGTGTTGAACGATCCTTAATCTACCTACGATGGAACAATGAATATCGTGATAATTCGGCGTATAACTATGAAAAAACTAGAACGAGACTGGGGAATTACGAACCTTACGGGAGAAAACTCGACAAATCGGAGCTCCGGTCACTTTCCTGCTCAATTTCAATCTACGAGAGTACGAAATGAAGAATCAGAAGTCTAATTTCGGATTACGAGTTCGAAACAAAGAGATAAGAGCGGGAGTTGACTAACCCCATGGGAATGAAGCCAGTGAAGGCATTAGCGGAGGAGTAGAGCGCCGGAGGAAAATTGGAAGAGAGGGAAGCACAGGAAGAGGAAGGAGAAGAAGGTGAGGCAAGCATCGCTCCTTTGCTTCAATGATCGGAGAGTTTCGAATCTGCTTTGGAGTGAGAGATTCTCTATGTTGCTTCTTCCTTTTTGTTTGTGTAGAAGGAGAAGAAGGTTTGTGATGGGACTTTGGGAGAAAACAAGGAGAATCGTTAATTGAGAGGGTCTGCCACGTGAACGGAAGCCGAGTCCCGTGTATAAGCTTTCATGGGGATTTTCTCGTTTGTCATTTTCCGGGGAAAAATATCTTCTCGCCATTAGAAAGTAACCAAGGAGTGGTCCGTCTAAATTTTAGATTCACCGTTTCCGAAACCGGACCGGATCGGCTGGTTGGACCGGTTCGATTAAAATTGGTTCATTACCCAAAATCGAAGAGGATCAAAGACGGTATAAAGTTCAAATGGAGCAAGCAACAAGATTAATGAATCCCCTTCCCCTTATCAATTTATCATATGTGATTTGATGATCTCTAGCTAGTGATCGTGTTGGTTGTAGGTTTTCTATTAGGAACCTGCAGACATGGAATGCTTGCTTAATGCAATATTAGGGTTGGACCCGCGCCCTGCACGGTGTGATATGTTCTTGATTTAGTTTTATTTTTAGATATCTTTTTACATAAGTATCCTTCTAGAAAAATAGGTAGACAATTAAAAATATGTCAGTTTACATTAGAATTTTTTTTGAGTGATGTATAATTTTTTAGCCTGGATTGAAACATGACGAAATATTAAGTGACACAATTGAATCCACATATAAATCTTTTAATAAGTTTGAAATAGTTTTATATGGCATATATATTTAATATTTTTGAAGTTTGGAAACCTAATAAATCAGTTTTTTTTTACTATGGTTGATCATTATTTGGATCTTTTTTTATCATAGGTTTTTGAACTATCATCCCAAAATATAATCGATATGAGACTTTTAACAATTTTAGAGATTTGCTTCATTTTAAAATTTTCAAATCATAGCATATGCAGAAAAAACTAATTTTATTTTATGAAATATTTTGATGTAATGATATAATTTATTTTTGAAAAGGTAAAGTTAAAAAAATGATAAGATAATAAATTAAATTTTCAACAATTAAAATATAATACAATTGAATAAAACTTTCCATATTTTACTGATTGATTAACTAATAAATACTTTTAAATATATTTATAATTTTCGTCACTATCAAATAAGAAAATAGAAAAAAAAAATTAATTCATAAGTATTTTTTTGATTAAATTAATAATAAATATTTCAGCACTTGACTAATAAAAAGAGGTTATTTTTAGAATATTCTGAGAATGTGGCAAATTGCGACACCTCAGCATGGCATACTTGAAATTAAGTTGAAAACAAAGGGGATTTTTATAAATGTCTTCTCTTTTAATATATATAAGGGATTTGTATTTTTTACAGCTGAAACCATATAGAGGTCAACAAAATCACTACAGCTTCCAGCCTTCCAGTGAAGAAGTCATAAGAAAACATGTATTTTGCGTTTTCTTCATTAGCTAATGTATTGGGTGGGTCGAAGAAGAAAACACACCATTTATTATTGATTTATAGCATGTGTTGTATAAACTAAGTGACATGTGTTGTCTACTCAATTAGCGGACACAATATGTCACGTGTTCCGATCTCATTTTATAACCGAAATATAACAACCATTTAAATTCACAGCAGTATATATTATTTTTATTTTTTTAAATCACGGAAGAATATTAAACAAAATTTGATCAATTTTAAAAATAAGAAAATAATATTAAAAACCGATAACAAATCTCTAAATAAAGATATGTAGTCTTTTACATTTTTATTTTGAATTCTAGAAAGATTTACATGTGTCTAAATCTAATTGACTCATTATTTTATGAAACTTTGATTATTCCATGATGAAATCTTTATTTTTAATATTTTTTACCTAATAAAACATGGAAAATTAAACTATTTAATATTAGAAGATCAGTCCATTATAAAATTTTTTTTTTAATATTATTTAGTTCCTTAATAATTATTTTGTTAGTTTTCTATTTATATTGTTTCTTTTTCAATTTCGTTTTTGCCTCTGACCATTATAAATTTTCATTTTCATTATTAGTTAGTTGTTTTAATATTATTTTGTTAGTTTATTTATTTATGTTACTACATTTTTCCAATTTTCTTGTGTTGACACATGTCATCACTTCATCAAATATTAGACACATGTATCGATCTAAAGTTAAGTATTCTTCATTGATATCTTTAACTTTTAAAGACATGAATTTTATTTCTTAATGAGAAAGAAACTTAAAAAATATAGCTTGTTATATATTGCTTTTTTTTCATTTTCGTAATGGGAATATGTTTTTTTATTCCTTTTCTTATTGGATGTAACATTTTTTAATTATTTCTTCATGTTTTTCTGATTTTCGTTTTTTTCCTTTTCGTAATAGGATTATGTTTTTTCTTTACTTCTCATAATGGATGTAATATTTTTTTTTTTTATTGTTTGTTTTCTGTTTTCTGATTTTTCCTAATGTACTAATAGGATTTTATTCAAATAATTTTAATTTCGATCCAATTGACCTAGAGTCAAATAATCTCCAAGAGACTACAGTAGCTTTCTTTTTATAGTGGGTTCATGTAACCAATTTCATACAAGTTTTAGGATATTTAGTTTACATACCTATTACATGTACTAATAGATTTTTTAAATAGGGGTTTATGTAACATATTCCATACAATTTTAGGATATTTAGTTTACATACCTATTCCATATACTAATAGGAATTTTTTCATTTATTATATTAAATTTCGTTTTTATTATAAGATATTAAAATTTTCTCTTTAAAAAAAAAATTCCTTTTTCCGAAGACATGTGTCACGATCTTAACGGATATAACATTAAAAGTGACACATGTTGCAATCCTATATTTTATAAAAATACTACATGTGGCAACCACGTCGCGCGCATCTAGCTTTATATAATAAAGAAAGATATATGTATATTTCATCATTCAAGTTTCTTTATTGCATTTAAATTAGGGTTTTGAAATATATATACGGGTTTCTGGTGAAGTATCAGAATTCAGAAACAAACAAGTTTGTGAGAAAGTCTTCTTCTGCTGGAAGTAACAACTAACAAGTCCTAAGAATAGAGTATGGAGAATGAAAAGCAGACGAGTTTCACGTTGGAGATAGACAACTTCTCGGAGAAAGAAGCATTGATACAATCACCAAATTTCTTAAGCGGCGGCTGCGAGTGGTAAAAGAAAACATGATGAATTACATCTATTTTTGTTTTGAATTTTAACTCATAATAGTGTTGTCTTCGATATTAGATGAACAACTAAAGCGTTTAGTTAATGTTTCCTTTTTTTACTTTCAGGTTTGTTAACGTTTATCCCAAAGGAAAAGGTATTGACGATCATCTGTCTCTCTTCGTCCATGTTGCCAATCATGAATCATTGCGACTTGGATGGAGAAGACGAGCCATTCTTTCCTTTGTTCTATTGAATCAATCAGGCAAAGAGCTCTACCGAAAAGATGGTAATTAACTCATCTTCCATGTATAAAATTATATATCTGATTGATTAAGAAGAAAAGTATAAATTAATCTTCCTGGTTTTGTCTTACAGATTGGCCGTGCAAATTATTCTGCGCTGAGCTCAGAGCATGGGGTTTTCCAAAGTTCGTGCCTCGTAAACAGCTTCAAGGAAAAGGGTTTTTGGAGAAGAACAAACTGATCGTTAAAGTGGAAATAAAAGTTGTTGAAGTTGTTGATGAAGGCGATGCAACTGGGAATGGGACGTTGGATTACAATGGTTTCCAAGTTCTTCATTCTCAGGTATTATTTGATTATAAGGATGCTTCTTCTTGTTTTCTTGTTTTTTTTGTTTTTTCTTTTCTGCGTAACATAATATGATCATTCATCTTGCTGATAGGTTTTATCAGTGAGCTGGATTTTCGTGAAGTACCCGGACGTTGCAGTAAATGTCAAACAAAAGAACCAACAGCTGAAGACAACATACATGAATATCCTCCTCGATCTTAAGAAGACGCTGGACAAGCATTCACATTGCATCTCCGAGACTGAGCTAAGCAACGCTGGCAGCGACTTGATCGATCTAACGGAAGCAGGATTCAAGCTAGACTGGTTGAAGACAAAGCTTGATGAGGTTTCCTTGGAGAGGAAGAAATCGAATGGTGGTCGAGTCCAAGAACTTGAGAAAGACATCAAGAATCTCAACCTTGAACTGAACAAGGAGAAGGCCACGTCTGCTTCTTCTGCTGCTAAAGTTTCGTCGTTGGAGCACACGGTGTCGGATCTCAAAGATAAGCTGAACATGAAGGAGGCCAAGTCTTGTTCTCCTAAACACTGTCTTTTTCATTCATGGAAAGTAAGAATGGGATTAAGAAAAAGGGTTTCTGCAGGAGAAGAAAAGTATTGTCTCCTTGAGGGAAAAATAGACTAAAAAGACATTTTCTTTAGTGTGTGTATATTTATTTTCTTGGTTTTGTGTTCTTTTATTTTTATCAAGAATTTTCTAGGCTTTTGGAGAAAAGAAGACCTACTAAGCTTTGTTTCCAGATTTCCCTGTTATACCATTTCTCTAAGTTTATGACATGGTTTTGGAGGAAGATGTGTATGCTTGAGTGCAGTCCACCTTCTGCTTGATCAGCATGGTGCTCGATCTGATAAATCAAGGATCCTTCTTCTCTTTGCATAGGCTGACCAGGAGACGTCAAGGCTTTCTCAGGTTGAGGAAAATCATGGAAAGTTGAACCGGAAGCTTGAATCAGATGTTGAGGATTCGCATGTTGAAGCTTCTATCTATGGAGATTTGTATTGGTCTATTGCGGGAGAGTTTGTGAACCAGATTCAGTGTGCAAAAGAAGAGTATGATAGAGAAGCCTCTTAAAGCAAGATTGATCTTGAAGACGCTTGTGTTGAATTCTACATGGCAGAAGAGTATTGCACGGTAATATACAAAGAAGCATTAAAGGAAGCTTAAGCTAGTTGATGTACGATGATGTAATTTCATGAGAAAAATATGTTAGATTTCTTAAACTTTGTTTTAAGCACCCTCCCATTGGAGAAGACAAAACATGTAGTTCTTAAGAAAGGTGCTTAAAACAAATTTTATATTATGATATTAGCTAAGCACCCTATTAAGCATTCTTGCATTGCACATGCTCTAAGGTACGAGAGTTTCTGAATGAAACCGTAACAGCTAAACAGTAATCAATGTAAAAATTCTCATCACTAATCACAGGATCACACCATTGCATCTTACCCCAAATCTCTCCTCCTTGGCGTCTTTCCAAAGCAATCTCGGCACACCAAATATCTCTTGTACCGCAGCCATTAGATTTAAGAAAGAAGATGGCCATTTTCCCACCGTAACTAACTGTCTTGGAGTACCCTATACCAGCCATGTTAGTCTACAAATCTTCCAAACCTTGCACCACACTCCAACGCCTCTGCTTTGGATCATAGGCTCTTAACTTGTTCTCTTTACTATCGTGATAGTACAATATGTCGTCAAAGACACATGCATTCTCCCAGTATTTAGAATCCAGCATCTTGTCGAGTTCCCATTTATTTTGCCTTGGTTCATAAACAAAGCTATTCTTATTATCTTTTATGTAAATCTTATCCTCCATCACCACAACATTAAACGTCCAGCCTAGCTCCACGTCTGGCTTTGTCATCACAGGCTCCCACATGTGAGTTTCTGTATCCAACACCATGACTCTCTTGGGCCACTCACCACCACTCCCGCTCACCTTGTCACACAAACAATCTCTGATTACGTAAATCTTTCCGTCGATCATGCCAGAGACGTTACGATACTCCAGCTTAGGCATGTTCGGTATGGGCCTCAGCGTGTGAGATCTATAGTCGATGCACCGCATAATGTCATCGGTTTTATGATCGTATCTTCCACCTAACACATATATCACTGAATTCACCGCGACATAGCTATCTTGTATAGCTCAGGTGACGCAACGAGAGCTCGGAAACTCTTGGAAACGAGGGAGATACTCGGATAGTAGAATCTCGATACACGTGCTACGATATCAAGGATGACGTCATCTGGAAGTGACGTAATCTGAAACTGCACTAGCTCCGGAGATTGCTCCTCCTTCTGTGCCCTAACTTTGGAAGACATCTCAAATTATGAATCACCGAGCTAGAGAGTAAAGCGCAAACCCTTTTAATTCATATCTATAGCTTGGACGTTGAATATCAAATCAGAAATAGATGATTGAGTTTCACACAATCCCAAATCTTCTCGAGCTTTGGTTTGTGACCTCTCTCTCTCTTTCTCTCTCTCTATTGACCTAATCCGAAGGACACATTTTAATAAATAAACCGTTAATTAAATGTCCATCTATTTTAAATCCCAAAAGGCCCTAAAGTACTGCAACATCGATAAATTTGAGGAACTTTTCAGTAATGCATTTTGAGCGTGTTTTAATTGAGTTTGACACAATTATTGATTGTGCATGCTTCTTATTAGTTTGTAAGAGAGTTTCGGCTAAAGTGGTTCGAGCTAAGTGACTAAGTCTCGGGTCTAACTTTGAGGGTTGGTCTCAGGCTCTCAGCCTATACACGATTAAGAAGAACTTATTTAATTTTATAATTTTTTCCCAAAACAAAACTATGTTTTATAATAAACTCTAAAACAATTCAACCAATCAATAAACAATCTGCCATATGAAAAAGTAAAAAAACAACAAAACACATTTAATTTTGCATTGATAATTGAAAACATCAAACAAAGTAAAACAAACAAATATCGAAAACAACTCTTTTGATGAAGTCTAATGAATTCATGTTTTTAGCTTATGTGGCGTTTGGTCTAGCTTGGTTTCCACAAGTTCCTTAGCATAGAGAAGAGAGAGTCTAGTGGAATAGTCATCTTAGATCAATTAGTAACTTCATTTATATGTGTGAATTGGCTTTCATGTGGCGCTGTGTAAACAACTTTGATGCTTTCATTGATCAGTATGGCGTGAATATTGTTGGAAGAGACGAGTTCATGAGTAAGGAGTCCATAAAGCACGTGTGAGAGTTTGGAATTAGGGATCAAATATCTTGCCCTCAAACACCACAGCAAAATAGGCTAGCTGATATACATATACTCATATTTTAAGCTTATATGTTTTTCTTATATTTTTATGAATTAGTAGATTAGAGTTCGCGTATGCTGAGTTGTGCAAAGTAATTACAGAAAAAAAATTTCTAAAGAAAACATGATCACTCTTAAAAGTAAATAACTTCAAATTGAGAACATTAATAAAAAATAAAGTAAGATAGTTGTCTTCTTTGAAGTAATTGCCTGGCGCCATTTTAAATTAAGTTCACCTCAAGAGCACACCAATGCACCTCACCGAAAATCTCTCCTCCTCGGCGTCTATCTACAGAAATATAAGCACAACAAATTTGTATTTTTGCCTTGAGGTAGTCATGACGTTTAGGAAAGAAGATAGCCAATTTCCCATCGTAACTCTCCGTTCTCGACCACCACGAACCGGCCGTCATAGACGACAGTTCTTCCAAACCTTTCACCACTTTCCAACACCTCTGATTCGGAACAAACGCTCTTAGCTTGGTCTCGTTAACATCGTAATGGTACAATACGTTGTCGTTGCAGCCTAACAAGGATCGCTGCTTGTATAGCTTAGAGGATGCAACCATCGACCGGAAACTCTTGCACACGAGAGAGATAGCCGCGTAATAGCATCTCGGTACACGTGCTAAGACATCATAGATGATGTCATCTGGAAGTGAATCAAGTGATGGCGGCGGCTCCAGTGATGGCTCATTCTCTGCCCTAACTTTGGAAAACATCTGATTGAGTTTATCCTCAAAATCAAATCACCGAGAGAGCAAGAGAGAGGAAAACTCAAATCCTTAACTCCTGATTATCTATACAGCTCGGGTTGAATCTCCAACTTTAGTTTGTGAATCGTGATCTCTCTCGCTCTATGGACTAGGGTTTTCAAACTAGCTAATATCTCCTGTGTGTAATAATGAAAAAATATATCTAAATATATTAAAAAAAATTAAAAGGGCAATGTTGAATTTTAAAAAGCATGCATTGAGCACATGCCGGTATAAAAAATTGTATCCCACAGACTAAAAATTATAGCATACAGAAAATATGGTTCGTGAATTACTTGTAATTTTTTAAAACATTATTATCTAATTTACTAATTATTTAGTAAATATTATTAAAGTTTTGAAATGTTAGGATATAAAGTTAGTATTTTATTTTGACTAGGTACTATTAAAAAATATTATTTTATAAATTTAAAATAATATCTTATTATATAAAGCTGGATGCGCGGGACGTGGTTGCCACACGTAGAATTTTTATAATTTACAGGATCCGATGTGTCCCTTTTAATGTTACGTTCGCTAAGATTGTAACACGTGTTTTGGAATTGAAAAAGAAAAAATATTAGAAAAGGAATTTTTAATCTACTATAATATTAAAAAAAAATTATAATTGTGTGATAACATCTAAAATCTAAATATGTGCTTCCATATGTTGTTTTTATATCTCTAATTGTGTGCTTCCATCTTTTTTATAATAAAAAATCATGTTTTCAAAAGTTCAAAAAACAATAAAGATTATTTGACTCTATTATTATATGATTATTACTCTTTATTAGTGGAACTAAAATATATTATGTTATTCAAAGATTTTTTATCAGGTTTTTAATATTATTTTACTTACATTTAAAAGTAATAATATTTTGTTTATTATTTTTTTCCGTAAATTGTTTGATAAATCTGGCGTATACACGGGACCTTATCTATTTACATATATAAATGACAATAAAAAACAAAATAAAAATAATAATATGCGGTGTAGTGAGAAATATTTTCGTAATTTGCCGAAATTTAGGCCAAAACTAAAAACCGAAATTACGAATCAGTCATCCTGTTCTTTTTATTTCTTCATTTGTTACCAAAAAATGTTAGGTTTGTATAACGCTTTTTTAACCCAGTGAGAAACGATGTGAAATCAATAGGACCCATATGATTGGCAGATTTGGATAACAAAGAATCTGCAAGTGTATCCTTCACAAAACACACTCTCCATTTTCTTCAGACATTATCTCTCTCGCTGAAACCAGAAATGGGAGGAGTTTCTTTCCTCTCCACTGTTCCTTCCTTCACCAACATCAACAATCTTCAACACCTCACACTCGCTTCTTCCCATCGCTCCGTGAGTTTCAAGTTTCAACCATTTCACTTATCCTCATACCACATTCTTATTGTATTTCCCTTTTGATCATCATCAGGGTCTCATTCGATGCTGCAAGACCGATCCGCAAGTCTCCGGCGAAAGTTTACCTTTCCACCGGCGGGATGTTCTCAAACTCGCCGGCACCGCCGTCGGAATGGTACCATAATCTTGGATTTTATAGAGTTCTTGCTCTGATTCAGTGATTCTTGATGCATCATGTTGATGTCTCTGTTACATTTTGCTTTAAAAGATGAATAAATGGGATATATATAATATGATTGATGAGTTCTTGGCAGTGATGAATCTCTCTTGTTAGGAGTTAATAGGAAACGGCTTCATTAACCATGTGGGTGATGCAAAAGCTGCTGACTTGAATCAGCGTAGACAGCGATCCGAGTTCCAATGTAAGTTTTTTCTGAAACAGACTCATGTAAACACAGTTACTTTTGACAGTAAAAGGTTTCATTTTTAATGATGCAGCAAAGATCAAGCTTGCTCTTTCTAAAACCATCAAGAGTAAACCAGAGCTTGTACCTTCCATACTCACTCTAGCACTCAATGATGCTATGACTTATGATAAGGTCAGGCTTCTTATATCCATCTTCTATTGTGATTGCGCAATTCTTGACAAAATTGCATTGGTTTTCACAGGCTTCGAAATCCGGAGGAGCCAATGGATCCATACGGTTCAGGTACTTGTTGCTCTTGAAATGTTAGGTTTGTATGCAAAGAGAAACCTTAGGGTTTAATCTTTATCTTTTATGTGTAGCGCTGAGATAAGCAGACCGGAGAACGCAGGGCTTTCGGATGGTTTGGCTCTGGTAGAGGAAGCAAAGAAAGAGATTGACTCTTTCTCAAAAGGTGGACCTATTTCGTATGCAGATCTCATTCAATTAGCAGGTGATGATGATGATGAATGTAGCATATACCAATTACCAAAGCTTGTTCATGAACAGTGTGAAACTGAAATCTTTTTCTGGGTCTTCGGTTATGCAGGTCAATCAGCGGTCAAGTATACCTATTTAGCATCAGCGATCCGGAAATGCGGTGGAAACGAAGAGAAAGGGAACTTACTCTACACAGCATATGGTTCGAGTGGTCAGGTACACAATGGTTACTCACTTTTGTGTACACAATGTTCGTATGGAAACTGACTTGTGTGAGTCTCTGTAGTGGGCTTTGTTTGATAGACAATTCGGAAGGAGTGATGCAACAGAGCCTGATCCAGAAGGTAGGATCCCACTGTGGGGCAAAGCAACTGTGCAAGAGATGAAAGATAAGTTCATTGCCATCGGATTAGGACCTCGTCAGGTATGTACATGGTTTTTCTTGTTTAAAGATTCGGTTATCGGATAACCGCTACTAACCGATGTTTCGGGGGATTTGTAGCTTGCTGTAATGTCTGCATTCTTGGGTCCTGATCAAGCCGCAACAGAGCAGCTACTAGCTACTGACCCGCAAGTAGCACCGTGGGTTCAGAAGTACCAACAAAGCCGTGAAACTGTATCTCAGACAGATTACGAGGTTTGGTTTGGTTTCTCCTTGATTTCTACTGTTTAAAAACTCAAAATCATGTTTTGATTTACAGAAACTTTAACATGTTTACAGGTTGATCTGATAACTGCATTGACAAAGCTGAGTGGTCTAGGACAGCAAATCAACTATGAGGCATACACATATCCTGTCGAGAGGATCAACCTAAGCAAACTCAAGCTATGAGGATTAGCGTAATGCGAGTTTAAGCCATTGTACACTATTATATGTACAAATCTGAGCAAACTTGACTTGAACACATTCTGCAATTGATTGCTTAAATGAAGAATTACGAAAATGCAAGCCATTGATAAGAACAAAGGTGAATTCAATACAAACCGAGAGATGAAGAGTCAAATCACAAGAAAATAATAACAAGAATCCACGATTTAAGAAGAGCAAACAAGGACAAGAATTAAACAGCCTTAGAAGCTTCGGGATAGGGAAAGGAAAATCAGAAACCAACACAGAAAGAAACTTCTCCAATGAAAAACACATTAATGGAGAAACAATAGTGAAGAAGCCGCAAGACGACGACTTAGGATTGTTGCTCTTCTTCAGCAGGCTTTGCCGCTGCTGCTGGTGCTGGTGCTGCTTCTTTCATGATATCATCATCCTCCTGATTCAAATGTTTGACAATCATACATAATCAGAAACCGAACGCATCAATATGAACTAAACCATCCATAGGCATTGTGAATTCAGAAATCAAGCAACGAAACAAGAGTCACTAACATTGATTCAAAATACTGAACCATTTGAGTAAATGGAAAGTGGAAGGAATCAAGAACGTAACCTAAACCATTTGATTTCAGAAATCAAGCAGCAAAACAAGAAAAGGGTCAGAGTATGATCATACCTGCATATCAGAGGTCCAGAGAGTGAGGTTATCACGAAGAAGCTGCATGATCAAAGTGCTGTCCTTGTATGATTCTTCACCAAGAGTATCCAACTCAGCAATTGCTTCATCAAAAGCCTGTTGAAATCCATTTACGAAACTCGTCAACAACACACGCACAAACAAACAATCAGCAGTATCATCATCAATGGAAGGAAATGTTGATGGTAGAGAAGCAAATACCTGCTTAGCGAGATTGCAAGCACGATCTGGAGAATTGAGAATCTCATAGTAAAACACAGAGAAATTCAACGCAAGACCAAGACGAATCGGATGTGTTGGAGCCAATTCGGAATTAGCAATATCCTGCACAAAATTTACAAAAACCCTAAGATCCCAAAATCAGAATCAAAGTCAAATCAACCAGATCGGAGGAAAAAATAAGAACCTGAGCAGCTTTGTAAGCAGTGAGGGTATGTTCAGCAGCGTCTTTCCTCTCTTGGCTAGTTTTGAACTCAGCCAAGTACCGATGGTAATCTCCTTTCATTTTCAGGTAGAAAACCTTGGAATCTCCGGAAGCAGCGGCGGGGATGAGCACGGTGTCGAGCAATTTGAGGATACCGTCGCAGATGTCGGAGAGCTCGGTTTCGATTTTGCTTCGGTAGTCGCGGATCAGGGAGACGTGGTCGTCGTTGCCGCGGCTCTCTTCCTTCTGCTCGATCGAGGAGATGATCCTCCACGAGGCGCGGCGAGCTCCGATCACGTTTTTGTAAGCGACGGAGAGGAGGTTGCGCTCCTCGACGGTGAGTTCGTCCTTGTCGACGGCTTTCGCGACTTTCTCCATGAATTCGACCATTTCTTCGTAACGCTCGGCTTGCTCAGCGAGTTTCGCCATGTAGACGAACTCTTCCCTGGCCGACGAAGACGCTGGTGCCGCCATTGTTTATTTAGATCGGGAAGATGAAAGGTTTCAGATCTGCGAGAGAACGAAAACGAGAGAGAGAGACTTTTTTTGTGTGTTCTTTCTCGGCTCTGGAGTTTTTTTTTTTTGCTTTTATTGCGACTTCTTTTATTTTTTAGGGGATTTTTGTTTTTTGTTTTTGTTTTTAATGAATGAGTGGGGAGCGACGATTGCGTTGTGAGATGAAAGGAGAGCCGTTGGATTGAATGTGAATAGAAGAAAGGGTAAAGCTGGCAAGAACACGGATTCGTGGAATTAAAAAAAAAAAAAGCCGCTGGCTTTTCAGATACTTTTTAGGTCAGTTTGAATTTTTCGGAAAGTTTCAAAGGGTATTTTTGGCAATTCGTAGTTTAAATGGGCTTGGACTTTTATAAGGCCTAATGAATTGGGCCTATATATATGCGTTGGCTTGGCCTACGAATTCATACTGTTGATCTGGTCCAGATTCTCAGTCAACAAAAAGTGTATGTAGCTTGAGAAGATGCATGTTGTCCAAAGCTAGAGGTTTTCATTTGGAAAAACCATTATGAATTGTTGTGATTTGAATATGTAAATTCTAACCAAAGACCTTTGTAGCTAGCAAACTAGGTTAAAAGGTAAATTGTTAGTTACTGATTGGATCAATGAAGCTGTGAAATTTTGATCTTGATTACAGTTTTATACTACAAGTTACCAATAAGTAAAAGAGATGCAAGTTGTTCAAAAAAAAAAAAAAAGTAAAAGAGATGCAAATAAAAGTAGACAGAGACATCATTTCTATTAAATGAATGAAAGACAGAAAACTACACAAAAATAAAAGCTTTTATGTGAAGGGACCCCATCTCATTTGAATTCTTCCTCAATAGCTTTGTCCTTTTTACTTCTTTCACTTCTTTTTGTTTCTTATACATCAACTTGACATCTCCAATTCTTTACATACACACACACACTAGATATATATGATATATAAAACATCACTATAAGTAAAGAAAAAACATTACAGCAATGAACCGGCCCGGTTTAGATTAGAAAAAAAAAAAACACAAAGAAGCCACACAAGTCTCAAGCAACCATACATAGATCCAAGACACATAAGAGGAGGCTTAAAACCAGTCCTAGAGAGTTTCAAACATAAACAAGACCTGGTTTCATGGAGATGGCGGCCAAAGATGTGGTTCCATGTCAATATTCAAGCTCTCAGCGTAAAAGTTATCATCCCAACCATGCTCAAACTCATCTTCATAGAACTCACCCATCTCACCATCTTCAAGAAACTCCCAAGCCAAGTAATCAGACCCATCCGAGAAATAATCAGAGCAGCAATCCTCCCAATCGTTTATCATATCGTAGAAACCGATCACGCGTGGGCCCAACACTTTCAAAGCCGGAAACTTCTCCTTGAAGAACTTGTTATCTAGCTGCACGTCCCAACACCCTCTAAGCTCCAAGAACTCGAGAGAAACGCAGCAAGACAAGATCTTTAACACTCCTTCCGTGCTGACTCTGTGGTACGCGATCTCTAACCGCTTCAGCTTCGGCATTGTGCTGGCGATCGCGTAAGCCTCGTCGTCGTGTGAGACCACACTCGCTACGTCCAGTGGATGCATGTTTCTGCAGAACTCTATCAGGAGTTTACAGTGTTTGCCTATGGCTTGTATCGCCTCTGGACCTACTTTGCAGCAATAGCTCAAGTCCAAGAATGTGAGAGACGAAAGCTTCTCAGCTACGTTTACCACACCTGAATTGCTTAGACCACTTCTTGGCACCTTCAAGGTCTTAAGTGAACCAGCACTTACAGAGAAACAAGGAAACATAAAAAAGTATAAGTCAGATACAAAAGCAATGAACTTTGGCATCAAAATCTCATCCAAATACTAACTAGATTCCAACATTCCAGATAAAGCAGAGATTTTTAGAAATTCAACTACTTACTGCTACATAAACTACTTAAAGGTTACAGCTTTAAGAATGAAAGGAGAAAACTTTGGGAAATTGAAACTCACTGTTGAGCAATGAAGGAGAAGATGGAGTCATTTTGAAGACCAGTGACGGAGAGTTTCCGCAAAGAACCAGAGCTTCTATGGATCAACATCTGAAGCATTCGATCGAGATGATCGGACTGGTGGCAACGGTTACTCCACAGCTCAATGTCTATCTCTTGCCAGCAATAAGGTCCAGTGACAGCTCTGTTCCATGCTTTGCAAACCCTAGGCACCACTGTTAAGACTTCTTGAAGAGGTAAGTAGCTGAAGATCAAGCCGAGAGCGTCTGGGATTAGTTCATCCCAATTTGGAAACTTGCAATCTTCTTCCATCTACAGAGTTTTCTGCTGTTTCACATAAATGAAAACAGGGAATGATCACAAACTTATGTATTTGAGGACCTTATAAACAGAAAGGCTGTAACTTTTTGTAAGAAAGCAATCACAAAAATTTCATCTTTTTATCAAGATCCAAGCAGAGAAGAGACATAAATGGAGAAATCTCAAAGATCTAGCAAACCCAGATGAACAAAGAAACTAAACTACTTACTCAGCAGCTTTCCACAGCAGAAAAGATCAGAAAACAGAGATCTGAAAGAAAAATAGTTTTAAGAGCTCAAGAACCAGTGAATTTGAAGCAGAAGCAGAGAAGTTACTAGAATTGGAAAGACAACTAGTAAAAGAAAACAAAAGGAAGACACTTTCTCTCACCCCAAAAACTATAATCAACAAGTGATTGAAACTCTAAGCTTAGAAGAAAAAACAAGACAATTTAAGAAAAAAATGAAACAGCTTTATTCACCAGGAATTCTCTGCAGCTCCCAAATTTTCTTCTCCCGGTTTGGATTAGAGTAAATAAGTTCACCGTTTCTCCGCCACAGAAAGCTTGGGTAAGAGAGAGAGAGAGAAGTAAGAGAAAGAGGAGAGAGAGAGAGAGAGATCTGATTCACCTAACGAAAGAGAGAATCAACAATTTACAACCAAACAACAAGAACAAAGCAACAACAGTAAAAACCCAGCGAGTAAATTCTATGACAACAACAACAAAAGGGGTCCCTCAAGAAGAAATCAATTATTTAAAACAGAGGAGGAAAAAAAAAAAGTAGAAATTGTAACATTTTGCAACATATAAATGGAAGAACAAAATAAACCAGAAATAGTTTTTTTTTCTTTTTCTTTTATTACCTTTAATTCCTCAATAAGCAAGAAAAAAGAGAAACCCTTTTTACACGATTCCGTACCACACAACCCAATCTCTGATCACAGAATCTAAAAAAAACTTTTCTGTAATTCTCCAACCAACAAAAAAAAAAACCTTTTTTCTTACATCATCTCTCGGGAAAACGCGTATTAATTAGATTAAAAAGTTATAAAGTTTTGATTTTTTAAATCGAAATTGATGGATATAGGTGCCGTGGAAATTGGGTATATAACTGTTACCATGTGTGTGTGTGTGTGTGGCACTTTGACATAATTGCAGTGCAGAGAATAGAGAGTTACTTCTGAGTGAAACATACGGACACGTGCCGGTTAAAGTACCGGAAGATAGTCTACACGTGTCTGTAGATGCTGCTGTGGGGTCTCTGCCGACGTTGACTTGTTGACTATTTCCTCGAGTTCAGACTTCAATTATCTAGCTAGCTAAAGATGAATATTTTATAGATTTTTGAGAGACCAAAGAGTAAAAGCTTAATGAATACGAGAATCAAAGCCAATATCGAACACAAATGTTTCCACATTTACGTTTTTAATTCAATATTTGCACCATGTGGTTCCTAATTGTTGTACAAAATGTGATTGACACCTTACATCTACTTCAATAGTTATGTTTGAATTGATTTCAGGTTGAACAAGCACAAATTTTACAAACGGTGTGTTCGTAATTTAGTGGTTTTGAGTCTTGACTCTTGACCCTTGGTTTTTAACATTTTCCTTATCTTTTTCTTGCATTTTTCCATTTTAACATGTAAGAGTTTTGCATTGTGATCGTATCTTTAGGATTTTGGTTAAGTTTAAGTTCTTTTATTGGCTACTTGGAGACTTGGAGTACCTTGGAACATGTCTTATAAAGAAGAGTGATATGGGTCAATGCCAATGAAAGTTCAAAAAATTAAGAAACTACCAACTGAGTGTTTGTAAATTAGATAACTAGGAAAGAGAAATAAAAATTATAACCTTTATTATCCTTTTTATTTTGCTTAACTACAAAAATGCCACTGATCTGAAACTGTTCATAAGCCACTGTGTGATACTGTTCATCAGCCGGGTACACTATTCATATAAACTTGTCAATACTATTCATCCGAAGATAACTATTCAATTATCTTGCTAAGAAAATAATATTTTAGATATTAATAAAATAGTAGAACCAGCTTGTTAACTTGATTAATATTTTATGAACATGTTACCGTGTTAAACTAGTTATTGTTAAATAAAACGATCATTTTTTATGTTAACACAATTAGCATATCAAAAACTTATTATGCTAATCAAATTACCGTATTAACAAAAAATATACATGAATATCAACATGTTAATTTACACTATATTTCTCGTGTTAACATAGTTATCATGTAAAACAATTATCGTGTTAACTAGTTAGCATAATATAAAATACAAAATATTGATGTTAACATATTTAGCATATCGAAAAAATTACTGTGTTAATCAAATTATCATACTAAAAAAATATAAACATGTTAAATCACATATTAATTTTTATGTTAACATAATTATCATATCAAAAAATTATTAACGTAATCAAGTTATCATATTTTAGAAAATACCAAAATATACAATAAGAAAATTAACTCGTTAGTATGATAATTTGATTAACATTTTCTGAGTTACCGTGTAAACTATTATCATATCATAAAAAATTTAAATTATACTGCTAATTCAATTACATTACTCACCGTTAACAACGTTACCGCCTTCGCAGCAGTCACCACCAGCTTCTTCTTCCTCCGCCTCCTCCTTCATCGTCTTACTTCCACTCTCCATATTCAACTCAATCGACTTCAAATCACTCTCCTCATCATCATTATCAGAACCATCCATAATCATCATCATAACCATCTATACCCTCCAACATCCAACGAATCTCCGACGGCTATTTCTGCTCTTGACTATCCAAAACCCGCTGGAACTCTTTCCTCGGCTGCTCCACGGCGGCGGGCTTCTCATCGATCTCAAATTATGACTCCATAAGCTTCATATGAACATCAACTATGCATCATCCCTCTCTTTCTCCATCTCTTTCTTATCATCTCCGATCCTCTTGCGAGTACATCACAACCCTCTTCAAGAACATCCGCTCTCTTTTCTCTCTCCATTTTTTCCTTCATCTTCCTTTTCGTAATTAAAGAGAAGAGAGAGAGGAACTTTATCTCCAATTTTCAGTCTTTCTTCAGCCGTCTCAGCCGCATGAAAGAGAAAGATAGCACAAACAAAATTAATTGAGAAATAAATAAATGTGTGGGTATAAGTGGAATTTCTTTACTGAACATGTGGAGTAGCACAGTACCCAAATGTGTCAGTTAATTTACAAAGTTTTGATGTGTAGTTTGTGGTATTACTCTATAAAAAATGACAAGAAAGATAAAAGAATAAATGAGAAAGGCGAAAACAAGAGGAACTTTATCTCCAATTTTCAGTCTTTCTTCAGCCGTCTCAGCCGCATGAAAGAGAAAGATAGCACAAACAAAATTAATTGAGAAATAAATAAATGTGTGGGTATAAGTGGAATTTCTTTACTGAACATGTGGAGTAGCACAGTACCCAAATGTGTCAGTTAATTTACAAAGTTTTGATGTGTAGTTTGTGGTATTACTCTATAAAAAATGACAAGAAAGATAAAAGAATAAATGAGAAAGGCGAAAACAAGGAAACAATATACTCCCTCTGTTTCAAATTAGTTGTCGTTTTGACAAAATGTATCTGCAAATATTTAGACGTATCTGGACGTGTATTGCATTGCAGACACGTCCAAATATTTGCAGATAGATTTTGCCAAAACGACAACTAATTTGAAACGAAAGGAGTATATATTTTTTAATTATTATTATAAAGACCCAAACCGGGTAATGGAGCTGGTTACATAAGATTGTACAAAAAGATAAATTGAACCGAACCGAAATTGAAACCTTAGTTAGTGAACCGGAGACTCTTCGAAACATGTGAGAAAAAGATTCCATCTTCTTCCGCCTCCCATCTACCTCACCGGCGGCTGTAAGAGAGAAACCTTGCGGTCGCTGCTTACCCGTCGTCAACAGCCGGAGAGCCGACTCCAGCCGCCAAGTCCGAGCCGGCAAGCAACCTGATCCCAGCCCCTCTCTTCCGATGGCCTCAAGTAGTAGGAAGAAGAACTCAGCCAATAACCGAAATACACCACCGCAAAGAACGTAAAATGAACTAGAAACTTTGAACTGGATCTCCAATAACAACAACTAGGCAACAAAATCACCGATTCCGCCAACTGAAACCTCGATCCGGTAAAAGAGAAGAAGCAATCCGACAAGAGAATAGTCTTACCCACTCACGATCGCCGAGACTGCAAGACCGCAGGATTGGAACCGACCACCGCAGCACCTCCTTCACATGTGATGCCACCCACCAGACCAGAACCGTGATTTCCGCCACAGGCTGCAACTTCCAAACCGCCGCCGAGACTTCTCTTCCCTGCTCCCCTCGCTGCCGCCCTCAAAACAGCTCCGGAGCTAGAAAGAAAAGCAAATCGCTTCACACCGGAATTCCGCCGCAGCTCCGCCTCACCGCACTTGTTGAACCACGCCTCAGCACCACCGGAGAAGAGACAGTCGGTTCTCCGACAAACCTCAGCAACCTGCATCCTTCATTAAGACTGAACGAGAAACAAGAAGCCTCCCTCTCCCGTTGCCGGTAAAGAAACCGGACGACAGAGAAGGGGGGAACCAGATCTACTTTTTTCTCTATCTAGACTTTCTCTCTCTTCAACTTTCTATCTCTCGTTTTTGGGATTTTTCCAGGAAACAATATATATTTTAAGGTGTTGATTGGTTCCCCTGCTACCACAAACGCAGCGTTTGCGGGTAGTAGCGGTTATTGGCGTTTGACAACAATCACCACAAACGCTTTATACCGCTTTCAAACCGCTCAAGATCCCTCAAAATCAAAAGCTCCTTCCCAAGCGTTTGCGGTTGCGGGCGGTTGCGGGTGGATAATTAAAAAAAAAAAAAAACACAAACTTATATAAAATCCGAAAATAAATAATAATATTTATTAAAAAATAAGATTTGGATAATAAAATCACAATATAAATAAAAAATTAGTACTTTTAGTCAATATTCATTAAAATCATATAATACTTATATATTTATAAGTTCTACAAATCAAAATTCTCTTGATAAATATTCTTTTCATACTAATACATATATATCTAATAAATAAAATTGTAAATAAATTTAATTTTCACATTAAATATATATTTTGAAAATAAAATCACATTTTTATTTAAATTATAGAAATTAAAAGATAGACGTAAGTATTATACACATATTATTCTTTATAAAAAAATTATTTTTAATTATGTTGAACCATAAATTTAAAATTTTCATTATAATATAGTTTTGATATTTTTATAATTATATAATGTGTTTATATTATTAATTTATTGTTTAACCGCTATTGCATCCGCAAGTGAACCAGTCATAAGTATCCCGCAAACGCATCCATTTTCAATTGTTATGCCAGTCGTACAAACCGCTTAATAACGCTACTAATCACAACCGCCCGCTTCCGCAAACTCGCACCCGCAACCGCAACCACAGCGGTTAAAGCAATCAAGCCCTAAATAGAAGAGCCATAGGCCAGCCATTCGACCACCTGACCAAACCATCAACTACCATGAACAAGAGACTGGTAAAGAATCATATACCAAATGAAGCTTCTGTCAAAACTCAAAACCAAGGAAGAAGAAACCGTGATGGACTGAAACTGAGCTTATGAGTTATGACGTGTGTTGCAAGGACAAATGTTGAAGAGGAGTAATGTGAAACATAAGTTTAAGGCTGATTTTCATATAAAGGTAACAACGCTGGTGTCGCTCGGCTACATTTTTCACCGCTTGCAACGTAGCCAGAGAAAAACTCTACGTAATAAGTTTAGAAGATTTTGTTACATGTGTTTGTGGATGAGCTCTATAAAAAAGGATAGTGAGAGTAAATCATCTCTGTACAATCTTACATATATATTAAGACTTAGTCTTCTTCTATGGACCTGATTGGTTGTGTTAGTAGCTTTGGATTTTTTGCTGTAAAATTTAGTCTGTAGATTTTTTGGTTGTGGCTATAGATTTTAGTGCTGTAGATTTTATATTATAAATAATTTCTTATAAAATATCATAAATGTAGCATTAAAAATAAATAAAAGAGATATAAGAAATAAACATTAAAAAATGACTATAGAGAATGAGATTAAAGAATGAGAAGAAAGAGAATTCTCATAGTCCTTAAATTTATGCTCTGAAAAATCTGCTCTCCAGAGCCAAAATATTTTCATATTTAAAATTATGGCTCTGAACTTAAACAACTGAAATCAAAGCTACATTAGTTTAACACTAGTGCTCTAGAAAAAATTATTGCTTCACATAAACACTTACCAATCACGCCATTTGTCTTTCTTTTTTTTCTGCCAGCAAATAGTCATATCTCTATATCTCATGTTTATTAATTTCAAAGTCAATACAAAGACTCTTCTTTATGTATCCCTACGCTCCTCATTCTAAACCTCACGTTTTAGATTTTAATTGGTATAAATACATATTCATATGTATAACTTTCTCACCTACAACTACGGCAAAAATATACAGGAACATGAAGAGATGGTTGATTGCTTTGTGTTTGGTGATCGTCATAGTGGTTTCTATCTTTTGCGGCATCGACGTACCCATACCAATCCCGCAATATTTGTAAGTCCCAATATCTATCATCCGATCTAAACCATCTAGTTTTTACTTTTTATATGACTAACATCAATTTCTCTAACAGTTGTAACAGAAGAAGCACCACCGAATAAGTCAAGACCGGCGCACCAACATTGATATTGCTGATAAGTTTAAAAGGTTTGATTACATGTGTTTGTGGATGAGCATTTTAAACATGAATAGTGACTAAATCATCTTTGTACAATCATACATATTAAGACCTAGTCTTCTTCTTTGTCTTTCTTCATATCTCTATATTTTATGTTTATTTCAAAGTCAATTCACGCGCCAATTGAATGTCATTATAAGATAAATTGTTTTTTCTCTCCGTAGCTTCTTTTAATCATCAATCTTCGTGAACTATAAGAAATTATTATCTATGGGAAAGACTTTGTAAAAGCTAGATGAAGTCATTCAAAAGCTGCATCTGATTAGTTTTTGATATATGGTTAAACTTAGTCACTGTTTAATTCATATAAATACACACATATACATATGTTCACAAGGTAAAAAGCCATATTATTTTACGTCGAAGACTCTTCATCAGGTCAGATTATATGGTCTCTACACGCTCCCTCGTTCTAAACTCGCCTTTTAGCTTCTAATTGGTATAAATACATATGTACAACTTTCTCACCTACAACTACAAACAAAAAAAACAGGAACATGAAGAGATGGTTGATTGATTTGTGTTTGGTCATCTTCATATATAGTGGTTTATATCTTATGCAGCATCGACGTACCCATACCAATATTTGTAAGTAGTCCCAATATCTATCATCCGATCTAAACCATATAGTTTTCACTTTGTATATGACGAACATCAACTTCTCTAACAGTTGTTTTTTTTTTTTTTTTTTTTAATGTTAGTTTCTCTAACAGTTGTAATAGAAACACCACCGAATAAGTCAAGACCGGCGCACCAACATTATATTGATGTTGCTGGTTAGACAAAAGCTGCCGGAAAAAGAACTGGCAGTCGTGGCACCTATAAGTAGATGGACCAATCTTCTAAAGTTATACTGTATATTACTATTTATATGTAATTTGAAAAAAGTTCCCAAAAATAAATGAGCTAAAACAAAATTGTTCTGAAATTATTACCTTTTATTTATAGAAAAAAAAAACCCATGCATGGTTAAATTTTTTTTTCCGACAGTGAAACCATTTAAGTGAAAAACTAGAAAAGTCCGCATAAAAGATGGTTTCCTATGACAGGTTCCTCGCAATCTGATCTTTGTCAACTCTATCCAAAGCGGGATTTGAGGGCATATGACGATGATCCATTTGGATGGAGCCCCATTTTTATGGGACCTTTTAAAAAAAAACAAATTTTACATGTTAGATACGTTTTGATGTTAACAGAAAAGACGTTCGAGATAATATAATAACAAACGTATTGGGTAACTAAAATATTAAATGTAATGAAAATATTATATAAGAAAGATATTGAAAGGAAAAATGTGAGTTTTGTTCAGTTTTCTTTAAGGAAGAAGAGTGAGTTAATTTATTTATAAGATGAATTGTTAGATCAAATTTAACCATATAATATTTATCAATTATGCTTTTACCAACAAAACTAGAAAATCATATGATTTAATTAAGTAGGAAACAAAAAAGAACATAGTATATAGCTAGCCAAGTTACAAAACGTGGAAAAAATTATTTTTCTATGGAAAATGCAAAAGACATTTTCCCTTCCTTTGGGTTTCTCTTTCAGTCCTTCTTGTCGATCCCTTTCTTTCTATTTCTTCGAGTGTGTATTATTTTATTATTATTTTTTTTTTGTTAAAAGGTTCTCTTCGAGTGTGTATTTGTTATGAATCTCGACGAGAATGATCAACGAAGAATGTTTCTAAAGTTATTGTCACCAAAAAAGGTTTATTTGTCTTTTTTTTTATTAGTCGCCGCTAGTATACAAATTCGTTGACTTTGATAATTCTTAGATTTTGAAAAGATTTACGAATTGATGGAAATTAATCGAGTATAACAAGCACATCGATCGTAAACTAATTGAGTCTTACGAAGCACATTACCGACATGTTAACAAGTTGGAAAAATGAAGATATTTGTCTGCATCGAAGACACTTCTTCATGCATGTATCCACGTGGTCCCTCATTCTAAACCTCACGTTTTTGCTATTTAATTGGTATAAATACACATACATTCACTTACTACACAACAAAGATAGAAGAAAATGAAGAGAAACGTGTGGCTGATTGCTTTGTTTTTGGTTCTCTATTTGGTGGTTTCATCTTATGCAGATTCGACTCAGCTATACCAAACCCGCAGAATTTGTAAGTATAGTTCCAATATATATCATTTGATTTGCACCTTGTTTTTTCTTTTTTATATATGAATTCAATCTCTCTATCAGTGGCCACGGTAGAAACACCACCTAGCACGTCAAGACGGGCGGGGCATGGTTGATTTTGCTAGCAAGACGAAGTCGGTCTGAAAAAGAGAATCAAGAAGTCATTTATTTATTTTCCTAAATGTAAGCGGTGGAGTTTGGGCTCCTTTAACCGAATTGAAGTCGTGAGGTTGAGAATCGTAGGAAGGCGGTGACCATGACGTCAACCTTCGTGTTTATTCCTGTCCAATCCGGTTTTATTTTTGTAAACCGCATCTTTGCCCGGTTTGGCTTGAATTAATAAACTGTCTACTTTACTAAAAGAAAATTAAAAAAATGTTCTACAAATAAGAGAAATTGGCAAAAGTAACTATGAAAAAAGAATTAACATAACAAAAATGATTACTTATTGAGTGTAAATGTGTAATGTAGTTAGAGTACAAAGTGTATAATATGTATTACTGACATGATTACCCTAAAGACTTAATCCAATCTTCCAACCACCTTTTTCTTCATCAAGTCTTCAAATCCAATGCCACAATATTTTACATGAAGGAAAATGGATTTTTATACGGTTTATATGGTAAAACCAAATCAAACCATATTGTTCAGTTTTGGTTCGGTTTTAACGGGGTTGAACCGTTGAACACTTCCATTTTACATCAATGTTTCTGCCATTTGTGTCAATTTTGTTTTTCCCGACAATCGTGTGTATGTGTGTATTATGCACCCTTTGGTTTCGTTTACTTCTCGCCTTCCCAATATGCATGTGAATAGACTTTTGATTATCTTTAATAAACCTGTCTCATGGATTCTGTATTTGTTGTTAGATTTGTGCGACTTACTTCACCATACCCATTTGCTCTATGTATATTTCTTGGAAATTTGTTTCAAACGTTTTAGAGGTAAATTCTTGCGAGCAAGGATCAACATGAACTTTTGCCACTGACACTTTCAAAGTTAAAAAGGCAGAGAGGAATCACCAAAAAAGACGATCTAAAGTTCCAAACGCAGAGGATACAAATACGAAGATAGTCGATCCATTAAAGTCCCTATTAATCTCATCGACCTCAAGGAAACCAAAAATAAACCTTGCAAATCAGTTACATGCAAAACCAAAGACGTCTCTCTACTATAGTCTAAACGACCTCGAGGAGGAGAAGAGAAAATCGATGTCCCTGCTTCAATCTACTGTGCTCAAAGTTAGTCACTCCTCCCTGCCAACAAGATTTTTGAGCAATTAAATCAATTACATTCCAAAAAAACTAATGAAATCAACCTAAAGATGTTAGCTATGTGCCAATAACAAGCCGTCTCAGTTTATGTTCATGTCTAATGACAATGAGAAGCAAAATTTCGGTAGAGAGAATCTTGATGCAATCCACATCGTGCATAATTTAGTTTTCAGTTTCCAGTTAATGATCATACAAGTGAAACCGCATAATAGAAAATCCTTCAACACTCAATCTGCAAGAATTGTTCACTAACAAGAACAGGGCAACACTAAACTATCTAATCCTGAATCTGCTAAATCCTCAAACATCAGAAACATGAAATGTGGTTCTACATATTTAATCAATCTCGGAATAAGATAATCCAATCCACAAACCACATTACACAGCCAAAGGTTTCTAGCAAGAAACCATATCGATACTGAGAAGCTACAAATTCGATGAAAGTGAAGAAGAATCATACCATTTGATAAGCCAGCCAAAGAGGAAATGCTGCATAATGGGGACTTTCTCGAGCACTTCGACTTTATACATCTTAAGCAAACCGCTATTCACTTTCTTCCAGTTCGGTACACCGCTAATATCATCAAGCAACGGCGAGTGCTCGGCGAACAACCCTTTCTTCACCTTCTTCACAAACGCAATACAGGACAAGTACATGTATTCACCAGAGAAATTCTCCAGAATGTCGTCGTTGTGAATCGACTTCGGCTTCATATACTTGTGATCAATCAGCTGCGAGCTCCCAAATATGAAGGGCAAGAAATGGTAATCGTCAAGCCCCCAAACTCCATGAGAACCAGCAGGTTCCAAGCAATAAACCATCTGCAGTTTCCTCATCAGCTCAAGGTACTTGACGAAAACCCTAGCCACCACGCCGTGATAATCTTCTTCCTTGACGATCCCCATCTTCGCTAAGCAATACAGCCACGCCGCGAAATTCGTCTCGTGTCCCGTTCCGTAATCGATTCTGCTTCCGTTCCCGAAGCTGTCGAAGAAGTAAGGAACGATCTCGATTGTGGATCCTTTGAATTCGTCGGGGAGAAACTCGAGGATAAGCGATTCGCCTCTCTCGGCGAGCCTCTCGTGCCACGAGCGGAACGAGATGTTGCCGTATCGAGACGACATTTGAGCCGGAGGAATCTCGTCGATCCATTGCAACAAGGTCTCGAGGATTGAAACTATGGCGGCGACGGTTGGTGAGACGTGGCAATGATCTGAGATTTTGTGTCCGCAGATCGATTCCGAGAGAGAGACTATGAATCCTAAGAAATTCTTACAAGAGGGGGATTCCTGGAAGCGGCGGATATCGTCGGGGGAGTGGATTCTCTTGACGGGGGATTGGAATTGGTACGGCGGAGTGACGACGGGGACTCGCTCGGCGTGAGGAACTGGAGAGAGGATGATCGCCTGAGAGTTGTGTGGAAGGTTGATCGCTGGAGCTCGGATCGGGCGATAGTTCGGTGGCGGTGACATCTCTGGCAGTGAAGCTAGAGGTGGCGGTTCGGAAATCGTTGGTCCGCCGCAGTTAGTACAGCAGCCAGAGGGAGGATAGGCGGAGGAAGGAGGTTCGGAGGGAGATTTCTCCGGCGTGTGTTGGTCCTTCGGAGGTTCCATTTCGCAGTTTACGGAGACGTAACGATACTCGGGGGAGGCTCAAAGGTGAGAAGAAGGAAAGGGGGTGGAAAATATGTTCCTCGGGAATCCAAAATGATTTTATGACTTTGACCCGAACCCGAAATCAGAATCCGAACCTGACCCGCAAAACCTTTTGGTTCGGGTTTGGGTGTTCTGCCAAAATACCAAATCGGTTTCGTGTGGTGGATATTTTCGGTTCGATTTCGATTTGGATAAAACCTAGACACCTGATAATTACTTTGATCTAAAAATATTCTAAATTTTATTAGTTTACTATTTTCTTTATTATTAACTAGATTAGATCGCACGCATACACGGATTTTAAACCGAAATAACCAATCTAAACTCAAACTTTATAAAGCCGAATCGACTAACCGAAGTCATTAATTAATTAAATCTATAGAAACATATATTTAAAACTAAAATTTTAATCAAAATCAGTTCCTTATTTTTTCGAAAAAAAGGAGTTATTTTAAACAAACAACACAAATTTATTTTGGTTTTATTAACTAAAATTTGATCATTATCTTTTCTAAAATCCAAGAAAAAACGGAATCAAACCAAATTGTTATTTAATTACGAACTGGGAATTAGAACCCAAAAAACTTGAAACCAGAATAATCTGAACGGAATGAGCAGTAGAAATTAAGAAATATTTGATTTTGTTTCAATATAATTTTATAGATTATGAAAACTTGGCCTACATGATATCCAAATATTATTTTTATTTTTTGTTATAAATTTAAAAAAGATTAGAGAAATTTTATGAAATAGTAATACACCTTATCCTAACAAATTTTAACTTTTATTAAATTATCTTAGGTAATTTTCTCTATATTAATAGGTGGATATACACAAAAGATTTAAGACATACTAGGGCTAAGTCCGCACTATGCGCGGGTTGTGACTATTACAAATTTTTGTCACTTGTATTTTAATTCTCACATCAATTATGTAAACATTTTGTCTCCAAATACTTAAATTTGCTGTGATAATATAAATGTACAGTATATTGTTCCTTATTTTGTCTAAATTCAAATTTTGTAAAATGTTAACGGTTGTTTTGATAGAATGATGATTGAATGAAATAAATTTTCAAACAAATAATCCATTAGAAAAAATATTCCTTGTATCTAAAGAGTAGTTAAAGAGTTAAAATTATTAGCTGAATATAATCACTCTGAATATTTGTAAAAACTTTTAAGAGCATGAATTTAACAAAGGAGAAGTGTGAAGTGGTATCCTCTTCTTTTCCACGAGTTCGTCCTGTCTTACATCGTTGTCAAAAGAAAAAACAAAAACATGTCATACGTAAAGTGTTACAAAACAAGATTTACATCTTATACTAAATAAGACTAACACCACAAGGACATGGGCATGTGATTCTTATGAACAGAACCTCCTGAATCATCAATTGCATTTGCGTACGTGGGAAACAGAAATCTTGCTAAGCACCTCCTCCGGCTTGGAGAGTTTTGTTCCTCTACTGATCGTTTACCCTTCGTGTTTTAGAAAAGATAAGCTACTCCCTCCAATCAACTTGCAATTCCATAGCTGGGCTAATTAAGGCTCACCTATTCAACTTTCGGCCAAAAAAGATGCAACAATATAGAGGATAGCCAAATCTAGATCTGAGCTTTCTGCATCACAAGTACAGAAGATGTTAGCAAAAATCTGAAGCCCTGCAAACAATCTAAGCAAACTCATTATGAAGAGAAATTAGCCAACTGAACTTGTTCCGATGAACATTTTGCAGTTATAGGTCCAAAATCATATACAACCAAACATTCCAGTGAGAAGTTCTAAATGAAAGAGATGCGTACAAACTGTTTAGATTTGTACAATAGCTAAGATATGAGCCATCAGTAACATGAGAGCCAATAATCTAATCGTTCTTCAACTTAAGCTAATCGTACCTGCAACTGGCCGGGAAAAACATAGACAACGGAATAGTCTCTGTCAAGTGTCTACGCCTGGTGAGATAATTATGTACTATCGTTCGCCGTGATCTCTCGTCATATGATTTCTTCACGTCAATTCTGGTCATAAATCTGAAACGAAAAGCAAAATAGAATATTAGGAAGAGTCAGATAGCAAAATTAACCTTTCGTAACCTCTAAAATTCACACTCTAACCCATGGATCAAGAAATTTTTTTTGTCTGTTCATCTTTCTTTCCTCTCTCTATCCTCTCCTCACACACACGTAATAATAGAAAAAAGGTGAGAATATCCAAGAATATATATATATATATACATTTATATTAATATGAGAAGAGTGGGAAGTTTAAAGATGTATATTGATTATCATCCTTGAGAAGAAACGGAAAGTTGGCATGAAATCCAGGAAGGAAGAAATCTGTGAGTTTTGAAGCATTCATTTTGAATTAACGTTTAAAAACCACAAGATTTGGGTATATATATACGCTCATGCTAATTTAAATATCTTTAGAGTAGCTTATCACATATTAGTCATGGCGAGTAAGTTAAACATTCTTGCGAAGACAGTAAAAATGATTCGTAAGAAGATGAATATCCAGACACAAAATAGGAAGATATTTACATGGTTAAATGTATACAGAAACATACCTGAGGGATAACAGAGGTGGGGATGTTCAGGTAAGCAAAGCAAGAGAATAAGGACCAACGAATCATAGATCGCACTACAAAGCATACGCTACTGTGAAGACATCATATATAGTCCAGATGCTTAGGAGCTACAATTGAGTGATTTGGATTGATGGTGTTAAAGGTCACTCTTCCCCACATACTTGTGGGACGTGAAAGATGAGGCGGTTCTAGAATCTGAAAACAATCATTCAAACTCAACCCATTCAAGTGAAACGACATTAAGAAATCAGAGACGAAAACTGTGGACAATTTCAAACACAAACCATATAATTAGCTAAAATCTAAAACCACAAAACTTTATGAACAATCGTTTATAGTGTTAGTAAAGGTTAAATTTCCACACACATCAGGAGCATGAACCCTAAAATATCAAATGGAGGATGAGCTAAACCAGAGGAAAACACAAGAAACCAATTACCATGGACTCGGATTGACCTCAGTCACCATCTTTAGTCTCTCTCTCTCTCTCTGCGATACATCATCCTCAGAATTGAAGTAGTCGGAGTCAATATCACTGGAATTCAAAGACCCCGATAGAAGGCCAAACTTGCTGCTTATTCGCGGGAAATCTTCGTCAGTGCCGTGGCGAGATTGATAATTTAACGGCAAGATTTGAGAGAGACGCTAGCTCTGACCACATTATCGACAAATTAGATCGAGAAGAAAATAGAAATTTTGGATCACCAGTCTCACTTCTGCTTGGCTTTATAGTCAAAACGCCAAAAGATTAAAGGTCAGAAGTGGAGCAGGAGGAGAGAAGCCAAAAACGCATCAGAAGTGGAACCGGCGAGTAAACGAAACAACACGGCGAATTAAAGATGAACCCATAAACCTGTGTATATGTTAAACAAATTACTTATTGGGCCCCATAATGGACTGACTGCAAATGAGAAAGAGAGAGAGAGCCCATCGGGGTTGGGAGGTGAGCGTAGGTGCGAGTTAGCAATTTGAGAAAAGAGGGAAACCCTAATCTTGGGAAGAGAAAGTGAAGATGTCATTGGTTTGTACGGAGATGGCGGAGTGGAGACCGGAGCCGTCGGGCTAGTCATGATCGGAGAGAATTTCAACGACATCTTCACAGGTGACAATCCAACTCTGAGTGGCGGATCTGTGAGGGAATTTCAACGATGTCGTGAGTGACAGAGTTTCTCCACAGAGTGAAACCACCATTACTGCGAAGGTAGCGAACGTGTTGAAGTCGAGCAGAGTAACGGCTGTTCCAAAGCTAAAGAGGAGTGGAGACAGCTAGGATTGGAATGAATTTTGTTTCTTTTATGGTGGCTCCGAGAAACCGTAGCGTCTCGGATCCTTCCCGGAAATCAAACTGAACAAAGTGATCCGGCGGGCAAGACTGAAGAGGCAGTTTCGTCGCAGTTTCGGCGTTAGGGACGAAACCGAAATAAGTTTATGTTCTGGGTTTTTTTTGCAAAAACGTAACTGTATAAAAACTGAGAAACAATTTTATGTTTGTTTTTTTTATTATTTAATAGATTGCCATATGTCTTTTTATTAAAAAAGAGAAAATTTGCCAGGTGTCAGCAAACTGGAGAGTGATATCCATCTATTATAGTTATAGTATAGATTCAGTATGAGGATCTTAATATATCCTAATGCTTCGCCTCTTCTCTCTATTGCTCTCTCTGCCGATATATATGTCAACAATCTTCTATAACTCCTCTGTCCCTAATGGCAACACATTTTTGGATGAAGAAAAGATCGTTGTTGGATTCAACAATGTGTTCAACGGTAACTTCCTCAACTTTCCAAAGCTGGAGAGAACGTTCTCCTTCTTCCTATTCACTCAAGATTCAAAACTTCTCTCAACTCCAAAACTCAACTCCCTTCTCCGAAGAGAAATACCAATCCTCTCCTTTCTCCTCTGGTGGATACAACTGGTACGTTTTATTTAAATTAACTTACAACTCATCACAACTCATCACAAGTCTAAAATTGGCTATAGGATACGTATTATCATACCTTATATAACCTTTTTATTTTCAACTCAGGAGAATGATCATATACCCAAAAGGGAATAAAGACGAGGGAAGTGGGTTTATATCTATGTATGTGGAAATAGATACCACAAGTCTCACCTCTCACGTCTACTCCACCATCTGAGGTCTTTGCAGATCTCCGTTTTCTCATCTTTAACAAGAAAGAAATCACTACTTTGCTATTCATCAATGTAAGTGTCTACATATCTTGCTAGTTGCTACGCATATATATATATATATATATATATTTACTACTCAATAATTTGTATGATATATATCCAGACCTAGAAGCAAAACCATTCAATACAGTAAGAACGGTATGGGGATTGCCGCAAGTGCTTGCGCTTGATACATTCAATAACCCTAAAAACGGATACATCTTTGATGGAGATCTTTGTGAGTTTGGTGTTGATGTCATTGTTGTTCCACCTCCTACAAATTGGGAGATCCTCTCTTTGATTGAGAAACTCTCTATACGAAAGTTTTCTTGGACGGTGAAGAATTTCCCTGTGCTGAAAGAGACAGTTTACACGTCAAGCAGCTTTTTGATGGGAAGAAGGAAATGGTCAGTACTCAGTAAACATGAAACTTGGTTTTTGAACGAATAAATATGTATCTATCAACAATTGTGTGTGTTTTATTAACATATTCGAGTTATTGATAACTAGGGTTCTAAAGCTGTATCCCAAAGCCCAAAGGTGACGGAAGATCAGACGGCAAATGGTTATCAATTTATTTGTCTCTCGCTGAGGGTGAGACACTAAAGGAAGATGAAAAGATTTTCACGAAAGCTAATGTTCGACTTGTAGACCCAAGTGGATCAAATCACCTAACATACCCAAGTACGTGTGCCATAAACCACTACTCCTATGTCCTATCGTTTAATTTAATTAATATTTTTTTTAGTTAAAGATTTAATTTAATTAATACATAAAATTATTTAATACTATAAACTAATTTATAGTTGAAGCATTGCTCTCTCCACAGCAAATTCTTAAAGAAAATTTTAGAAATTCATCTTCCAGCCCGTAAAACGATCTTAAATTCACACTATAAGAAATTATGTAGATAGCATCACTTATATAGTGTCAAAAATTTAAGTGACTCTGATTAGAATAATTTATTAAAGATTGACATTAAATTTATGATTTCAAATCACTTAAAATAATTGATATTAATATTAACTTTATTAACATCAATTAAAGTACAAATGATACAAGTGAATATTGATTTACTTCAATTTTAAAAAACCGACACAAATAAATGTGTTTACATCATTTATATAACTGAAACATTTTCTCAATTATATTAGTATTAATAATAAATGATGTTAATTTTTACTTCAATTATAAAAAGTGATGCAAACAAAATTTAGAGTAAACAACTATTTGTCCCACATCGCTAAACAAAGATAAAGGATAGTAGTTTGTTCCTCTATATAATAACTTTACCCAAGAATCATTTTTATTTTTTATATAAGTTAAATCATCAATATTTATCTACATATATTATAAATACAAAATGATTAATATTTTGAATTTATCATATGAAAAACAATACGAAATTTAAATAATTTTTAATGTCACTTATTTATAAGTGATATAATAATATCATCAACTAAAATATATGTTATAATTGAATATATATAATATCAGTTGTTATAGTCGAGACAAATATTAACATCATTTATTAAGTGATGCAATTTTATACTGCATTTACATTAAGAATACAAATATTTAGTTCATTTACTATAAATGATACTAAACATTAACATCACTTGCAAAAATGATGAAACTAGTAGCATCATTTGTTTTTAGCATCACAAAGCATTAGAGTCATCATCACTTTCATTTATATAAATAATGCAAATTCTTTTATATCAATCAGTAAATGATACTCCCTCCGTTTCATAATAAGTGCCGTTTTAGAGTTTAATTTTTGTTTCGTTATAAGTGTCGTTTTACATTTTCAATGCAGAATTTTAATATAATTTCCAGATTTAACCCCATTTATTTATTGGATTAACAAAGAAATTAAATTCTGTAATGTATTAAATAGGGGTATTGTATAAATTTTAATATGTTTTCTTAATATGTGTGAGAAAACCTTAAACGAAACGGAGGGAGTATAAACTAAGAAAATAAATGACACTACACACTTTATTTCTTGCAGTGACATTCTTATTCCGTTATTCCTAATCCTATATCTAACCATTGTTTCTGATGAGTGTAGGATATTTCTAGGTATTTACTACCATATTCATTTGGAATTCAGCATTCTCAGTTTTTACAACTTTTTTTTCTCTTGGCAGTTACCTATTGGCACAAAAAAACAAATGTAGGTTGGGGATACTATCAATTTGTGACGTTAGATAAACTTCGAGAGACTTACTTGGATAAAGTGCGCCACTTTGCATGTAGAGGTCGAATTTGATGTTGTTTCTGAAACCAAATACTCTCAAATCTCACCCATGGTTTAAGCTTTACTTTTAAAATTTCAGTTACCTACCGTGCATCTACTTGGACTTATACGATACATTGATTTGGTTTCACATGCTTCCTAGTTCTGGCTCATCTTTTGTGTTATTTATTTATTTTTGCTTCATTTGGTTTTGGTCTAGATAACTCCATCAACTAGCTCAATATATTAGTTAATTTTGTACTATAATAATTTTTTTTAACTAACAAATTTTGGACTTCGCGAATTATTCCTTTCAAATTGGGAGTAAAGCACCCTCCTTCCCGAGAGGGTCTATCTATGGGTTGCACCTCCCCCAGAGTTATTAGTCCAAGCCCCTTCATAGGCTTGGGATTTACCATGAGTTATCAAAAAAAAACATCGTCCTGCCAAGTAAAGCTCTTCGCATCGCAATGCCTATTGTGTCGGCTTGACCCGTCTTATTTTATTTGGGAATTTCTCCATCCATCATAAAGAAGCCGAATGAAACCAAAGTTTCATGTTCGATTTTGAATTAGAGACATTAGAAATATAAAAATGATCAATCATCGTCGACTAAAACCCTTAGCCTTCCAAGCTAACGATGCGGGTTCGATTCCCGCTATCCGCTCTAAATCCTAAATTGCCCCTTTTTATTAGAGAAAATTTTATCCAAATTTTCTCTGTTAGAATTGTCTAATAGCAATTGTGTATTGAATTCACTTAAAAATACTTTAAATAAAAACTAATTTTTCAAAAAAAATGTAGCACGGATCCTAATCTAATTTATATATAACATACAAAAACTTAAAGAGTTTTTAAAAATACGTCCATGGATTAATCTCTTGTCAAGTTTAAGAAAGTCAAAGCATGCATGTATGTATCTTTGATGGTAGTACATACAAATGTCAAATGGAAAATATAAGCAGTGGTGGGACTAACATTTCTTTGGTACGAGAAATTTAAAAACATTCGGCAAGAGACCAAAAGCGCGTACGTTACCAAACCGTCCCTACCGATCACCGACCGATGCCCACCAGGCTGATCACATGACCATCACGCGACCTACACTCGTCGAGGTTGGGCAAATCCACCGAAAAAGACTTTATAGTATCCATTAATTAATAACCACCATGCCTTTTTCTCCAAGTTGTTGTAATTTATAGATTTGGCTTTTTCAATCCAATTATGTGTTAGTTGATCTTTACTTTTTTACTTATTTAAAACTAGATTGTTTTTGTTTAGCAAGCTGGCTCGATTGGATTGTGTGAAACTTGTGTAAAGTAAATGGTTTTGCCACAGGGGACAATATTTGCGTTAATAATATTGATTGCATAATTAAAAGCACTACGGGCTACGGACTAAAAACCATAGCACATTAAGGTAAATATGTGAATAACTAGATTATTGCCCGCGCCTAATGCGCGGGTTAAGGTGGAATTTAAATATTCACTTTTTAAATTTGATATTTATTTTGGACAATGAATCGTAAATTTGAAATGTGTTATCATACATTAAAATATTTCTTACCGAAGTTCAGATATAATTTATCCATATAATTGAAATTTTGCCTCGGTTTTTTTTAATATTTTTTTGTTTTTTTTTGGAATCATATACAAACCACGAACATAACAGCTGTGGCGTCAATTACCATCATACTATTTACCTTTGCATTTTTAGAATTCAACATCGAGAAACAACAAACATCGTCCCAAAAAAAATTTCTTTAGAAACATAAAAAGCAAGCAAATAGCAAAGGAAACAACCATTTCAGCAATAAATTTAAAATAAAAAAACAACAAAATCCTTAAAACGCAAATAATCCAACACGAAACAACATAGAAAGCCACAAAATAAAAAGACTCGATAATTCAGAAAAAAAAAACGCATAAGAAAATGTCTTCTAAACGACACTCAACTTTGAAAACACTTCATCCAAACATGGCTTCTTCACCGAACAATGCCCCGTCTCCATTTCATTCTTTTCGTCATACTCCTCATTCTTACGTTTCGAAGATGGGCAAACCTTTTCGCATGGGCCATCCATAATCATAAATGGAATGTCCTACAAAATAAAGATTTAGTTAGATCCAGTTTATGTATCCCAAACAACTAAAATAACATTAGGAAAACAAAGAAACCTTAAAATCCTTTCATCCAAGACCGTGATTTTTCATTATCCTTAGTATCTAAAAAGATATGAACTCTCAGAGCAGAAGTAATACCTTGTTAGCGTCTACGATCTCGGATGTCCTTTTACGTGGGCTCTGTGGAAGGACCAACGTCACTCCATCTTTGGGGAGTCTGTCATAAATTAATGTTAAAACCAACGATTGTATTATTATACAAAAGAATTTAGGGTTTCGGAGTTACCTGTCCCTGAAATCCAAGAACTCTGGCAATTTAGAATTGATCATCACCATGGAACAGTGACAATTAGCGACGCTCCAAACATCTACCAAATTTGGTTTAACCCAATTATTTACATGTTAATATCACTAACGCGATTATAAGTTGATATGACAGCAATAATAGAATTATGTATAATAAATAGCTACTTTGGCAAAGACGGATCTTCCCAAATCGCAGAACAAAAACTACAACAGGATCATAGACATTCTGAGCGTAAGCCTCTAGCTGCTCAGCAAACTCACCTCAGAGGACACAGTTGAGGCGAACATCTCTGCAAAATAGGAATATGTAGTTAAAAAGTGTAAATGTTATAATACGTAGTTAACGGTATTGAATGGTTGCAAAGTGCAAACACTTACTCGATATCGCGAAGAACAATTGTCATCCTTTTAGTCTGCTTCATACGAACATTTAAGATCTGAACATTGCCGATCTCAACAATTTGGCCGACGACATCTGAGTTAAAAAACGGTAAACGATTTTTGAGATATTAGATAAAACACAATCAATTAACAAAATAATGTGACAAATGTTAGTAGCAAACATACCAACCAAGAAATCGGGATTGAGTTTTCCTTCATGGATGTCAGTAAATCTAACATCATTTAAAAGCACTACAGGCTACGGACTAAAAACCATAGCACATTAAGGTAAATATGTGAATAATAGTAAGGAGTATAGGGATTAAATAAAAACAACCATTGTTGAAATCAAAACAACTTTCATTCGTTCATGTGGAAGAACATATCATATAAACATTTGTCATAATTTCATATTTATATTTTTAGGATTTTCTTTTTCTTTTTCTTTGTGCTTCTCTTTTGGTGCCATTTGCCAAATCAAAAGAGAAGTCAAAGCAAATTAACAAACCATACATATATGCATGATTTGTTATTTCTCTATTTTTTTTTTCCACATGCCAAATCCAGTTTAACAAAATGGAAGTCATTTTCGTTTTTTAATTCGACTACTGACTACATCTACGATATCAAAATTCAAAATCATACAACACAGAGAAAACTTATAATAATATTAATTAATAAATAAAATCAAAGAATTACACTACAATAATATTATTTTTCTACTACTACAAACCAAAAGACCCCCAAACACTAGATTATTCCTCATCAAACCATAGTAGAACAAGCCGACGTCGTAGGATCATACAAAGCAGGAAGCAAAAACTTCCTGCCGTTTGCACCATACGCATTAAAACTACCTCCCGTCGTAGTATCCACTAGCAAATCCCCAGCGTAACCCGGATAAGCTCCTTTCCCGTAAACGCCAGGACACGCAGACGCAGCTTCTAGCGGTGCGTTTTGTGGGCCCTGGTAATAACCGTTACCAAACGGGTTCGTCGCGGTTCCGGCCAAAAGACTGGCCAGGTTAATCACCATCCCGTCGAGTCCAACGTCGTTGTTCGGCGCCACGAGCGGCGGACTCTGAGGACCGTACACCGGCGCGTGGAAAGGCCACGCGCATTGACCGGGACACTGCGTTTCGGAGTTTCCGACCCAAATGTAAGCGAATTTGGTGCCCCGTTTACCCAAACCCGGTGCGTATCCGTGGGTCCCGCATCGGCTCATACCGAATCCAGTTACCGCCACGTCGGCTGAAGTCAAAACGACGTTGACCGCGTCGTATTGTTCTCCTTTGGATGCTAATTTGCGAATATCTCTGTCCGTTAGAGATTTTCCGAGGGAGTAAGTCTCGTCAAGGATTTGTGACTTGAGAGTGAGTGAGAGAGACGAAGATGGGTTTTTAGCTCCGGCGGCGAGTTTGTAGTATTTCTCGGTGGTTTTCCACCACGTGGCGACGGATGGTTGGTTTGGAGTTTTTGAGGAATGTGAGAGTGAGGTGATGAAGTCGGAGATGATTGCTCTCTGAGAAGGTTTGAACTTTCCGTACCAGATTAGGTTGACGGAGATTTTGCCGGAGAGAAGAGCTCCTTTGTGGTATTTCAGTGACTGAAACTGGTTAGATTCGTCGTGTGCTAGTTTTCTAGCAGAGACAAAGATTTGGAAGAGAGACAAAAATAGAAAGGTTTTGAAAACTAACGAATACATTTTTATTTTTTTCTTTCGAAATGTTTTTAGTGGAAGAGAAGATTATGAAATGATGCTTTAGATTTGTTTGTGAGAAATGAAGAGTGTGATGGAGGCTATTTATATGCCTCTCTGAGTGGGATTTATTTTATATATTAAAGTAAAATTAGTAAGGTTTTGAATTATACAGTGTGCTTTAAAGTGAAAGAGAAAGAGATATTGCAGAGAAATGGGAAAGTTGAAAAAAGAGAGTAATGGTCCATTGTACTGTTGACAGCTAAGGAATGATCCATAGTCCCACACTTTTTGGTTTTCATTACAACTTTGTTTTTAATGTTAAAATTCAAAAATCAAATATTGCACAGTTTATACAATGGCTTCATAACAAGTTTCATGCAAATGTGTACCTTCATTTCATAATGAGAGGAGTTGTAGTAAGATTTTATTTTCGTAAACAAAAATTATATATCGTTTGGTATTAAGAAAAACTTAAAAATAATTTATTTACTAAAGAGAAAATTCTAAATACAAATATTTTTTAAAGTTATGATTAAAATTTGAATTAATTAAAAGAATACACTTACTACATGAAAGTATCAAGTATGACTTCATTCGAATATTACTTGATAGCTCACTTCTGAAATATGTTTTGATTTGGATAAGACTCTTGAAGGCTCGAATGAGACATAGGATTCTTGTGGTAAAAATAATTAAAATGCTGTTCAGATTATGTTTTTTCATTAGAAACTGAATCAAGTTGTAACAATGGGCTAATACACAACTGTAAAAATTAATGAATAAAGATATTTTAATGTGTCAGAATGAGAAATGTTTGGATACAGCCAAAGTAGATAAAACTTAAAAAAATGGCATCAAAAATTGACCTTATCGATAAAGTGTGACTGATATACAGCTTAGTTACAGACAGCAATAAGCTTAAATGACGATAGTACCCTTCTTAGCAAGCTGTGTTTTGCTAGGCTATGCAGTTTATAGGAAAAAAAAATGGGAACCTTCTGAGAGACGTTGGAGATATTTCCCTTTTTTTTTGGACAGCCTGGAAAAAGAAAGTAAAATACATTAAATTGTGAATGAATAAAAGGTTTTTAAGATAACTATGGGAAGCGTGTCCAGCTGGCGAGGAGTAAACCTAATCCATAGGTGGAGGAGATTAGAGTGCATTCACTTAGACACTGTCGGCACGTGACATCACGCGCTTCCACGTCATCAAATCTGATAGTACTAGAAGAAGAAGGTGAAAGCTCGTGATAAGGTAACATTTAGCTAGCTGGACCATGGTTGGCTCTCTCACACACATTATTCGCCGACCGGTCGGTTTAAGGTTTTTTTTGTTTTCCTCATTTAACACTACAATAGTACAATTTATATAATGTATTTTCATAAGTTTTTATATATTATATGACCACATACTAGTGTTTAATTAAAATATAATTTTGGTTTAACCAAGTCACAGAAGACAAGAATCCAATAAATCCATTGCAAGTCGAGTGCACTGCTAAGAAAGTTATATAAGAATAACAATAAAAATATTTGCAATTTTTTTTGTTGTTGTTAAAAGACTTAATATTTTTCTAATATTTGCAATTTATTTCAGTTCCATCATAAATATTTTTCTCACTATTAATAAAAAATAATAAAATAAATTGCAAATACTGATAGAAATAGGCTGTATTTTAGCACATATAGCTGGAAAAAAAAAACTAATTTAGCACATTTATTTATCAATAATATGTTAAGAGACAGCTTAACTTTCCAAGTTTAAAAACTTACAACATTTGGCAATGGAAGGTGTCATTTGGTACAAATATTCCTTTTTATTTCTTTGTTTCTACAATCTTTTTGTTAAAATTTGTTTCTACAATCTATAAAAGATATTTTGCCTTTTAAGTGATTTTTTTACGTTGCTATATCTAACTATATTTCTTGTAACATTGTTATTATTAAATAAATATGGAAAATTAAGAAATAATTAGAAGTGGCAGATTCTGATGCATTGTACAAATGAAATGATAAAATTATAACCAATTCTGTATAAATTCTATTCCTTATATATGAAGATATGAAAACATTTCATAATAGGTAAATCTGAAAATTTAAACATAAAATATAATTAATTTACAAACTCAAAATGTTAAATGCTTGGGTAGGTAGTTATTTAGTATAAATATACATCATATTTCGTTTTGTAAAACACAAATTCATATTCTATTTTCATAAATATAAGTTAAAAATGATGAAAAAAAGTAAAGGTCGTCAAAAATTAGAGATGGTCAAAATGAAAAATGAAATGAGTCTTCAAGTCACTTTTTCAAAAAGAAGATCCGGAGTTTTCAAAAAAGCTAGTGAACTTTGTACACTTTGTGATGCACAAATCGCTGTAATTGTGTTTTCACCAAGTGGAAAAGCTTTTTCTTTTGGTCATCCAAACGTTGATATTGTAATAGATCGATTCTTAAACGGTAATCATTCACCTCTTCACCAAGACAACAACATACAGGCTGCCAAAGCCTATCAAAATTCTATCATTCAAGATTTGAACAATCATCTGACAGAGGTATGTCCAACTTTTTAATTTTTAATTTTATTATTATTGTAAAATATTGTTATGTTTGATATCATAAAATCATAATTCACAAGGTTAGATTCAAACATATATTTTATTTTGATATATACATATTATAGTTGTTGTGGATAAAAAATATATATTAAATAGTAAAAAAAAATATTTTCTCCATTTATAATATATATATATATATACCCAAGATAAACTAGAAAAGAATTAAATGCTTGATATTAAACTCCTTTTGTAGAAAACTAAATGGTGTCATTAGTATATAGATTAAAGATATTTTTGTCAAACGAAAAAGTATTCTCTGGAAATTTTTTTGTTCCAAAATATATTTTTACTTTATATGATATTGCGTAGTCATTTATATTCTACAATATTTTAATGATTAGTTAAATTATAATTAATTTATATATTAAATAATACTTTATTGAAAAAAAAGTAATTTTCTTAATTTTACATTTTTATCTAAAAGACCTTACATACAGTAAAACCTCTATAAAATAATACTCGATAAGATAATAGATATTATAAGATAATAAATTTATCCAGTCCCAACTCGGGTCAATATAAAAAATAGCAAAATGCGATAAGATGATAAGATAATAATATTTTTGAAACTCTCGTGTAAAAATATAATCCCAACAATAAAGGTAAAGAATAATTACAAAACTTAGACTTATATATCTAAGACAATTTAGTGAAATATGACTTCAATATAGTTTGTCTTTTCTGAAAGTTGGATATAAAGAAAATTTGAATAAAAAATCTGAAAAAATATATTTCTATAAAATTTCTTGTTTTTGATAGAATATTTCTATAAAATAATAATTATTACTTTATCGATAAAATAATAACTTTATAAGATAATAAATTTTCAAAATCTCAACATTATTATTTTATTGAAGTTTTAATGTATTGGGACTGATGAAGTATATATTGTATGTTCCAGTGAATTAATTAATAAAGATGTTTCCAAACATGGTCTTCACTGATATTTTTTTTTAAATTATATTTATAGGTGACGAACGAATTAGAAACAGAGATAAAGAGGAATGAACAATTGAAGAAAATAAGAGAAGCTAATAAGAAACCTCAGAACTGGTGGGAAGAACCCATTGAAGGACTTGACTTAGCTCAGTCCAACCAGTTCAAATCCAGTCTTGAAAATCTGAAGAAAATCATTACGGACCAAGCCGCCCAGCTTTTTCAAGCAACTGTTCGTCATCAAAATGCCTATGCCGGAAGTTCGAGTACTTTTCCTCATGGGGTTGATGGTGGTAACAATATCAACTCTGATCCGAACCAGTTTAGCCAAGGAAGAATGGTGAACATGAATGCGTTCTTCAACCATAACATGATTCCTCCAAATCATGCATTGCCATTTGGAAACAATATTTATGGTAATGGTTTTGAGGGATTTGCTCCAAGCAACAATCCAAGCTATGGAAACAATAGTCATGCTAATGGTTTTGAGGGATTTGCTCCAAGCAACAATCCAAGCTATGGAAACAATAGTCATGGTAATGTTCTTGAGGGATCTGCTCCAAGCAACAATCCAAGCTACAGATCAGTGTACAACCCGAACCAACAACCGAAACCTGAGTTTTAAGAAAGAAAACATCTCTCAAAGTGATCATCACCATGATGGTCGTTCTTCTCGCTCTAGATGTGATTCAGTTTAAGTTTTTAGAAAATTGCATGTTTTAAGTTTTCCCTCATTTCTCTTCTTAATCTAATGTTGTGTTTTCTTTTTTGTTTTCGTAGAATTTCTCATTTCTTCTTATCATGTTGTATTTTTTTTAAAGAATATGTTGTTGTTGTATTCTTTTTTAAATGAAAAATAAAATAAAATATAAATTTTCTTCAATAAAAATAAAAAATGCTTTCGTGTGCTGAAATAATAATGTCGTCCATGGATATGTTGGCACATTTTTTAATTGTAATTTCAGAATTCTTAAAACACTAGTAATAGTTATAATTATAACCAATCATGTACATACGTAACATATATGTTTTAAAATGAACTTGGAAAAGAAAAGCAATGTAAGAGATTTGATATTGTTGAAAGAACGGTGAGATTGAACATATCCAAGATTATGGAATCATGATGAAAAAAAATCTACCATAATAAAAGTTTCCATATGGGCTTCTCCGACTATCTGCCACATCAGCAAACCAATTAGAGCAGCCACGTGGCATAAGCCATTGGGAAATCATGAGAATTTTGAGAACGATCCGTTTCCGTATTGTTAAAAGCTTCATCATTAAGTTATTAACGATGCAATGTTTATAGTAAAACTCAGATATCAAACCGTAGATTGAGATGCCTAAGCTCCGTTTTGTTGTTTTCTGTGTATCATTCTCATGATGGTGGTTTTGAATTAGGTTTTTGTTTCAACATTCATCATTCTCAGATCAGTTCGTTCAAGAAGAAGAGATGAAGAGAAAAACCAAGGAGACGGAGGACATCCAAAGATGATTGCCACATGATTAGAGCTGTCGCTTGCAGCTCAGACAACTTTTTCTCATTGGTGATCTCTTCATCTTCAACTTGCTTTAACGATTTTTTTAATCATATCTGTTGATTCTCCAATATGTCCACTGTTGAGTTGAGAAATGCTATCTCAATGACTTGATGAGTAGGAGTCATTTTTGTTGCAAGCTTCTACCTGCAAATTTTCAGAAGTATAGTACCTTTGATGCAAGTATAAACATTTCCAGGCTTTGTTTAGTTAAGCATGTTGTTGTGTAGTTAGGATTGCGCAAAAATGTTAAGAATGTTGAATCGGTGATAAGTGGTCAAGAGTGTCGGCAATATTTGATTCTCACCTTACATGAACTACTACTACATGTAATAGAAACGAGGAGGCAATATCTAGATTTTCTTTTATGTTGCAAGTTTTTATTTATTTGCCTCTCTCTTTCGATTAGTATTAATTAACAGATTCTTCAATTTTTGTTCTTTAAATAAAATAATTTTGAGCATCTTCAAGATTCTAGATTAAAAGCGAACATGGACAATGTTCATCACTAAAATGTCAATTACCTAAACTTGATTCACGATCTCCAACATGCCAAACTGTTTTACCTTTTCCTATATATTGTCGTTTCTGGTGCAGTACATTACATGGTCGTTTCAATTACATGGTTATATGTTTCAACCAAATTGCAAGCTCAGTGCATGGAATCACCATCATCCATGACTTTAGATCTAAGAATCCTTAGATGGATACAGAAGTAATCAAGTAAACGACTTTTTCTTCTTCTTACGAGTACTGAAAGAAAGTTAACAAGCATCTTTCTCTTGATCTGACGAGGCCAAGTCAACAATAGCATATAAATCTTGCATATGGTATAATTTCGTTTTCTGTTATAATTGTATTCTGTATTTTGACTTAAAAATATGGATTAAGATTTGAGAATATAAAGACTTATATTTGCTCCGTGTTTATTTTTTTTCTTTTCATATTTTTAAAGATGTGGGAAATGCTAAAAGAAAGCTTCGAAATCCCTCTAGGCTTTAATTTATATGAAGAATCTTGATATTAGTCATTGTTCATTGGTATGATCAAATTATAAGATTTTGCTGAAACTAGTCACGAATTTTACTCTTTCTACAAACTTGCATATGAAGATTAGTCATTGTTCATTGGTATAGCAATCTAGAAAATTATTGATATCTGGCAATAAATCAGGAAAATAAACATTATCATAAATATATCAATTCCTTATGATTCCCACATAGCTTACCCTTGTCGACAATAATATTTATAAGTACTGTAGCTAGGTCGAGCCTTAATATTAGTTCATTTGTTCCCATTTTTAAACTAAGTTGAAACCTTGCAGGATTGGAAACTGTGCTATAGAATATTCTTTATGGCAAATGCAGTTAGGTCGGTGTGTGTTCCACTTGCACCATTGATACCCTTGTTATATTTCTTACAAACAGATGGTAAACTAGACCCTTTCAACGTAGCTTCAGGTACTGTTGGAGTTATCTGTGAAGTTAGGATCAGATCCTAGTGGTGAGATCGATTCTAGGAACCTCGAAGACAAAAGTGTAAGTCACAGGTGAATTTCACATATATTCAGTGATTTGCATTAGTCTTCATCGTGCATGTTAAGTCCATAGATTTGGCTTGGGGTAAAGCTAATAATTTATGTTGCAAATTTGACATGCATTAGGTGATTAGATAAGTGATCATCGTGTCCATTGATTCGACTTGAGGATTATTTTATTATTCCAGGATTGTTATGAAGTAATATCAATGATTTATACTTTTCATGTTGTTTTTATTTTACTAACATATACATGTGTGACTATCAAATCCGCCCATGATAATGTGTGTTGTGTTGTTTGGAATTGAAAGACCATGTAAACTTGATATCTAGATATGCATGCAGGATATGAAACCAATATGACAATTGATGAGCATATAATGAGGATGCTTCCTCAAGATTTTACCTTAACAAATATGAGAAGTTAGGTCATAAGTTATTGTCCTTTGCAGATTCTCTTGAGTTCGGTTCTTGACCTCTTGAACTAATCTCTATGGTTAGTTTTCATCTATGCTTTCTCAAGGTTGTCACCTATTTGAGAGGCGCTGTTATAAGATCACACATTTGGCTGTTACACCCCAACTTTTTCATCCTAATAAAGATTAAAATAAGTTAAATGCAAAGATATTTGGATTTAGTGGGTTAGTTAGATAGGTTATATATAATGTTATCTTTTCATTGTTTCTTGTGATCTCCGCCTCGTTTTGTTCAGATACTTGGATACACTACAATCTTCTCTACAGGGAAGATGAATCACTTTGTATATAAATGTTTCAGTTCATGCACCATTCTCTTGTATATACTCCATATATTTAACTATGTATAAATTACATCGAATGTAGGAAATAAACGAATCTAGCCGTTAGCTAGTACACCTAGTTGATAGACTATTCTTTCTCTTGTCATGAAATTCTCAAGACATATTGTTTAAATTAGTAGCTAATTAGCATACCAATTTTGTTAAATAATAAATTATCGAACACCAAAAATATTTAAATTATGGATTGAAGTTCGTACATGATAGAGTCGACCTTAAGGCCAAGTAAAACAAGCAGGCGCTTGCAGCCCTTACGATAAGTAAATTATCTGCAACTTTTTGACAAAAAGTCCAATAAATCAGTTGGTTGTGCGCATCAATATGTAAATAAAAGGTGATAGTTTGAGTTTGAGTTTCCCTAACTCTTTAAGAATTTTAAACCAAAAATCTCTTTGTTTTACCAATTCAAACCTGTCCATAACTAATTTTTGCTTGTCACCCATGATTTACCAGGGCCAGCTCTGCGTACATCTTTCTTATCAAAACAAAAGTATCTTATATGGTTTTGTCCCAAGCATCACACGATCATGGTTTTTAAAAATATGTTAATTTAATAAATGAGCCATGTTAGGTTTTGACATGCTCGTATAAATTTTCTTAAAAAAAACGAGAAAATATTCATTCCTCAAAAAAATAGTAGGCATCGAGCATGAACACATTAACTTCTAGAAAGGGTTTCAAGGGCCACAATAGGTAGTTCACCTTCCTAAAACAGCCAAACCATGCCCTAGATCACACGAAACCGACCTTCAAAAGAGCATGTCCACGTCCACCTTAATTACGCACACGGCACAACACGCTCTTTCGATCGAAAAGGACACTAATCACAAGTCAACAGACCGCACAAGAGCAGTCGCATAACATGGCACCAGCCTAAGGGCTAAGGCACACTGAAGCAGGTCTCCAAGAAAGCTACAACTAAGTTGATCTAACCTGATTACCTCAAAATTCCCATCATGAGACTTTTGATCATGTTTTATTTAAAAGCCCATATAAAGGCCCAACACTAAAGCTCAATACAAAGGCTTCCACTTTCGCGCCCATTATTAACAAACTCACCTGAGATCTGATATCATCTTTCACTCGTTTGTTATTGGGAACCTTCAGGGTTTAAGACAGATCATGGCTTCTCTCCGTTTCTTCTCAAGAACCCTAAAATCATCAAATCCTTTAATTCGATCACTCCCCCAAATCCCCTCCTCTTCTTCCCCAAACCCTAACCCTAATCTCAGAACCCTACCTTTCTCCACCTCCTTCCTCATCACCAAAACGCCAGACAAATTCAAAAAGAAGCGGAAAAAACCAGAATCCGCCAGAACCAAACCCGTCCAACACGAATCAGCCAAAATCCCGCATTTCGAATCCCTCGTCGGGCGCGATTCCCATTTCCGATTCCTAACCCGATCCAAAGAGTTCATCGCGAAGCAACCCGACCGGATCCTCCGCCTCGACGACGCCGGAAAACTCTACCGCGAGCTAGGCTTCCCACGCGGCCGCAAGGTGACTCGCTACATCCCCAAACACCCTCTCATCTTCCAGACGTACCGGCACAGCGACGGGAAGATGTGGCTAGGGTTCTCTGAATTCATGGAGGATCTCTTAGACGAAGAGAAGGCTTTAATCGACTCAATGGAATTAGATAGAGTCAATCGCGTGAGGAAGCTGTTGATGATGACGAAAGACAAACGGATCTTACTCAGCAAAATCCACCACACTCGATTGCTCTTCGGGATCCCAGAGGATTTCAGAGACCGGGTCGGGAAATACCCGGATTATTTCCGGGTCGTAACGGGTCAGGACGGGAACCGGGTTCTCGAATTGGCGAATTGGGATCCGAATCTCGCGGTGAGTGAGCTGGAGAGAACGTTCATGGTTGACGAAGATAAAGCGAAGAAAGCGTTTAAATTTCCATTGAAACATGGTAAAGAATTGGAATTGGGAGAGGAAGATGCAAGAAAGCTGAATCAGTTAAACACTCTGCCTTTGGTTTCGCCGTATTCCGATGGTTGGAAGCTGGATCTGTGGACGTTGGAAGCGGAGAAGTACCGAGTAGGGATCGTTCACGAGTTCTTGAGCTTGACGTTGGAGAAACGAGCTTCGATTCATCACATTGTCGAGTTTAAAGAAGAGTTTAGCTTGACTAGACAGACGTACCAGATGCTCAAGAAGCAGCCCAAGACTTTTTACTTGGCCGGTACTGAGATGAACTGGACCGTCTTCTTGAAAGACGGTTACGACGTAACCGGCGCGAACGGTGGTGGTTTGATCTTGAAAGATCCTCAGGTTGTGTTTAACGAGAAGCTGTATAAGTATGCAGATATGCAGCAGATGGAAGTTTGATTCTTGCTCAAACGATAGATAAATTTTCTAAATCTTCTAAATGTTAATTATTGCATGTGTGTGTGAGTATTTTATGATACAAGAAAGGGGCAAAAATGTCCCCAAAAAGGTGTTACTGAGAAGGTGAAACACTTCTGGTTGATGAGGTTGAGTCACTGATTGAGACGGTGGCTAAAGATTTAGAAGCCCAAGCTCTAGCACTCATGGCTCCTTCTTGCAGATTGCTACTCACGGAAGGTTCTTTGAGATACGTTGCAACGGTGTGCTCTAAGAGGTTCTTTAGTCTCATGTTCTGAGCAAACCGTGCCCAAACGAGTTTTGATAGCATAACCATTGTTGGGGAAATCAAGTGTAGCAATCTCAGGAGGACGAACGCTGTTGCAAGAGCTAGGTAAGTCTCTTGGCGGAACAGATTCTCAGGTGATCTTTTTCTACTTCTTGCCCATGAAACCGGGCAGTTTTCTGGCTCTGAGTTGTTGTTTCGGTTTCCGAGATGAGGAGCTTTCTCAACCGGAGTTTCATCTACCGGTTTGATACCTACATCACACAGTGAATCACAATAGCAACCAAAACAAGACTTGAAGAAGCCAGCTGCAATAGCAAATGTTGTCTTACCAGTAACATCGCTATAGAACGTAGCAAGAGAAGCTAGAGTTCTTGATCCACGGTAAGCTACACGCATTGTGGAATTCAAGAGGATGATTGTAGGAAACCCATGAACTCCATACTTTGAAAGTGTACTAAACAACACACACAAAGAGTGTCAAAATCAGGAAGTTTAAAGATCAAAACTTTAAACAAAGTTTTGGCCTTTTTTTAAGAAGACCCACCTAGCCTTGACTGATGATTCTTCAATTGCAAAATGAGGAATTGATGAATAAAGGGAAGAGATTGCATCAAAGTTTGGTCTGACTGATTTAGAGAAAGGACACCATGATGCATAGAAGAGTAAAGCCACATAGTCACACTTGTTCTTGTTATCAATCATCTCTGTAGCCATTTGTAGCCACCCATCATCTCCCTGCAGAACAAATCATAAACTCAGATCGTTGGTTTAAAGGATTGAAAAAGAGCGAAATTTGTTCGGAAATTACCTCAGTGACGGAAGCAAAACGAGGACGATGAGAAGCTGATTCATCGCCGGGACAATTCCGATCTCGAAACCCAAAGATGTAATCTTTCGCAGATTCTCTATGGCAGATTGTGGAGAAGGATGATGATGATGATGCAATTGTGGTGTTTGTCAACGTAATTAGCACCAGCAACAACAAGATTGGTTTCTCCATTGAAAAGAAAAATTTTTTTTTATCAAGAAAAGTGGAATACTCATATGAGAAAGGATGGTGTTGCCAGCAAATCAGAAGCGTTGACATGTCGTTGTCACCAGGAAACGAAATTTAATGGGCGTTTACTATTAAAAACGACCGTCAAATGGAATTGGGAAGATCGGAGAAGGAAGAAAAGGAAAAAGATCCGGTCGATTATAGAATTCTCGGAATATCATCATCGTCGATAGACCGTGAAATGATTTGGTCATTTGGATAAAATTTCGAAAGAACATTATTGAAAAGAAAGAAAAAAGAAGAACAGAGATGATTTTGGCTTCAAAATAAATTATGATATTAGTTTAAAAAAATTATGACATCAAATTATTAAATAATTTGGGGTTAATCGCAGAAATAACTTCGTTGACCGTTAATATTAGCCTATACAGTGCTCAGAAAAAAACTGTCAAGAAACTAGCATTTTTGCAAAATTATTGTTCATGATTTGACTGTTCACCGAGACGTTAACATTTCGTGTAAGAATAAAATTTCTTGCCAAGTAATATTGTAAACGTGTTATCTCTCACTAGTCACTACCAGAAAAATGATGCGACAGAGCAGAGTAATTTCGTGTGGACCTCTGTTCCTGGAGACTCTTTGATATTTTTCTGTTCTGTTTTTCGATTTTTTATGATGGAAACTGAAGATGACTTGGTCACATTCCCTGGTGGAATTTCTCACAAGAACCAACCAGTCTATTGACATAACCATCTATTTCTTGTAACAAATGCAAATCATTGTAAGTAACTTATATTTATGTAAAAATAAGTTATGCACGCACAAAGTGAGCTAACCATTGATGTTAATGAGTTTTTAAATCAATTTAATTTCTAGCATTATTATTTTTGAGTTCAACAAATCTTTTCGTGACCGCGAATTTGATGACTAAAAGTAATCTTTATATTATTAATTGAGAAGTACATTCTAATGTTTGGATACAAGAATTAGAGAAACATCTATTTGGATAGAAGAATAAATGGAAACAAAAGTTGTTTGGATATAAGAATAAGAGAAAAATCTATTTGGATAGAAGAATAAATGGAAAAAATTGTTTGGATACAAGAATAATAACTTAAAATAAACCGATGGTTTAGAAAACTTCCGTTTTCCATCTCTTAAAAATCTGCAAAAAAAAAACTTAACATAATCTAACGATAATTCCAAATCAATAGAATATGCTTTTTGGATTTTCGGGTTTTTATAGACAAGTTCGGGTTTGGGTGAAAATCTGAGACATAATTTTATAGAGATATATATAGAGATATAGAAATTGTTCGGGTTTCTTTGAAAATTTCTGTTCGGGTTAGGTTCAATTTTTTTTTTCAGTTTAGGGTTTTCCGGATTTTTTAGATTTCTGGTTTTCGGGTTTAGATATATTAAAAAAATTGAGTATTTTAAAATTTTGATTAGGTATTGGGGTCGGGTTCCGGGTGAAAAAGTTTCCAGATTTTTTTTGTTCAGTCAGGGTTTTCGGGATTTTTTTGATTTCGGATTTTCATGTTTAGACCTATTAAAAAAGTTTGGGTTTTTAAATTTTTTGATTAGGGTTTTTTGTCGGGTTCGGATTTAGGGTTTAAATTTTCTACACAAAACAACAACGTCACACCGCACAAACGTGCGGGTACTCTACTAGTATTGTTTATTTGATGTGTGACAAAACATGAATGTGGCCAAACTGAGAACACTCATGGACCGCAATAATTTGGTCTAATAATAATAAGGCGCCGGCGAAGGAGCAGCACTGTACGACGGCGCCGGAGCTGGAGTGTACGACGGAGGCAGCTCCGTAGAAGGAGTGTACGAGGGCGGGAGCTCCTGAGTTGGAGTGTACCATGATTGGAACTCTGAAGTAGGATTGTACGGCGGCGGTGGGACCTTCGATGAACGATCGTAGGACGGAGGCGGGAGCTTTGGAGTAGCAGAGTACGGTGGGGAGAGATCCGGAGTAGGCCCAGAGCCCTTTCCAGGTTTTTTCTTTCTTAAAAATCTTCCTAAACGGAAGAGGAATAAAGATCTTCTAGGCATGGGGCTTTTAGAAAAGCTGAGACGAGACTGACTGTACGAGAATGGAAGCTCCGGAGTATGAGAGTACTGATGCTGAAATAGCTTCCGACCTGCAAGTATACACAAGACAAGGCATGCAAAAAGATGGTAATTTTGGAACACAAACTTTTATGGACTGTAGGAAATATATATACAATATAGGCGGTGAGGTATTTTATTATGTGTTTGAAGTTATGTTTATGTATGTAAACTAAAGTACGTACCTGCAGGAGAAAAGGATGTAGCATGGGATGTTATGAATAGCGCCATGAATGAGAAAAGCATAATCACAAGTAGCTTCGGTGAAGTCATTTCTCTCTTCTTTTAGTTTTTACTTTTTTAACAAGACTTGAAAAGTGATGAGTCTGATGAAAACATTGGTAATTACTAATTACTATTTATAGACCTTTGTTTCCCTTATAAGATGGGTCGAAAGCAGATTTTTATAAAACGTGTATGACTTTTCGATGTAACCCTCTCAAATATAATAGTCTTTTGAAAAATATTTTGTTTGCCTTTGAATTAGGCTTTGGTTGTTTCAATGCCTTGTTTACGTATTTACATTGTGTTTGAAAACAGATTTCACCATCTTTTTTATAACTTGTAACATATTTATTAAATTTAAAATATATTTAACTCAAAAACTAAATAATCACTCAAACATGGGGCATAACAGTGCGTAATCTCTCTAGCTATACCATCTAAAATATATGAAGGGGCATCAAATTCAAACATTTTTAAGTTAATTAATTATATTTATATTTGAAATGTCAATCCCATGGGTGTGGAATAGTAGCGGTAGAGAAAAACATCTTAAACTTTGATTTCTCTTTGTGTTGTGTTTTCTCTCAAATGACTATTGTTTAGTGGTAGACCGGGTCATACACAACGTAAATCACAAAAAAAAATTCTTTATCGTCTTCAATTTGTCTCCCATTGATGTTCATCTCCATCATTAGCTTCCTCATTCTCATTTTTTTCTTCATTACTTTTTTCTTCAGTATATACATTCAAAACCATTCTGGACAAAAACATTACCTATTCCACTTATATTCAAGTAGAAGTGTTATATAAACACTTACAAGCTATATTAATCATAAATAAGAAACTGGTTTATAAGATTAGGGAATTGGCAGGTGTTTGACGTCTGGTCTACAACCAAAACTTGAAGCCAGCAACAACTCAACAAGTATGAAGTCTGGTCTATTACCACAAGCAAAGATACTTACTATACAGTATTTTGATAACAAGATGGAACCAGATACATAAAAAAAATGTACATCAGATAAGCTCCTACATAGTTTCTCTCCAGCCCCATAGCCGGAAATACATTAAACCATACCAAATGTATACTCGGTTTACAGTCCAACCACGTTTAACCGGAGTAAGCCCTTATGATGTTCCTCTTGTCTTGCACCTCCACACCCTTTTACCTGTAACACCACACAGATCAGAGTAGCAATCATTTTAAAATTGAAACTGATACTACTTGGTTAGATCAGTGTACCAAGTTCCAAATGAATTGTACCAATACAAGCTTTAGTTGGAAACAGAAGAAACATTCAACTCAATTTATTTTAAAACTGATTCTCTTTGGATTAGACAAGTGCCAAAACCGGTCACAGATTATGATCCTGAAAGTGAATGTTCGTTACAAAAAATGAAGAACTTAGTTGAATTATATAGAAAGATTGATCTTTTTAACTTTCAGTCTACTGAAAAGGTAAAGACTTTCAATTTGAAAACGTTTTAACTGAACAAAGATTTTGAAAGTTACATACCCGGTTTGTGAAAGCCGTCTCCAGTTGAGTATTTCATGATGATTCTGCAAGTAGCTAGATGTTGTACTTCCTCCTCCAATCCCATTCTCTTCACTAGCAAACTGTTCTGAGTACCCTGACCACTCCGGGACTATACCTCCGTCCCTCTCTCTTCTTCCGCTGCTCGAAGATTCCGCGGTCGAGTCTTCAGTATTCTCTGCAACAATCCTGATATTGAACTCCGGAATCATAGCAGCGACTTGGTTTGAAGCCGGTTCTGCTCTCGGCTGCTGCTGCTGCTGCTGAGCCTGGTTGTTGTTGTTGTTGTTGTTGACAAGGTTCCTCGGAACCTCTGCTCTGCTATCTCCTCCTCCTGCATTTCTCAAACTCATAGACGACTCTTCGTCTTCTTCAGGCCTGATCAAAGAAGTAGTAATGCTTGGAACCATCTGATCCTCATATCTTCTCATTGGATTGATGATTCTTGCTGGCTCAGTCTCTTCCATTGTAATGTCCCTCGGGAACTCAATAGGAGCTTCCTCCACCTCAGCAGAATCACCAAGTCCTTCCTCTGATCCGTTCTCTATTGCAGCTCTTGAAGCAGCTTCTAACTGCCACATCTGCGAGAGAGCTTCATGAAGCCTCGCTTTAGCTTCATCTAATCCCACAATAGGTCGAGGATAGTTCGAACCAAGCTCGATACCAGCAGCTTGAAGCACGGACTCAGGAGCGTTCCAGGGATGATGTATCCACTCTGTGGGGAGTCTTGAGAGCTCTGGAAGCCATCTCCTCACGTATTCTCCATTCGGGTCGAACTTGTAACCTTCAAACTGAGGGTTGTCAATGCGATCAAACTCTCGGCTATCAGGGAGAGTGCCGGTGATGTATTGCCAACCAAGAGCATCACTTTCTAAATCAGCGTCGAGCAGAGTGTCCCAGAAGTACTTCATCCCCCATCTCCATGGCAGTTGCAGCACTTTAACGAAGAAGCTTGACACAACTACTCTAATGCGATCATGCAACCAACCAGTAGCCCAAAGCTCTCTCATCCCGGCGTCGACCAACGGATAACCGGTCCGGCCTTGTCTCCACGCCTTGAAATAGTTCTCATCAACAGCCCAAGGGAAGAACTTTAGATGGCCAAGAAGTGGTCTTTCATGTGAGTATGGATGGTTGAAGCTTATGTATCTTGAATACTCCCTGAGACCGATAGATTTGAGGAAAAGATTCACACTTTCTTCTCCGGCCTTGTTCCCTTCGTTTGCCCATGCGACCTGTTTGATCCGAACGAGATGGAAGACTTTTCTGACGCTCACTTCCCCGAAATGCAAGTGTGGAGAGAGAAACGAGGTTGTGGCACTGTCTGCTTTTCTGCGGTTCTTTGAGTATTCAAGCAATGGTCCGTTTATGAATGTTGTGAGAGCTTTATCACCGTTACTCCATCCCGGAGACCAAGCACGAGCAAGAAGTGCATTGCTTCCTTTCTCTGAGTCATCTTCAAAGACCAACGTATCCGCAACACACTTGGACACATCCCCTGCAACACAAAAAGGGTTAGATTTTTGAGATTTTGGTGAAAAGTTTACATTTACAAGAACAAACCTGAAATGATCTTCTTGGGAGGGAGAAGAGGAGACTCAGGGTCATAAGGCATGCTGAGACATCTTTCCCAAAAGGCAGCAAACATTGAGAAAGAACGGCCTAATTCATCAGTCACTTCCCATGGCTCATAAAGCAAATCTGCGTTGAATGATCTAACCGCTATGCCTTTTGCTGCCAGAGCGTCCTTTGCACGGTGATCACGGACCAATGATAATGGATCTGAAAGATCAAAACTTTAACTTTATTAGAGTTGATTCTAGTGGATCAAAGATTTCATTTTTTGTTTCATTTTCAAATCGTTTCATCCAAAACATGATGTAGCAAGATTCACAACACCAAAATAAACATAACCCACAAGAGCAGAGATAATTCCAATCACAAAAATGATATCTTTTAAGAAACCCATGAACCAATATGCAATTCAGATTAAAAGGAAGAGAGAGAGAAAGAGAGGGGAGGGAGATGAATACAGACCATACAAGTGGTTGAAGAAGATCTGAGAAGCGCCAGTGGATTTAACAACTTCAAGAAGTGAAGCAACACTATCAGTAGATCTCTTGGTGATGAGACAAGTACCAAGGCTTCTAAGAGAAGAATCAAGCTGAGCCAAACTGTTCTTGAGCCACCATCTTGAAACCCTACCTGGATGATAGTGTCCTTCTTCCTCTGGTGCCCATACAAACACTGGAATCACAGGACCAGCTCTTACAGCTGCAGCTAAAGCTGGATTATCTTCAACCCTAAGATCTCTCCTAAACCATACAATACTACACCCACCACCACCACTACCAGAACCACAACCTGACATCTCCTCTCAAAACTGAAAGACTAAAGCTTTTTGCCAATAAGCTGAAAATAGATAAACCCCAAATTGATTTTAGGGGAAAAAATATTTTTTTTTATTCAATCTGTTGCAGAAGAATCGAAACCCTTTGGTGGCTTATCTTTCTCTCTCTCTCTCTCAGAGAAGAAAGAAAAAAAATGGAATTGTGGAGATTTTTGTTGAGTAAGAGAAAGAAAAAAAAAAAAAAAGCTTATCTTTACGAATATCTCTGCTTGAGTGCCTCTCTGTCAAATGCAACTATACTTTTGGGAATAATTCACCCAAAAAGATTTTTCCTAATTTTGGACAAAGTAGACACAAATAATGACCAGCAGAAAAATCAACAAGCGTTATTTGGTTTACATTTATTTCTCTTTTCGTATTTATTATGAGAGCTACGGTTAGGAAAATAGTTATATCTAATTAAATTAATATTTTACTCGATTAAAATAAATTATCCATTTGTAATCAAGAAAAAAAAAACAAGAAATTGGAGGTTGATAGAGAGAGGCGAAGAAGATTTGACACTAGAACAAATGATTCAATTCACACGACGAGTTTTATTGGAAATGTTTTCCACCACAACTTTTTTATATCTTTATTTTGTTTCTTCCCACTTGAAATATTATCCCTATCCAATTGTAAACCAAATCAACTGTGACTCACAAGTTTTCTACTCCTTTCCCTAGAATTTCTCCTTTTTTTCTTTCTTTCTTTCTTTCTTTGTGCAAAAATAACAAAAAAGTATCTAATACTTTAGTTCTCTAGAATCGATTCTACTCAATAGATAAAAATTAGTAAAATGATTCCTCACATGGATTATAGTTGAAGTAGTGTTGGTTCATCTACACTAACCCACGAAATTTCAAAATGAATAGGGTACAATGTTATAAAATTATTTTATTTATTTATATTTTATTATCAAGGATAATAGCGAGATCATACAAATGATGTACTGAAGATGATTCTGAAATTTTATTGGAAGGTTAGGATATGAGAGAGAGTGACATATTAGCGAAGTGGGCGAGAGATGGATATGCTTGGCCCTCCTCGCCTTTTAGACATTTTTTTGGACTTTTATTTTATATATATATATTTTTTTTTACCAAAAAAGACAATCTATATCCTTCTTTATTTTTATATATAATTGTTTTTTAAGAGGTTAATTATGTATTTATGTAGGAGTTGATTTCACTAAAAATTCTCCAAATCACTAATATGTAATCGTGTTTTGACACCAAAACTACATAATCTTATTTTAACATTAAAATGGTAGAATTAGGAAATTGAGTTCTGACCCCAAAGTTATGAAAATATGTTTTAAAACAAAAATAAAAATAGAATTTTGGCGCTAATTTGGATTAATTTGTTAAAGAAAAATGATAACGAAATCCTGCGTAGGAGGCTACTCGAACTGTTATGTTGGGACACTAATGACGAGGATATAACCACTGTGCTACTGCTAAATATTCATATATTCGTATTTTAACATCAAACTTCCAAATTTATTTATTCGCGTAAAAAGTTATATAAATTGGATTCTCTTATGCTAAAAATGTTAATGTTCAGATCATTTTTTGTAAAATTAAAATTTAAAGTAATTTTTTGTAACAGCCATAGAATTCCGTTTTGGGGTTAACAATTACTATAAAATTATATTTTGGCTTCAAATTGGCTAAATCATGTTTTTTAACTAAAAGGGATATCAAGTTTTGGTTTACACTTGTATCATGTCATGAGATTTTTTTTTTTGTTTTTGTTGGAAACATTTAGCATGTAATTAGATAAATCGTGATCAAATATGCACAAAATGAAAGCATAGTGGACGGTCGAAGTTGTGTTTTTGAGACACCACAGTCGTCTAGTCTCGTGAATCAAAATCGCATTATACACGAGAACAATCTAACTTACCTAAAAAACCAAATTATTCATAATTTCAGCTCAATATTGAATTTCTTGGAAAAACATCTTCTAGTATGATGTGAATGATCTGTCGTCATGCCAAATAATAAGAACTGCAAAACTATGAAGGTTCTCTTTCATATACATTTCTGCTTTCACCAAACGAAATATTCTGGGTCATATAATATGAGTATGGGCAATGCTTGATTAAAGTTTTGCATGTGTGATGTCTGAATGCCGCCATTCACCGTGTGGTCCGGACACCGGACCCAGTTTTGTTTGATAATGTCGCTCTGTGTTTGTGTCTATTTATATAGCAATGCATCAATATGGCATACTTTTTTGGCAGATATGTACATACTTAAAAGTTATACTTATATATGTAACTTAAAAAGGACCAATTTGATGCTTTAAGGCCATCGCTAATAGCCATTAATTTTATTGTTAAAACTTTTTTTGTGATGAATAAGCAAGAAATCTTATTTTGCTGTAGCTGTTCGTCTCTAATAAAAAAAAACTACCATAGAGTTGTAACCTAATTTACCGTCGGAAGATTTGATGATTGTCATGTAGCAAAGTAGCTAATTAACAAAACAATTAGTTTTGGATCTTTATAAAATTAGCAACTGTTATAAACCCTCACACCACATGTCATGCAAATGACCAACGCATGTCACTCACTTTGGGCTCTCTTTCGTTTCTGATTCTTATGGGATCTATCAGCATTAGAAAGCCCATGTGTTTAACATATTTGTGGACTTTTAAGTCCAATTTTGAAATGTTCTTATTTAGTATTCGTTTCTTTTTTAACATCAGTTAACAAATATGCTTAATGCTTTACTATATGATTTGATTAACTAGAGTTGGACAAGTAAAAATTACAAAAAGTACGTGTGGTCTTTAGAACTATCAACTATGTGATAGACTATATACTTTGACATTCAAAATACGGGAAAAATAACAAAAAAGAAGAATGACTTAATCATACATATATATCCGGTTTTGTAAAAGCCAATCAATTCTGTCTAGCATACAAGTCTTGCTTATCGGAGAAATCTTTGGTTTGAGGAGATTGTTTAGAGCTAGTTAATATTATTAACAAGAAGAAGGAGAACATTGTGTTAGGAGAATTCTACTTGAAAATATTAGATATTGGATGGCTAAATTACCAGAATGTTCTCATAGCTATACTACTAATCGTGAAAGAAATAGTGCTGATGATGGCTTAGCTAAACATCTTTATATATTTCTGATGTGTTTTATTCTTCTTTTTCATCTTCTCCAGTTTGGCTGGTTAACAATTTGTATTTTCATATACTATCTAAACAAAAATTTAGTCGTTGCAAAATAAAAGTCTTGCTTATCGTGATTTCTTGAAGTATTGGGATATCCTCCGAGTCAAAAATTCATTTAACTTGTTGTTATTCCATTTTTTTTGTCTTTGAAAATTATTTAGAAAAATATTATACCTCTTGACGTGCCAGTCTAGCTGGACCAAAAACATCTGGGATCCGGAGACATCTCCATACCAAAACTGAAAAACCCGATCTAACATGTTTGATGAATAATTATATTATTGTGACATAATAAACCTGAAACCTAGATGATGCAATATTGAAATAGCAACAATTCATTTTTCAGTTATCGTCTTTAGAATTCAAAAACATGACATTATGTACGTAGGTGAGGCCAAATAAGCCGACTTAGTTAAAATCTATCGTACATTTTTATTGATAATTTTGTTGTTGATCATCCATTAATTAATTCTATCATATAAATCTTCGCTTACAAACATAAGAAAATCTTACTCTTTGATCCACTTTAACTTTCTCGCAAATCGATATATGAGCCCAATTCACATATGGAGAACTCTTTTTAGCTACATTTGATCGGTTTCAAAATTTGAGATCCAAAAGTAGCAAAATATTCAATATAGTTTATTTGCTGTCCTAAGGAGGCATATATAGTGTTGTTTCAAAGGGTTCCTGATCATCGTGCATTGAGTCCAATGGCGGATCCATAAATCATTTTTACCGAAGCTAAATTATATTAAAAGGATCGTAAAAACTGTATGTAAAATATTAATTAGTATATCCTTATACGAGAATAATAAATGAAAATATTTGGTAAAGTAAGTAAAAATACGCACAAAACTGCAATTTGGTGTGGTGTCCTTAGTCCTTTGGCCGTCGCTTGTGCAAAGGGGTTCGTTCAAACTTCATATACAACTTCTCAAATGGGATAAAACATGTGGCCCAGTGAGGCCAGGTATAGAGAAGCACTGGAAATTATATTTTATATGGTATTTATAAGATCACAAGTTCACAACTAATAATAATAAAAAAAAAGTTCACAACTAATATTATTTTTCTCAAATCAACAAGAACTAATAACAAAAGAAGGCGATCACATTAATGATCTTATACTACTAATCAGTGGCAGTCCAACAACATCTCAACAAATAAAGTATTTGTTAGATGAATAACATTAAATACTAAGATTTCATTAGTGATTAATTATATATATTCGATTAGAAAACTAAAACAATGACTAAGCTAGCAAAGTAGGCTTAGCAGTGAAGAGAAGAGACAGAGAGGTGTCTTCAGGTGAATGCATAAACTTGCAATTAGGGCACACCGGTGAAGCTTTGCAAAACATCACCAACATATGACACTTCATGCACACTTTCGCCACCATCTCTTCCTCGCCGCCACCGCCTTTACTGCCGCAACCATTGTTATCGAGGTCAAAAGCAACCCATGCCATGCTTTCTCTCCCCAACACCGAACCCTTCTTCTTCCTAATGTCATCTTCCTCATGATCATGATCATGACGATTTAGATCGATGAGAGACGGTGACAAGTTGAGTTCAAGATTAAGGCTCATGCGTTGGTGATAATATCCTTCTTCGATATTATTATGATTTCTATTTGTTGACTCCTCACTGGATCTTTTTCTCTGCATTATAAGATCCAGAACAATTCTTAAGTACACCTTCTAATTAAACCCATATGTTCAGCCACATCTAACTGAATGAAATGCATAGATCTACCAAAATATAGAGACTTTTTGTATACATTGTTGACTATACAAACTATATTTTTTTTCTAAAAACTTTCTCTCAACATCTTATATCAGAAAAAAAAAATCTTATATATTTTCGACAAACTAATTGCACAGAATCTTCAAATGTTATAACATCAAATATACGTTTACCTTCTGATGATCAAATGAAGAAGCTTCGGATGTTTTGATGAGCTCCTCATTTTCTAATAATTCTTGACGCTTTCTTTTTCTTGAAGTTTCTTCAGATTCCATGCAGTAAGACACAGCTAGGTCTCGCTTCTTGAGCAACCAGCTTGTTCCTTTCTCTGGAAATTCTAACATCACGAAGATCTACTTAATACGTACGATATGCTTATTTTTGTGTAGGCCAACCTGTTTCGATTGGCATTTTATATAGGCAGTTGAATAACACTAAATAGTCAATATGGCGAATTAAAAAGAAAAAAAAATAGAAGAGAAAAATTTATGGGCCTACACTGGCCATGCATGACGTGCATTCAAAGTTTCGCCTCTTCAATTACTGCAACCAGAGAGCTTATTTAAATCTCTCAGATGTATATTAATACATCTAACGCTCTACTACCTTCCCAAAATAATAAAAGGCTAATTTAATTTTGATAAGCTATTGGATGTATTTGAAAACTGGACACAATTTATTACGTTTATTTAATAATTTTCTGTTGTCTTGGACAGAAGGTAATTAATTTGGCCGCAGCAGGCAAAATAATATGATATCTATTGATAAGAGGTTCGTAGGTTGAGATTAGAAAAAGGCTTACTACGTTGCAAAGTAACTTTTAACCAAAACAAAAAGCTGCTTAGTAATGCTTATCTACAAAAGCTGCTTAGTGTTATTTAATCATCGACTTAGAGTTAAATTTAAATTTTAAGGACTCATGCATGTCAGTACAGATTGTAAAATCTCTGCATAGTATTTTGCTTTTAATAATTTACCATAGAACTAAATATTTTGCTTTGATCGTTTCAAATGACTCATAAGTAATAAACAAAAGTTGAAGGTTTTAGATGGAACCGAAATATAGTTGAAGGTTTTTCATGATCATTTCCCTTGTTATTAATACATGTAAAACATTAAAAGAAATTTTAATTTATCAAAAATATTTTTTTTCATTAACTAAAAAGGGATATAATATTTTGAGTAAATAAAAAATAATTAAAATACCACTTTCGTTTCATCAATTCATATCCATAAATAATAAAACATGCGCTTGTGCAAAGTAGCAATCACCCACTAATGTTTTGAAGCTTATTCAGCAAAATGCTCAACGCTAACTTAAATATAAGCACAGCTGAAAAGATCTAGTGAAAACAACAGCTACAATCAGACAAGAGTTCTTAAACAATAAATCTGAAATTACAACCATAGATTTGCAGAAGTAGATAGACAGGTGCAACAATAAAACGTTTTTCATAGTAATATCATTAAATGAGGGTTTACATTACACTGTACCAGTTTTCGGGTGTCCCTTAAATGGAGGCGGTGAAGGGTTCCATTTAATGTCGAAGAGTCAGACCATAATACAGTTGAAAGTGAAGTTGAATTGGAGAAGAAGAAGTAGAGGAAGAGACACTTCAATGCCTTTGTACACTGCAAAGGGAGAAAACATTTAGTATAGATGCTAAATTTTTCTTCAAATCAAAATTTATAAATAAAATAAATAGTTGATGTAACTTCTAACATATTTTACAGATTGTATATTTGTGATCTCCACAGGAAAATTTATGATACCTGTATCCTAACATAACAACACAATTTTTTTTTTTTTTTTAGAGCTTAACCATGCATGCAGCATATAGGGTGTTGATTGGCACTGCGATATGATATGATATAATCATAAAACAGTTTCATGATATTGGTTGTTCACTTTTTTGTAAATACAATCCGAATGATAGACGTTAGTTTAACACGAAAATTTTAGATTTAATACATGTTTGTTCTACAATTCGAGGGAAAATAGTCAAAATTTGGTTAATTCTTGATGTCTACTACGATCCCGGAAAGATTAGCCACAATCTGACATGCATAAACATCATATTCGGTATTCATACAACAAGACCATTCATGTATGCAGTGGAAAGAAAAACTTTATAGGATCAGTTTTGTTTAAGGAGCCCATCTCCTCATCCATTGCTGAATTCCATAGATCACTGTCCCTTCTCTGTGATTTTATAAATATCTTAGGTTAGTCAAGATCTTTAGTTTCAGCACTTGCAAGAGCATACACAATATCAACTTCTCCATATCTTGATGGTGGTTTAGATTCCCTTCTCCCACCATTCCCTGGCCAGAAATCCCAATAGATGCTATACAGTTTTTCAGATAAAAACTCATAGTGATGGTATATACATTGTGTCATTTTCAATCGTTTGAAAATTGTACATGGTTTTCCAAAGAGATTAAACCTAGTATTTTTAGAAGATTTTTTACGTGAAGATGGAACATGTGGATTTATATAAAAAAGTTATTGAGTTTGGATAACATTAGTTCATTTATACATGCATGTGTGTGTTAAAATGAAATGTAGAAAATGTATGAAAGTACCAGTTTATGAAGAGAAAAAAAGGTATAATGATTTTGTACAGTGTCAATTTCAATCGTCGAAAAAAGAACTCTAGGTTTAGTCAAGTTGTAATTTTGGTTGGTCTCAACTCTCAAAGGATATGAGTTCGAATCCCTGGATTCACCATGTGGATTTATGTCAAAAAAATTACTCAATCTTTGGATTAAATAGTTCATTTATACATACATGTGTGTAGACAATGAAATGTCTAAAAATGTACTCCTACAAAAGTACAAGTTACCACTTGAGTTTAAGACAAAGGCATGTCAGACTGTTTAGTGTCACGGTTGGTGGGTGACACTTTTAAATTTTGTAGTCCTTCCAAAATATTTACATCTCTGTAAAGCTCAATTTTTGTTTTTTTACATTAACGTCTCGAGTTTACTGATATTATTCATAATCTGATTAATAAGAGAGAGAGATCGTCAAATGGGTCCTTTAATCAACAAAATCATTCTATAAACAAACAAAACTAATGGGATCAATGAAGCCTCAAACATTCCCAAAAAAAAAAACTCAAACATGAAACTTAAGAGTCGTATAAAACAAGAAAATAATAAATAAGAGATGAATACTGATATTTTTGGGCCAAAGAGTCGAATTCATAAGTTAATTCGATTCTGAGTGTATAGGGCCAGAGACTTATTGCATGTTTCTTCTAACTTACAAGAATGTAAACAAACAAACTTGCAAAATGCAAAACCATAAAACTCCAAGAACAAACCATTCACATTTTCATTTCGAGATTTTAGCTGCTAGCTCTCTAACAAGCTTAGCCGCGACCATAGCCGTCATGCCATCAACAGTATCACGCTGCGGGTTGAACTCAACCACATCAGCTCCAACCACATCTGCTTGAAGGTTGTGTAAAATGTTGAGCACATCTCTGAAACTAAGACCTCCTGGTTCAATATGAGACACTCCTGGCGCAAACGCCGGATCGAGACAGTCCACATCAATCGAAATGTACACTCCCTTCACACCTTCCCCTAGTTTCTGTACAACAACATTCACATACATGACTTATAATAATGTCACCAAATGCACTAAACCGAACCGAACAGAACCGGACTCTAATGTACTAACCAGATTTTCCAAAACGTGGCGATCTTTTGAGAAGGTTCGCATCTCAAACTGTTCTACTCCAAATCTCTTGCCCTGTTCTCGTCCTTCTTGGTTTATCGATCTGATACCAACCTACAATGAAGTTTTGATTCTCCTCAGGATTATCTTTTCCAAATGTTATATACAACACAAGACATTGTACCACCAACCTGTAGAAGCCTCCGAGCATAACCACCTTCCATGATACGAGCAAAAGAAGATGCATGAGAGTACTTGTTGCCTTCGAAACAGTCATATATATCAGGATGTGCATCAAGGTGAAGAATGTCCACAGGTCCTCCAAGCTTCTCAGAAACCGCCCTCACAACGGGATAAGATATCGAATGGTCTCCACCTAAAACAAGCGGACGCAATGGTTCCTGACACAGCAAACAAATGTGTCAAAAAAAAAAAATAGAAACTTTATCTTCTAAACACCATTAGGATGATCCAATAAGTATCACATAACACTAAATACTACTCTGTTCCATGTACATAAATAAAAACTGTGTTGATTTCAAACACTAAGATGTCAAAAAGGACATCTCAACAGATTTGAATATTGGAAACCTATTTACTGAAAAGGTAAAAGTGGTCAAATAGCTAACCTCTTCCATGACAAGCTTCACAGATTCACTTATTACATTCATCAATCTATCATCATCAACCCCACAATCTCTAATCTCTTGTACTGGAACATCGCCAACATCAGTTAAAACCCGTGGATCCTTTAGCTCCTTCCCTGCAATTTTGTTCCACAATTTAACCTCAATACAAACAAGAAACACCTCATGGTTTCACTCTATTAAACCGTCCAATTCAAGAAACAACTCCAAAAGCAAAAAACTTTCACATTCAGAATCTAGAATCTATACAAAAGATAAAACCTTTTCAACATTCCAAACACAAGTTCGTAGCGAAAATCGAAACGAAACATAGAAAATCTTGTTACCTTCTTCAGTGGATGAGTTTGTGCTACCACACCAAATAGCTTCTCTGATTCTTGGAGGAGCAAAAGCAGGACCTTGAAGGAAAGAAGAATTGTGACCAAGTGGTACTCCAAGAAGAGATGTTGCAGCTTTAGCTCCTCCTAAAAGACGCACTAACTCTCCCTACAAAACAATCTAACTTTTAGTTTCATACTCATAATACAAACAAGAAAGAAACATTGAAAATGCAAAAAAAAAAAACGAAGCTTTTGATTAAAGTTGTATACTTTGAGTTTAGCCCTTTCACGAATGAGAGTTAACGAAGCATCAATTACACGATTTTGCCCTTTCTCTATCGAAGAAGCAGAGACGCTCGTGAACGAAGCGGAACTGAGTCTCTGTAAGTAGTGAATCCCTCTCTGCCCAATCTTCGACATATCTGAAAATTTTGTTTTTTAAGATTTTAGATCGATTCAACAACTTTTCGCAAAAAAAATGTAATCAGTGATTATAGTACAAACGTGAATCGCAGAGAAGGTTTAGTGATTTCAGTGATTACTTTGAGGAATCTTTGTTCTGAATTTTCTCGGGAAGAGCTAAGAGGACAATTAGTGACGAACGTTTCATTTCTGATTTTTAGCTCTTCTTGCTTTACGTTTCGTTTCCGTCCAAATTGATTTTGGATAAACAAATTTTTATAACACTTTGGGCTTTATTGTTATTCTAAATCTAAATATGTTATGGCCCATCATGGCGAGTCATAAGTCTTACTAGAGAATCTATTGACGTGGTGACCAAGAAAGACGAGGAGTAATCAAACCAAAACCTACTGAATACTAGTATACTACGTTGCATGTCACAACTTGTGGTAGCTATTTTCGGATTTTGAATAATTGCTTAGAGTAGACTTGACTCAGACTTTACATGTGTCATGTGTGATTCTTGTCTGTACCAAAGCAATATACATATTCACATTTCCAAGTTTGTTCATAATTTTTCTTTTTAACGAGAAATCAAACATGAGCACATAACTAAATAGTGTGAGCTCACTGATGCTCAATCATTTAACCTTACATGGTCAAGAGAGGAAATGGAAACTGGAAAGCGACCAGTCTTTAGTTTATTCTCTATGCCTTATTGAGCCATTTCCCTTCAATTATTCGCTATGCTTCATCTTTTGAAAACTCCAGATCGGCAGGTTTGGGAGGTAACGTATGTGGAGAGCTGAAAACATCTGATGTATTTTCCCTTTGATTTTGCAAAGCTTTGGCTATAAATCTCGACACATGGAGTGTTGCTCCCAGACTGAGCTGCGCGCCTTGTAGAGTCTGCTGATTTTCTCTTTCGGTGCTTAAGATCTTATCAAGCTTCCTTTTCCAGTGTCTCCTCCATGCTGCCTGTATGAAGAATGCTGCCCATTGTCGCCACTGCACTGAGTAGTGCCTAAAACCAAAACAAAAGGAAAATTTGAAGGCTTGTTTATGGTATGAAAAAAAACCTCAAATGCTACTCTGGTTTCTAAGCCTTGCCTGAACATGTGTTTGAATCTCATAATTTGAACGTGATTGAAATGAGAAGCTACAAATTTGAGATCATCAGGTAGGAAAATGAATCCTTCTACATCGGTAAGTGTCACTACTGTTCTGGTTGAGGTGGGAAGGCGAGAACCAGAATGTGGATGCATTATATCAAAGAGAAGTTCTCCACACATGTCACCTTCTCGAAGGTAACAATAATTGTTGTTTACAAGAGACTCAGTTTTACTTATCAGTTTGCCTCTCGTGATAATCAGCATTTCCTCAACCGGGTCACCCTGTCTCACTATGTAGCTATTCGCCGAGTAGAACACAGACTTCACTCGGTCGCATAGTGCTTCTAGTAGCCAACCATCATCAATGATGTCTATCCAAGGAACCTAGCAAGTAAAAAAAGGCTGGTGAACCTTACACAGATCAATCAACCACAAAATGTAGCTTACAATTTTTAACAGTTTCAGGCAAAGGTGGCGTTTGGTTTCGAGTCTGAGGTCCTTTGGAAGGCTGCGAAGAAGAGCCTCCTCTTCGATGCCTCTGGTTTCTCTCCACTTGTAATCCTCATATCTCCTAATGCGTTCCTTCAGATACTCTGGTAGGATCCGATAGGACATCCATTTTTCAGTGTCTCTCTTTTTCTCCTCCATTTCATCTACTCTAGTCGTAGTTGATTGCAAGTATTTCTGTAATCACCACAAGAATCTTCTCAATCTAGTTGACTCAGCTTTACGAGATCAAAATCTAGTTTATGAGGTATGAGCATTACCTGAACGTTTCCAATGAGCACAGCAAACAAGAGTAAACCAGAGACACAAATGATGGTAGCAAAAAGGATCTCCTCTACGGAGTTGCTTGTCTCCAGGTTTTGTCCTAAAGCACTATAATAGTTAAAAGACTAGGTCAGCCTATGATTGTCAGACAGTCCCGAACACTGATGTACTCCTTTTGTTCCTATATACTCCCTTTATAAAAGTTCTTTAAGGTTTCTGCACACAATTTAAGAAAACATATGAAAATTTCTGGAATACCGTTCATTACTACAATAATTCATTTAACTTTCTTCTTAATATACTAAATAATTAAATGAGGATAAAACTGGAAATTTACTCTAAATTATGCATTGAAAATGTAAAACAACAATTATAATGAAATAAAAAATCTTATATATAATTAGGGAGTTCTCTTTCCATCTAGTCTATCCACATCAGAAAAAAATTCATTAAATTGTACTTCCTCCGTTTCATATTAAGTGTTATTTTGACAAAATGAATTTGGACTATTTATTGATGTATCTGAATGTCTTTTGAGTCTTAATACATCAATTTATATCTAGATACATTGGGTAATTCAAGAGTCAAAACGACACTTATTATGAAACAGAGCGAGTATTTAAGATATATAATACAAGACTATTGATATTTCTTTACATATATTCATATTTTAAATATAAATAAAATTAATAAAAATACATAAATAAATTACTTAATTACTAGAAAGTATGTGGTAACTTGATGTTAAAAGTTATCAAAAAGTTGGAATATAAATGGAAATAGAAGTAAAGAAATATTTAACTTGAAATGGTATATACTTACCTTTTTATTTAAAGGATTTATCCTATTTCAAAATGTTCTTAATACGTTTACAAGTTAAAAAATTGAATATAAACTAATTAAGATAACATAAAGCTAATGAGAAATTAGAGTTAGAGTTTGTATTTTAAAATAAATAGAAGTCGAGTTTTTATATATAGATTTATTTGCAGTGAAAAACATTTATTTTATTTATCTTATTTTGGGTGCAAATGCGATTTTACATTATGTTTACGAATTTTAACTTTGAGCCAAATGCATATGCATGTTTATAATCTAATAGAAGTAAACAAACATAATATTTATAACATGCTAACTTTTTAGAAATACAAAACTCAAGATAAAATGGGGTGCTAATATCCTAATAAAATAAAAAACAAATTGTTTATAGTTTTTAGTGTTAGTGCTTGAGTTAACTCAAAACATAACAAAAAATGAAAGTTAACACAAACCATCATAATTCAAAAATCAGAACAAAGAGTATAAATAAAACTATTGTAAATAACCCCACGCTTACGCGGAGCTTCAAATCTAGTTAAGGATAAAATGACACTTATTATAGAGTTTCACATAATATTTATTGCTTAACTTTTAATGCATTAATTTCCTGCATAAACCACTTTTTAATAAATTTTGACCAATAATAATTAAAGAATTCAGTTATTTTTAATTAATAGTTCTTGAAGTGTGTAACTTGTTAGCATTAACTAACAAAAAGTACCTTAAAAATTAATTCCTCCGTTTCAAATTACTTGTCTTTTTAGGAAAATGTATATGCAATTATCTAGATAGATTAAGGTCAAAACACATCAAAATAATTGCATATATATATTCCCAAAACGATAACTAATTAAAACGGAGAGAATATAAAACATCATATATTTGGAAAAAAAAAAAAAAAAACTAAAACATCATACTAGAACAGAGTGAGTATTTGTCTTCGCATATGTACTAACCTAAGATTTCGAAGACCCCACCAAAAGCAGTAGAAGAACTTCTTGGGAAAGTCCCTTGACTCTACCACCCCAGACTTTAATGCACCAATGTACATACCAAAATTGAAGACTGTGGAATTTGTGATTTGGTCAGGATCAATTAATGGGCAAGAAGTGTTTAGAAACTGATGGTTATCTCCGCCACCTCGTGCGCAATACAGATTCTTGAGATTACATCCAGGTGTAATACCACACGCCTCGCGCCAGCATCTGTCTTTCTTTTCTATCGCAATCAAGTACCATAAAGCCCCAATCACCTGGCCATCGATCATCAAAGCTTTAGCAATATAAAGTCCGACAAAAGCATAGACAGTACAAGTGAGAGCAAGGACTTACATGACTCGGAAGCATGTAAAGGAAAAGGTTTAAAGTAGCTCCAACCCACTTTGTTTCGACTACTCTACCAGAAGCTCTGGTCACTTCTTTGAAAATCGGATAGATACGAATGCTCCTCGGTATATATTGACAGAACATAACCCATTTCAGTATCTCCTTTGTCACCAGTTTGGCAGTTTGTTGCTTTCTTGTAAGATGAGCAAGAACTACCGCCTGCAAGATTTTGCATTGCACATCTCTAATCATCATTCTGAATTTTTTTTTTTAGCTAAGAGTAACTACGCAAAGGAAGTGAGCAACACCTGAGGAATGGGGAGAACAGAGACAATGTCAACAATGAAGTAAAAGAAGAAACGTTTTTTCCTCTTAGCTTTAGAATGCTCAACAACCTCGCCTCTCAAAGATACTTTCGAACGAGGAGCAACGACCACGGTTATATAAAGAAAAATGATGTGAAGAACATAGAATGTGTCGATAAAGGTTCGAAATACACAAACTGTTGCTCCAAGATTCTTGTCAACGGTAAAGCAAAATCTATGAGAGTCAATCACAGGGATAAAGAAAAACAAAGGATCAATTGCCAAAGCAAGAACACAAACGAACAGCATAGTCTTTCTCCAGTTTTCAATAGTTCTCATTTTCCCATAAATCTTCAACAAGCCTCCTCTAACACTTTTGAAAAAGGTTGAAGATCTCTCCACATTCCTAGTATTAAAACTGTATTAAAACAAGATATCAGCAAATCTTCGAACAAATATATAAGCTATTTTAAACTAGTTCATCAGAATTCGAAGAAGCCACCTCACAAAGTTACTCCTCTTATTATTCATGTATATTGTCTGTAGTGTCTTCTTCTGCTCAATCTCCAAGTTTCTTCCCAGAGAGTGGCCGTACAACAAAAGGAAGCCCACTCGGTTGTTTCTCTACCTAAAAGAAATTGATTTCATGAAAACTATAGTAAAATAAATTAGAAAAAAAAAGAGAGGGGATTATACACTTTGCAATGAGTATCTAAGAGAGGCTGAAACTCTCAATTAATTTCAAACAGAAAGAAGAGAAAACCAAACCTGGCAGTGAGAAAACGTGAGCCAATATTGGTGGTTTCAGAAACTTTTTCCCAGCTTCTTCAAAGTGTTTTTAAAGCCGTAGTAAGTCACTCTGGAAGAGGACACAAACATATTAAACATCTAACATCTCTTCCAGACACCAAAAAGTCAGTTTTTTTTTGTCCGTAAGAAATATATTTATATATAAACTGAGAACAAATATAACTATGATACTTGACAAAATAAAATAAAATATAATCATAAGACTTCACTAACGTGCAAGTTTTCTTGATTGACCAAATGGTCCATTAACGTTTCTACACTGAGAGATCCGGATTTCAATCTTCAAAGACTGCGGTTTTTACAAGTAATGAAGACAAGCATATACGTTCATCGTGGTCAAACTTAATAAAACACTGACTGATCACAAATGGGCCATTATTAAATTTTTATTCTTAAAGTAGACTTATAAGTTTTGTTCCCTAAAATTAACACAAATTCAACATGAAAATGATTCAAAACTTCTTCTTAATGGAAAAAAGTAAAAAAAAACTACAACCATAGTTTATTTATGGTAAAACAAGTGTTCTGAAAATATGTTGTGCTACTTTATAATTTTTAAATTTAATTTGCTACATTTTGATTTTTGTGTGTGTGTGTCTATTTTAGGGTATTTCTTTTTGTGTTATACTGTACATAGCAAACTTTTTGTATTCACCACTCTATGTTTAAGTTTTTTGTTTCTGGTTACTCCACCAGATATATATATTAGAGTAGCTGGTATTTCATTATCGTACCTTCATCATGCACATAAAGTTGACAAAATAACAAAAGAAAGATAAAAATGAAGAGAACAATGGAGATGGAATCTTTAATGAATACCAAAAGAAAGAGCAATGAAGGAGACCGTAACGAAGAATTTTGTTGATTTGGTCTCTGATTAAATAACTTTTTCTTATCCTTGATATTATTGATTCATTGTACTTGTCATTATATATAGTATTCGTTCAACTTTCTGATATTTTGTAAAGTTTGATGATGAAAACCGTTTTGATGAATACCTTTCAACAACTGAGAGATTGAAGAGACAATGGAGGTGGAATCATATACTCCCTCCGTTCCTAAATAATGAATTTTCTGGACATTATTTGTTGTTGCTTAAAGATAAATGTTCTACTTTTTTAGTGTGCTTTTTCATATTTCAAGAAACATTAATTGTATTTGCTGGATTTTTATTGGTTTAAAATTATAAAAACGGTTTTATTACGAAAACCAATATATTAAGATTAAAAATCAAAAATTTTTTAATAGTTGTGAAAAATCTAAAAAATTATCTTTAAGAAAACAGAGGGAGTATATATGAATAAGAGTCAGCCCTCTCTATGTGAATGACACGTGGATGCTTAATAAATTAACACATGACAAAGATTTTGAAGAAGATACATATTAAAAAGAGTAGCTTCTTCAAATTCTTGGTCGTTGGAGTCATTACACACAAGTTTTTCAAAATCATCGATTGTTACACATTGCATTGCATTAACACTCTATTCATTAACATATGACATGACTTTTCTTCTTCCTTCCAATTCATAATTGTCAATCTTATTTATTTGCCAAACATTTCAAGTTTTCATAACGAAAACCACTCTATTAATTACTCTAACGTTATTACCTTTCGGCTTCCATCATGAATCATTATTAAACATCTAAATTTTTCTAATATACAGATTCAATAAAGAGTGGTGGCGGAAAATCAGAGTGGTGATGAATAACAAAGAGAGTTGAGAGCACATAGACGTGTGGTATAATACAAAAATATATATTGGAAAGCCAATCGCTAACCAAACAAATTGGAATTAAATTGTGGATATTATTTGGAGTAGAGTTTATAATATTTATCGCAAATCTAAAATTGTTTTCGACATTTTAAAAAGATTATAATAATAGAAAAAGTCTAGTCGTTGATGAATATCACAAGACAAGTTATAATGAGGCCGTAACGACGGCTCCAGTTAATTTGGTCTCCGATGAAATAATTTTTTTTTCTTATTCTTTGATATTATTGATTCAGATTACTAGTATTCGTTCAATTTTCTATTTTTTTTAAAGGTTCGATGATGAATACCAAAATTTAAACGACCAAGCTTTATAGAGGTCAATCTAGAACCAAGTTTTGTCGAGGTACGATCGTCGTAGCTATGTTCTCCGTCCAACACACAAAAATAACTTTTAACAATATAATTACTTGTACAATCATTCAGTCCTTATGATATGTATGATAACGCTTCATTTTGTTTTGTATAGTTTCAGCTTTGTTTTTTAATCAGTATATCTGGTTTGCAGCAAGAATATATCAGTTCCAATTTGTTTTTTTGGTACTATTAAAAAGGTAAAACCTTGCTTCGATTCGGATCGTATCATAAATCAGCTTGGGTACAATATGGAAAACCAATGACATCCGGGTTCGTAGAAACCAAACAAGAATTACAACAGAGATACATCGATACAACTTATCGGTTGTGTTTTATTTGTTGAACAACACAAAAAGGAAAAATAATATGGTCAGAGAGACTCACATAAATACTTTGAAAGCATGTTTTTCATTAAGTAGAAGGAGATAACTTGAAGACGATACATATCAACTCATTATGCTTGCCAGACTCTTCATAGTTACCAAACAAAGTTAAGACACTCATGTACTTTTCCTTCACAAATTTTGAAACAAACAAAACAAAAAGACCATCACTGAAGCAATCCGAAGATAAAAGATTTGTTTGCACAAAAAAAACAAAAATACAAGTTGTCACCGAAAACAAATCTTATTGTTAGACTTCTTTTAGTATTGGTCCCTAAACCATTAAAATCTTTTGCAAAATATGTAAGAATACTTACATAAAAGCGCAGATACTTGTCTCTGTAGATTCTGAACACAAAGTCTTTGCCAGGTTGAAGAGGCCATGCATCCACCACCTCACGGATGTCTTCATATCTTGTTACACGAAATCGATACTCTTCAATTTTAAGGGACAAATCTAAAGCTTCTGAATAGAGCCTTTTGCCTGTACACCAAAACAAAAGAATATATTTTGTTGAGAATGTATTGGAAACTAGAAGGACAAAAAACTTAATTATAATTTTTTTTGCTGAAACTAAGATTAGAAACTTACTTTTATTACTTATAGAACCGTGTATGATAATATATTGAGTGTCGTCAGGAGAGACTTCCACACGAGTGATGTTACCGAAATTGTATCCCTTTTCTACAACAGTCCGGAAATTAGATAATGGTCCCATTGATCCGTTAATAAAAAATATTGATAGGAGCAACAATCTATATATGAAATAGAGGTCTATAGTTGAACTGATTTTTTTCTTTTTTAAAAGATAGCTATGATACTCCCTCCGTTTCAAATTAATTGTCGTTTTGGCAAAATGTATCTGCAAATATTTGGACGTATCTGCAATGCAAAACATGTCCAGATACGTCCAAATATTTGCAGATACATTTTACGAAAACGACAACTAATTTGAAACGGAGGGAGTATATATTAAAAACAAACAAAAACATAATTTTTTTACCCAAAAACAAAAATGATAATTGCTAGACTAACAGATCGTTACTTACTGTTGCAATATTCAAAATCAATCAAGCCACCAAAAGCAGGTAAAAAGAAGAGTGCTGCGAGAATAACAAGAAGCAGAGGCTGAACGTAAGATATCGCCATGAATCTCCAAATGTGGAAACGGACTTTTTCAGTTTGGTTTCACAAACAAGTTTGTAACATGTGCTATGCAAGTTCCATCCACGCCTAGTGTTTTATAGTCTATAAACTATAATATTTTCCTAAATTAGTGGATCGGACCCTAATTGATATTGTAGAATTGAAGTATGAGATTTGTTGAAGCTTAAAGCAAAGTACTTATACAAGAAAATTATGTTAGGATATAATTCTGACTGATCAATATCTGATCGTCCTTAGACTGTGGTTTAGACTAGGATTATGGATCTAGATTTACGATCCAAATTAGTCTAGTGTTATCATTAGAGTTGTATTTGTCTTCCTTACATTTTATTTAGTATCCGGTAACAAAAACAAATTATCAGATTATATACTGGTTTATGTTGGTTATTGAGACTTTGGTTTATGTTAATTTCGGTTTAGTATTTTGACTGTTGTATTTAAACAAGAACGTTGTTTTCTTTTATCTTTTAATGAAGTTTAAACTTAAATCTAACAACCTCTCGTTAGATCTGAAATGGTATCAGAGCTTTTTCCCATGAACTTCATTCAAATTCCTTCCGCTTTTTCTCAGATCTCTTGAGAATCGATTGATCCTTTTTTCTCTTTCGTTTTCGTGTTCGTCGATTGATTCTCAACAGTTTGATCGGTGAATTTTTTCGATCGGAGCTTTTTCTCGTATCACCACTTTTTTTCCTCGTTTCATCTTCATCACCACCTCAAATTTCCATCACCACCTCAAAATCTTCATCTCCACCACATATTATATACTTCCGCAGCTCAATTTCACCTCAATCCATCCACATCTTCATATCTCCGATCGATTTCATTTTTTTTCTTTTTCATCTTTTTCCGATCGCGTTTTCTCTCCGATCGTGTTTAATCTTTGATCGCGCGTCTCTCCGATCATTTTTCCGATGGCTCACAATCAATCCACGGCACCTCACGTCGTCAACTCCGATCCATACGCGAATCCACTGTTTCTTCATGCTGCTGACAATTTTGGCGTGTATTTGGTAGCAGATAAACTCACCTGTAAATCAAACTATCACACATGGCGTCGTTCGATGATCAAATCTCTGAACGCGAAGAACAAGCTTGGATTCGTCTACGGTACTCTCGCAAAGCCATCCGAAACACATCCAGATTTTGGATCATGGACTCGATGCAACGACATGGTATGTACCTGGATTACAAACTCAGTCTCGAAGGATATAGGATCTGGAACGGTTTATTTCGATGATGCTCATCTCATGTGGTTGAACTTAGAAGGAAGGTTTAGGCAGAGTAACTTGTCTAAGATCTATGCTGTTCAAGATCAACTCGATCATCTCTATCAAGGATCGCTAGATCTTAGTGCATACTATACTCGCCTCACCACTCTTTGGGAAGAACTGAAACACTTTGAAGAGTTACCATCTTGTACTTGTGGTAATTGCACTTGTGGATCCAATACTCGCTGGCTTCAGCTCTATGAGAAGAGAAACATTGTCAGATTCCTGATGCGCCTCGATGATTCTTTCTCACAAGCTAGAAGACAGATTATCATGATGGATCCACTCCCGGAATTCACCAAGATTTACAACTTCATATCTCAAGATGAACAACAGCGTGGTCTCTCATCTACACCGGAGGCACCTGTGTTTCAAGCAAGTGTAAATCAACAGAAACCGCGTGGGAACTACTCTCAGTCTAAGCCAAGACCTCTTTGTACTCATTGTGGCCTCCTTGGACACACAGTCAATCGCTGCTACAAATTCCATAGATATCCTCCTGGATACAAGTCGACACGTCTGCTTACAACACAGAGAAGTCTAAAGGCCGATTCCCACAGAAAAATGGTCCACAGAATGGCATTCACATGGTTTATGATCACCCTACAGAAGAGACTCAACAGCTCATTCCTCAAACTCAGCTGATATCCTACAATGGACAATCTTATGCTCCTGTTAGTCTCACTTCCACAGGGACTATTGAAGCTCCGACTTCAAATGTGAATCATTCTGTGAACATGGTGAATTCTGGAAAGAGCTTGATGATTAGAAATAGCTCGCAGAGTGCAGAACAGATAACTCAGTTGATTGCTCAGTTGAACAGACAGCTCGATGGTTCCGCGTATCAAGTCATACGTCCACCTCCTGCCTCAGGTCACGTTGGTTCTATCTCAGCACAAGGTACATCTCTCGTACCTTCTCACACTATTTCTGTTTTGGAACCAAGCCTTACTTTACCTCAAACGGTTTGGATTCTTGATACTGGAGCTAGTTGTCATATCTGCTATGACCTGAATATGTTCTCTACTATCAGTAATACTGAGCATACCACTATCACTCTTCCCAATAAAACCACCATCCCTGATCATTTCTCTGGAACCGTTCATCTTAGTAACAGACTTATCCTTCATAACGTTTTCTATGTGCCATCGTTTCATTTCAATCTTATTAGTGTCAGTTCTTTAACGAAAAACAAAAATCTTTCTGTGCATTTTTATCATGATGCTTGTTACATACAGGATCATACTCAGGAATGGATGATTGATCAGGGTGATCAAACCAATGATCTTTATCTCCTAAACCAAAATGATTCCCCTCAGCGACATGTTTCATGCATGGTTGCTTCTCCTGAGCTTTGGCATCAACGCCTGGGTCACCCTTCCTTATCAAGGGTTCAATCATTGTCTTCAAAATTTAATCTTCCTCAAAATATTTCAGATTTTCATTGTAAAGTTTGTCATTTGTCAAAACAAAAACGTTTACCATTTGTTTCAAATAAAAACATTTCTGAGGAACCTTTTGCATTAATTCATATCAATACATGGGGTCCTTCTCATGTTACTTCTGTTAATGGTTATCGTTTCTTTCTGATTATTGTTGATGATTGCACAAGGAATACCTGGATTTACTTTCTTCGACAGAAAAATGATGTTTTAAAAGTTTTTCCTGAGTTTCTCAAGCTCGTTTCCACCCAATATGGTTTCCAAGTAAAAAGCATCCGTTCGGATAATGCTCCAGAACTACAGTTCAAAGAGCTTCTTTCATCCCTTGGAATCCTCCATTTTCATTCTTGTGTTTATACACCCCAACAAAACTCTCTCGTAGAAAGAAAACACCAGCATCTTCTCAATGTTGCTAGATCCCTTTACTTCCAGTCCAAAATTCCTCTTCCTTACTGGCCAGAATGTGTCTCTACTGCTGTATTTCTGATTAACCACACACCAACCCAAATTCTAAACAACAAATCCCCTTTTGAGCTTCTCCACAAAAAGATCCCAAACTATTCGGATTTGAAAGTTTTTGGTTGCCTGTGCTATGCATCAACATATCCTAAAGATCGACATAAGTTTACAGAAAGAGCAACACCCTATGTTTTTCTTGGATATGAATTTGGTTTTAAAGGCTATAAGGTTTTGGATTTGGAGTTTAACTCTACATCGATTTCTAGAAACGTTGTTTTTCATGAAAACATTTTTCCTTTTGTGGAATCGCCATCTCAGAAAACTATTACTATGTTTGATGAATCAATCTTACCATCTTTTGAAAATCCCAAAAACAATGAGCACATTTTATACAATGATTTCAATTTTTCAAGGGATAATGATGTTATTAATGAACAAGTTCCAGAGAACATACCTTCATCATCCCATTCTCCATTACCATCACCATCAAATACTTCTCATCCCACACCACCAAATACTCAGGTTGATACAGAGAACATGCGCAGGCCCTACAGACAGACTCGTGTTCCAAGTTATCTTCAACAGTACCATTGCTCTAACATCACAAAAGAGCCTTCAGTCTCTCTTCTTGGTACTGCTCATCCTTTGTCTGCTTATTTGTCTTACGATAAACTCTCTCTTGAGTATCGTCTCTTCTGTTTTTCGATACTTGCTGAGAAAGAACCACAAGCATTCAAAGAGGCAGTGAAGGTGCAACATTGGCTTGATGCGATGAACCTCGAATTGGATGCTCTAGTGAGTACAAAAACTTGGGTTATTTATTCTCTCCCTGAAGATAAACATGCTATTGGTTGTAAATGGGTGTTTAAATTGAAGTATAAGTCTGATGGTTCTTTCGAGCGTCACAAGGCACGTTTGGTAGCAAAAGGGTACACTCAACAAGAAGGAGTGGATTTAATTGATACTTTCAGCCCTGTTGCAAACCTCAAGACAGTTCGTGTTCTTTTGGCCTTGATTGCGATTCACGGCTGGAGTGTGAGTCAAATGGATGTCACAAATACCTTCCTGCATGGTGACTTAGAAGAAGAGATATACATGCGTTTACCATAAGGTTACACACCAAGACAGGGGGAGTCTTTACCAGAGAAGCCTGTCTGCAGACTTGTCAAGTCTCTATACGGCCTCAAGCAAGCATCTCGCCAATGGTTTCACATATTCTCTGGAGTTCTCCTTGCCTATGGTTTTACTCAGTCATATGCGGATCCAACATTGTTCGTTAAGCAAACGGAAGAAAGTTTCCTTGCTCTATTGGTTTATGTGGATGATATTCTATTGGTCAGCAATGTTGATGAAGTTGTGGTTGATCTGAAACGTCTTCTTGCCAAAGAGTTCAAGATCAAAGACTTGGGTACAATGCGTTACTTTCTGGGTTTGGAGATAGCAAGAGCAAAGGCTGGTATTTCAGTTTCACAACGAAAGTACACGCTCGAGCTATTGGAAGAGTTTGGTTTTCTTGGATGCAAACCCGCACCAACACCAATGGAAATCAATATCAAGCTTGGCCAGGACGACGGAGAATTACTTTCTGATCCTTCTCACTACAGGAAGCTGATGGGCAAGCTTATCTATCTCACCGTGACTCGACCGGATATCAGTTTTGCAGTCAACAAGTTGAGCCAATACAACTCTCCTCCGAGAGAGCCTCATCTTGAAGCTGCACACCGTATCCTCCGTTACTTGAAGAATGATGCAGGACAAGGTCTCTTCTACTCTGCTCAATCCTCCCTCACCGTCCGCGCTTTTGCAGATTCAGATGGAGGCACTTGTCCCGATACAAGACGCTCAGTAACTGGCTACTGCGTCTTCCTTGGTGATTCTCTGGTTACTTGGAAATCAAAGAAACAGGACGTGGTTAGTAGAAGCACAGCAGAGTCAGAATACAGAGCTATGGCGAATGCTACATGTGAGCTTCTTTGGCTCAACTCACTGCTAGAGGACTTGAAGATAAAGCTTGATGATACGATCGTCCTCTACTATGACAATGAAGCTGCACTGCACATCGCAAAGAACTCTGTCTATCATGAGCGCACCAAACACATCGAGCGTGACTGTCATGTGGTTCGTGAACGTGTGGCTTCCGGCTTCATGAAGACATTGCACGTGAGTTCTCAACACCAGCTCGCAGATCTCCTCACAAAGCCTCTCACAGCGCTTCAATTCAACCATCTTTTGTCCAAGATGGGAATTCATCACCTTTATTCTCCATCTTGAGGGGGAGTATTAGATTATATACTAGTTTATGTTGGTTATTGAGACTTTGGTTTATGTTAATTTCGGTTTAGTATTTTGACTGTTGTATTTAAACAAGAATGTTGTTTTCTTTTATCATTTAATGAAGTTTAAACTTAAATCTAACAACCTCTCGTTAGATCTGAAACAAATGGACGTAGTAGCCTATATGTTCCTCGTTGATGAACCACTAAAATATGTTTGTGGATTTATACGTTTTCTTACGTTTATCTTTCTCATATCCGTTGATAACTTTGAGGATAAAGATACATGCAGTTTCCTATTTAAATCCAACTGGATGGGAGGATCTTAAGTGACATCCCATATTATACGCGAAAAAGTAAGTAATGATGATACATCACATTTTAAACCATATATTACAAGCACGTGGATTCATCTCGGTGAAATTAAAGTTTCTGAAAATTCTATTGATCTGTCTTAAAGTTTGAAGCAAAATCAGGATTTGTACGTTAGCTTCAAACGTGAGGTTCTTGCATGATTTTCAAAAAAGAACATATATATATATATATATATATATATATATATATATATATATTCTTTTTTTTTTCTTGATAACTCAGGGGTAAATCCTAGGCCTATGGTCGGGCCCAGACTAATCCCCTGAAGAAGGTGCATCCCACGGATAAACCCTCTCTCCGGATATTCAAATGGGCCGTAAGCAGGGGCCCATATCCGTGTAGGTGTCCAGAGACAATCATGAAGTAGTTCCCTCCAGCAGGGTTTGAATTCACAATCTGGGTGCAGGAAGGAGCCCATCCTAACCATTGGGCCACGATGCTCCAGACAGAACATTTTTTTTTTTTTTTTTTTTTTTTTTTGTCGACAGCCTCTATTTCTAGAGCAGCTCGGGAATCCAAGCTGATGAAACAGAGTTTACATAATACACATCAGTAGGTAGAGCTCGAGCACTCCGTGCTAACTTGTCCGCCTTCGTGTTTTCTTTTCTTGGTATTTGCATAATGGAGAAGGAGATAAACTTCCTCTTACACCTGTCAACCTCATCAAGCAGTGTTGAAAATGCCGGCCACTCCTCTAGTTTAGACACCATCTTCACCACATCGGAACAGTCCGTTTGAAAAACCATTAAGAGCTTGTTAAGTCGTAACATACACTGCATCGCCCAAAGAAGAGCCTCCAATTCTGTCTGAAATGGTGATATACCCCGCCTCAAATTACATGTTCCCATAATTTTATCCCCAAATTCAAGGTTACAGAAATACCATCTTAACCCAGCTCTGTGTTCTGTATCCTTCCACGCCCCGTCGACCTGACAAACATCCTCCACTATTGTAGTTTCCTCCGGGGATGATGAACTAGGATACCTTGTCTCCGATTTCTCCTGGGCCGTTGCCCATGCCGTCGCCTCCGCCGTTGCTTTAACAATTATCTCATTTGGGTCCCAATCCACATTTGCAATCACCTTATCATTTCGAGCCTTCCAGATATACCAGATCAACCAAGGGTACATCCTCATCCTATCATCATTTGTTGGTAAGTGCCAAAACAAATGTGTCATATTTGTGAACAGTCCCGCTGTCGGAAAATGGGCCGGAGCTGTGGGAATTGGAGATAATGCCCAAACCTGTAATGCTGGCGGGCATTCAAACAAGGTGTGGTTTACTGTCTCTGGCGCCATTCCACATCTCATGCACTGTGGATCTATCTGCATACCCCGACTCCGTAATCGTGCTCCGACTGCTATACATCCCGTCAAAGCTTGCCACATAAAATGTTGCAATTTTTGAGTACACCGTATTGTCCACACATGCGATTGAAGCCGTCGTGTATCCGGACCAAAGAAAGTGGGACTACTGTCTTCCATAGTTTGTTGTTCTATTGCGTATCCCGATTTGACCGTGTATCTATCCGTCTTTATGTAAAACCAATCTAAAGAGTCTGGCCGGGAAGCGTGGGATGTCGGGATCCCGATGATCCTAGCGACATCTGTGCTAGTAAATAATTGATTCAATAATGGAAGATTCCACGTTGCTGTGCTGGGATTTATTAATTCACTCACCCGAAGGTGGGGATAAAATTTAATCCCATGTCCTATTGCTGGCCTCGGGCTAGAAGCTGGAATCCATGGATCATCCCAAATAGAGATAGATGTTCCTGAACCAACTCTTTTAATAAGTCATTTTTGTACCAGAGGTCGAGCCGAAACTATACTCTGCCATCCATAAGAAGGCGAGTATGATCTAATAGGGTCTAAAAGAGTAGCATTACGGTAATACCGTCCTTTGAAAACCCGTGCAAACAACGATTCATGGTAGTCTATTAGTCGCCAAGGTTGTTTTGCGAGTAAAGCCGTATTGAAATCCTCAATAACCCGGAATCCCAATCCCCCATCATTTTTGTGCCGACATAACTTTTTCCAAGCTAACCAATGCATTCCACGAGTTTGACCATTATTACTCCACCATAAATTGGAGACCACACTTGACAGCTTATTTGTGATCCCTTTGGGCAGGCGGAAACATGACATCACATGCATGGGCATTGCCGAGACCACGGATTTAATGAGAACTTCTTTCCCTCCTTTCGACAACCATTTCGAATTTCAGCCATTAATCCGTTGTTGTTGTCTATCTATCAAAAAACTGAAGATCTTTGTCTTTGCGCCACCAATGCTTTCTGGGATCCCCAAGTAGTTTCCGACGCCTCCCACCTTGCTAATTCCCAGGATTTGGTGTATCTCCGCCCGCACTCCTACCTCTACCGTATGACCAAATTGTACCGATGATTTTCCAAGATTTATCTGTTGCCCAGAAGTGATCTCATACTCCTTTAGGATTTGAAGTAAAACTTGACTTTTGTCGACGTTCGCTTTGCAGAAAAACAAGCTATCATCCGCAAAAAGAAGATGGGACACCGGTGGACATGCCCTAGCCACCTTAAGCCCTGAATGTGTTTCTGTTCCTCTGCCCGTTTGAGATTTGTTATTAAAACCTCCGTACACATAATGAACAAATATGGGGACAGCGGATCCCCATGGCGTAAACCTCTATGGGGCACTATCTGTCTTTTAGGGTGTCTATTTAGTAACACCTTGTACCTTACTGATGTAATACATTGCATCATCATAGCTATCCAATGCTCTGCAAAACCCATTTTCCTCATTAAGGCCTCTATAAAAGCCCATTCAACTCGGTTATAAGCTTTGCTCATATCCGTTTTGACCGCCATAAACTTTCCTTTACATGATTTGTTTGTCTGGAGCCCATGGAACATCTCCTGAGCTATCAATATGTTGTCTGAAATTAGCCGGCCCGGTACAAAGGCAGATTAAGTTTCCAAGATCAACCTAGGTAAGAGCACTTTAAGCTTCTGACAGAGAACTTTGGAGATGATTTTATAACCCACATTACAAAGGCTAATTGGCCGTAACTCCGTCATCCTACTTGGTCGTCCCGTCTTTGGGATTAAACAAATGTGGGTCATATTCAATCTTTCGTCAAAAGTACCCGCTGTTAGAAAATTATTAACCATTTTGAAAACATCATTTTTAATGGTATGCAATGACCGTTGGAAAAATAACGCTGTCATGCTATCCGGTCCCGGTGCTTTCTCTGAATGCATCATAAATAACGCATCATGCACCTCTGACTCGGTTGCATGGCGAACCAACGCTTCGTTCTCCTGAGTAGTAATCCGGTGCGGCATATGTTCAAGTACTCCCGTGAAATCCCCTAGTAAAGACGACGTAAACAGTTTATCAAAATAACTGACCGCTACGTCTTCCACCTCTTTTTCGCCTGCTACCCATACATTCACATCATTATGAAGCCCGGCAATTCTATTAACTGCTCTCCTCTGTTTCGTGGAGGCATGAAAGAACTTAGTATTCAAATCCCCATCCTTTAGCCACATATTCCGACTTTTCTGTTTCCAATATTCCTCCTCATCCCTATATGCTTCCTTGAGTTTATTTGTGATATCAACAAGCTCATCCTGAGTGCTATTGTCATCGTTTTGTACCTCCTCCAGAGCCCGTTGCAACTCTTCTATCTTCTGTTTTCCGTATGGTTGTTTGTCTTTCCTCCACACAGATATCTCATGTCGGCAATTTTGAATCCTATCAACCAAGCTCAGATCCACCTCTCCTCGAGTGGTAGACCATCCTCGTTGAATAGACTCCAGAAGACCCTCCAGACCAATCCATCGTTTGTCGAACCGAAATTGTTTCCACCTTCTCATGATTTTTGAGTCCAGTGTAGCTAAAATTGGCCTGTGATCAGATCCAATCATAGGTAGGTACTGAACGTGAGAGATCGGAAACAGATCATGCCAATTCTCCATGGCTAATGCTTTATCCAGTCTGCATCTCACTATTTTCCCCCTCCTTCGACCCCTCCATGAAAGGGTATTGCCACGGCTTGGGAAATCCACAAAACCACAGTCACTAATTATCAAGTTAAAAGACACAAACGATGATGCTTGACGTAATGGACCCCCTTGTTTCTCATGATTTCCCGTAATCTCATTGAAGTCACCAATGAGAAACTATGGATCCGTTCTTGTTGTGCCAATCCGTGTGATCCGTTCCCAAACCAGATCCCTCAACTTAACCACTGGATCCCAAAAACAAATGAAAAATCTCTTACAATTTTGCTTTGCTTTTGTATCTCTATAACTTTTTACGAGCAGAAAACTATTCTTTTAATGTTTTCTGCATTTCATGATCATTAATCTAGAACAACTTTATATTTTTGTAATTCTCTTTTCTAAAGCAAACTTATAATAAAGCACACAAAGGTAATTTGGAAATCTTTGTTACAAGGTTTTAAGATAACCTCGATTGTACGAATGTGATATTCAGTATGCCCCAAAAAATGTGATGTAGAATGCCTATTAACTTTGGTCAAAAAGAATGCCTATTATATACTTTAATATATAGTTAATAGATTCATTGCCTGTGTCCCCAAAATATGAATCTGAATATGAACTCAACTGAAAAAGAACAAATGACCTAAAGTAAAATTTTGAAAATAAAAAATATATGATTAATGGTTTGATAAATTGACCGATGCTAGTCGTGTAAACGACGTTGGAGCTTCAAATTGGCTTAGGTAACCTTACGAATCATGCAAGATAATAGCTACCGAATAAATTACTGATACTCAGACCCAAAGTTCTTCAGTCTTGGCACCAACTATACTTCATTGACTTCTCCGTTTCTTTCTTGGTTGACTTTTTAGTTTTTCGTGACAAAAAAATTCTGACGGGTCCTTCTCTGTGTACCCGAAGAGAATTAGATTCACGCATTATTCTCCAAAAATAATTATATATAAATAGGCATCTACTGATCTACAATTGATAACGAAATGTTACGTTAATAATAAACTATTCAAATGATGTAGTGAATACTTGAACCTGGAAAATACTATATCAACATTCAATACAACAAGAAAAGTCCATGTGATAGTAAATTATTTGAGGGGCCAGATATGTAAACACCATTATTTGTGCACGACTTTAAAAGTCAATCCTTTTTGTGGTAAATCTTTAACATAAATTAAAAAATCTATTTTGTTAATTTGGATGTAGCCATGTAGGGCATATATGATAGATTTAGGGACATTAAAGATTATCAAGTTTAAGATTTGTTACAAATTGCAAAATATTTCCCTATATTATAATAAATTAAAGGACCCTAATTAATAATCATCACTTTTCAAAGTTTTTATTGCATTTAAAATGTCAAAATTGACAGTTTTTGTGAAACTAAAATCAAAATCATTTCTACCAAAAAAAAAAAAAAAATCAAAATCTTTTAACACTACTAAATTAGAAACAAGTAATTGATTTACTAACAATATTGAACTTGAGATGTGGACTGATTTAGTGTGATTTGATTTTTAACGAGTTCTTATATGATTCTGGATGGATTATAGAAGTTCATATGCATTTAATTAAAATGTTCTAAAATCATAAGATTTGGATTTTCTTATATTTAACAAGGAAAATCCACCAAAGCACTATAATATTCTAACAAATTTTGTTAAATGGACTTCTTAAGATATATCAAGTAACACTATATTTGTGATTCCTTCATTTTAAAGTTAGAAAATTGGATTTTGAAAGAGTTTTTAGAATTCAAGTTTGAATAACAAGAAGTTTATCATTTTTATACAAATCGCATAAATTCACTTGAAATATCAAGTTGAATACACCCCCTAAGTATTTCCTAGACTAAATAATAGGTTATATCTTAACCAAAATGAATGGGGAATAAAGAAATCATTCAAATGTAAATAATTTATATTCTAGTGAAGAATTGACCATCGTTGTCAATCCATACAATCCGCCAATCCTATTCGTTACAATCTTCCTTATTAGCGTTTCAATAATCAAACTCTTAAAGACTTTTAATTCTGATCATACATTATCTTTCTACATAAATTGAAAACAATGACTAAAGTCGGTTGAAGGAGAGGAGAATATGAAAACAAGAAGTTAGCGAGTGCTTTTCATTAAATTTTCATATTATACGTGAATTTTGTGGTTTGTGATTTCAAGATTTGACAAAGTAAACGACCGCTATTTAAAGTGAACAAAAAATGTATTATTTAAAACAGAAATTCAAAGTATTGACTGGTTTGTCCTCTAGTATCAAGTGCCAACCCAGAGTCAACTCTATCAATCCGTCAACGAAATCAATTTGCAGATTATAAAAGAGACGCACACACTTAAGAGATAATGTATGAACACAAACCCAGAAAGAAGAAAGAAAAAAAACCCGATTTCACAAATCTCATTTCAAGATTCAAGCCATTCAATAGAGAGAGAAAAATGGCTTGTAAAGACGAACCTTATTATGATCTCAAAATCCTTTTGATCATCTTCACAATCTTAACCTGTTCACTTGCAGTTTCTGCAACTGTCTCAGAAGCAAATGCTCTTCTGAAATGGAAGTCAACATTCACAAACCAGACAAGCTCTTCCAGGCTGTCTTCTTGGGTCAATCCAAACACAAGCAGCTTCTGTACAAGCTGGTACGGTGTTTCTTGCTTACGCAACAGCATCATAAGGTTAAATCTCACAAACACTGGCATCGAAGGTACTTTCCAAGATTTCCCCTTCTCTTCACTTCCCAATCTCACTTACGTTGACCTTAGCATGAACCGTTTCTCTGGAACTATCCCTCCTCAATTCGGACAACTCTCTAAACTCATCTACTTCGATTTGTCCATTAACCTATTAGTCGGAGAGATCCCACCTGAGATTGGCAATTTAAGTAACCTAGAAACTCTCCATCTTGTTGAAAACAAGTTAAACGGATCGATTCCTTCTGAAATCGGTCTTTTAACTAAAGTTCAAGAGATAGCCTTGTATGACAATCTCTTAACCGGACCAATACCTTCTTCTTTTGGAAACCTAACCAAACTAGCCAACCTCTACCTATTCATCAACCAGCTTACCGGTTCGATTCCTCCCGAGATCGGAAACTTACCCAGCCTAGCTGAGCTATGCCTAGATAGAAACAACTTAACCGGTCAAATCCCTTCCTCTTTTGGAAACTTGAAGAATGTAACACTTGTCAACATGTTTGAAAACCAGCTCTCTGGTGAAATCCCTCCTGAGATTGGTAACATGACCTCTCTAGACACCCTTAGCCTCCACACAAACAAGCTCACCGGTTCGATTCCTTCCACGCTAGGGAACATCAAAACCTTAGCCATTCTTCATCTTTACCAGAATAAGCTTAACGGTACTATCCCGCCCGAGTTAGGAGACATGGAGGAAATGATTGATTTGGAGATAAGTGAGAACAAACTCACTGGCTCTGTTCCTAACTCGTTTGGCAAGTTATCAAAGCTGGAATGGCTTTTCCTCCGCGATAACCAGCTCTCCGGTTCTCTCCCCCCGGGTATCGCCAACTCTTCCGTGCTAACCGTCCTGCAGCTCGACACCAACAGGTTCACCGGTGTACTGCCTGACACTATCTGTAAAAGCGGCAAGCTCGAGAACATCACGCTGGATGATAATCTCCTCCGAGGTCCCATTCCTAAAAGCTTGAGAGACTGCAAGAGCTTGATCAGAGCAAGGTTCAAGGGGAACAACTTCACCGGAGACATCTCTGAGTCTTTCGGAGTTTACCCGAATCTCAACTTCATTGATCTCAGCAACAACAAGTTCCACGGAGAAATCTCATCCCGGTGGGAACAAAGTCGGAAGCTGGTTGCATTCATCGCAACTGCCAACAACATCACCGGACCGATCCCACCTGAGATTTGGAACATGACGCAGCTAAGCCAGCTCGATCTCTCCTCAAACAACATCTCCGGCGAGCTCCCAGAATCAATCAGCAAACTCACCCGTTTGTCGAAACTACAACTGAATGGGAATCAGATATCTGGCAAAATCCCTTCAGGAATCAGACTCTTGGCCAATCTTGAGTATCTTGATCTATCTTCAAACAGGTTCGGCTTCGAAATCCCGGAAACACTCAGCTCCTTGCCAAGGCTTTACCACATGAACCTGAGCAGAAACGAGCTTGATCAAAACATCCCCATCGGATTAACAAAGCTCTCTCAGCTACAAGTTCTTGATCTCAGCCACAACCACCTCGACGGAGGAATCCCATCACAGTTCACTTCTCTACAGAACCTAGAGAGGCTTGACCTCTCACACAACAATCTCTCAGGCTCGATTCCACCGAGCTTCAGTCAAATGGCGTCACTCACACACGTCGACGTATCGCACAACAACCTCGAAGGTACGATTCCGGATAACAAAGCGTTTGAAGACGCAGGCCCTGACGCATTGGTAGGCAACAAAGACTTGTGTGGTAGCAACGAAAGGCAAGGTTTGAAGCCATGCCCACTCATATCCTCCAAGAACAAAAAATCAAACAAGGAGAAGAACCTTCTCATCTACATAGTAGTCCCGATCGTCGGAGCGATTATAATCCTCTCCGTCTGCGCCGGAATATTCGTCTGCTTCCGCAAGAGAAAGCCCCAAATCGAAGAGAATTCAGATTCCGAATCAGGCGAGACGTTGTCGATATTTAGCTTCGACGGGAAAGTAAGATACCAGGAAATCATCAAAGCTACGGGAGAGTTCGATTCAAAGTACCTAATCGGAACCGGAGGACACGGCAAAGTCTACAAAGCGAAGCTACCGGCGATGACTATGGCGGTGAAAAAGCTAAACGAGACAACCGACGAAGAGATCTCGAAACCTACGGTGAAGCAAGAGTTCCTAAACGAGATCAGAGCACTTACGGAGATCCGTCACCGGAATGTGGTAAAACTCTTCGGATTCTGCTCGCATCGCCGGAATACTTTTCTGGTGTACGAATACATGGAGAGAGGAAGTTTGAGGAAAGTGTTGTCGAACGATGAGGAAGCGAAGCAATTGGATTGGGGGAAAAGGATCAATGTGGTGAAAGGTGTGGCTCATGCTTTGTCGTATATGCATCATGATCGATCTCCGCCGATTGTTCACCGTGATATTAGCAGTGGAAACATTCTTCTCGGCGATGATTACGAAGCGAAGATCTCCGATTTCGGTACGGCGAAGCTTCTCAAGGCCGATTCTTCGAATTGGTCCGCCGTTGCTGGCACTTACGGCTATGTTGCTCCAGGTACTTACTTCTTCTTCCTTTTGACCCGTTAAACTATATTGATCCGGAATTGGAAACGGGTCGGGTCGGTTTTGGTTGAAAATTTGATATCACTAGACCGGTTTTAATTAGGAGTGGGTCGGTTTTTGGGTTTCGCAAATTTATAAACCGAGCTTGTTGGTTTGAACTTTGTATGCTGACGTCACTCCTATAAGAGCAAATATATATATATATATATATATATATATATATTTTTTTTGGGTTTGATATATTTTAGTGATAATGTTTTTTTTTTTTTGAACAACAGTGATAATGTTCTAATATGTTTTATGAAATTGAACGTGACAGAATTAGCTTATGCGATGAAAGTGACGGAGAAATGTGATGTGTATAGCTTCGGAGTATTAACTCTTGAAGTGATCAAAGGGGAGCATCCGGGTGATTTGGTTTCGACTTTGTCATCGTCTCCTCCTGACAAAACTCTGTCGTTAAAAGGAATCTCCGACCGTCGGCTGCCGGAGCCAGCGCCGGAGATCAAAGATGAGATCTTAGAGATTGTGAAAGTTGCAGTTTTGTGCTTACATTCTGATCCAAATTCTCGCCCAACAATGATGTCAATCTCCTCTGCCTTTTCTTAGAAGCAGCCTATTTGTGATTGTGACTATCCCAAGCTGAAAGTGATGCTAAGTATAGTTTATACATTATTGTGTTTTCAGGATTATGGAGTCAATAGTTTTGCATTATGGAATGTTAGTTATATTTTTGCACTACTCTCTTTTGTTAGAGATAAATTATATACTAGTCTACATTTTGTTGTAAATAGTGTCTTTTTTTTCTCTCACTAAGAAAAATAAAATGCATTTCGTCTTTTATTTGTTTGTGTTTTGAAATCGTAACCGAGCTGATCCAATTTTACTTGGAAACCAAAAAACAAAAAAGAGATTTAACAAGATTGTGAGAGTTGACCCAAGGAGAAGAGAAGTATTACTGACCAATTGACTCTTTCTCTCTCTTTCTCACGCAAGCAACATTTCATTTGTGAACTACTTGCCTATAATTTAATAGCTTAAATAAAAATATGCGAATAATATGTCACTTCCAGACGGAGTTGGAAGTTTTTATTTGGGCTATACAATGTATGATAAAGAATAACAAGTTAGTAACGGTTTTCCAGACGGACTGTTCCGATATGGTGAAAATAGTGTCTAAATCAGAGGAGTGGCCGGCGTTCTCACTACTACTTGACGAGGTTGTGAGATGCAAGGGGAGGTTCACCTCGTTTTCCATCCAGTATATACCAAGGACGAAAAACACGAAGACAGACAAGTTAGTACGAGTGCTCGAGCTCTACCTACTGATGTGTACTATGTAAACTCTGTTTCACCAGTTTGGATTCCCGAGCTGTTCTAGAGATAGAGGTTGTTGACAACAAAAAAAAATATATATATATATATATATATATATCACTTCCATTTATAGTAACATATTGATTACTATACTAATCATAGTTACCATTCTTAATTTATATTACATTAAAATTCAAATCTTTGTATTCATATGGTATAGTTTTTAAAAAATTTATAAACAAAACGGAAATCACAACAATCAAGTCTTTAACTCTTTGTAAATCGGGGGGGATTGATTTCAAAAAGTATTTTCAAAATTTTAAGAATCTATTGCTATTGGTTTATAGATTCTGACAATATTATTAAAATATATTTTTATTGGTTTAGTGATTTTTAAAATCCAGATAAAATTAGTTGTTATTCAAAAAGTTTGTGTGTTTCATGATTTCATGAATCCATTAAAATCCTTGTTGTTGGGACATGGATTTGAAACAACTTAACTCATGGAACAAGATTTCCAAAATACTACCTATAATCTTTAACAAAATATTTGATTGATTTTATGAATATACAAACTCTCTCCAAATCTAGCATAAACTTTTAATAAATTTAACAAATCTCTTAACTTTTAAAATTTATCAACTCTACATAAATTCATCTCCCAGTAACCTCACTTGGACACAAATGACAAAACATATAAAAAAGAAAGAAAACTATCTTAGTTTTATGACTTCACAATAAAAAAAACTCAAAATAATCAGTAAGAGACAAAATAGAGAATATTACAACTTCAAAAATACAAATGAAAACAGTTTTGTTTTTCATTTTTCTAATTATTGTTTCCTCATGTAAGTTAATTCTAGATTACTTAGGATAAATATGTATAATCTTTTATACTTTTTAGTTATATGATACTAACGACATTACTCAATATATGTTTTTCTAGGTGCATCCTATCGACTATGATGAGTTACATATTCCGATATTCGTGAAGACATATATCCACTTGCTTTTTGTTATAAATGTGTAAACCACTGTATTACAATGAACAAACGTCATGTAGTCAGTTTATCTGCATTTGTTCAGCCACAAATCCTTCTTCCAATTTGGCATTGAGTCCCCAAACTGATTTTCACGTAAAACATCGTAGTACAAATGACGACCAAAAAGTATTACATCCTCAAAATCATTATTGATATATCTGTTATGAAACGTCCACATCATTGTTTTATAAAGAATAAATATCAGCAAACTTTTCCCTAATATTATTTGTCTTTAGGATCACCCACGGTTATAAAAAAAAAAAAAAAAAAATATATATATATATATATATATATTATTTGTCTTTGTATACCCAAAAATATTGATTAATAAAGATTTATAGTTCTTTCTGTTAAACGATTTATATATAGAACAAAAATTTAAGTTATAAAATCAAATTAAATTGATGTTCTTGTTTACATATACCCTATAAGTTATACAATTAAAACTCTATTTGTTTTTATATGTGTATATCTGCCCAAACATTATTTGTACATTTACCGACTAAAAGTTTGGAAATGATCACCATATCAACTGAGTACGCAATGCTCATATATTTTGACCTTTAAGTTTGCAATCTTGATACATATATCTTATCAACTCAAAGTTTCGTGTAAAACTCATCTATTGTAATAATGTAAGGTTTTAAAATTAATTATCTTCTAATCCACATCAATATTTTTTTTAAAATAACAAAATGTTATAATTTATGAATTAAAAAATTAAAATTATATAAACTAGTAAACATTTCATATTTTAGTAAAAATGTAATGGAAACCCCTTAGAATATTCAAGTAAGAAAAAAAAAACAAAGGAAAATTATAAATCTAGAGAAAGAGAAGTCGAATGCTGTTTTTTCCTGAAAATTTTATTATTATACAAAATTTTATAAAATAAATAATAAACACTTACCTCCCAAGTAGCACTTCCAACATGTCTAGATGTGAGGCTGTGACGAGCTTAGGATCACTATGCTTTCTTTCACCCATGTACACGATGTGCATCTATACATATATTATATAATGCATACAATCATTCCGCGAAGATAGGTTCTCCATACGGATCCGTGGAAGCTAAACTAATTGAGAAAAAATCATTATATCTTGATAAAGTAATTTATACTACAACTATATAGTACACTGAAAATGCACATGTATGTTTTATAAAATCACCAATCACACACAAACATGACAGTTGAAGACTGATTCATTTGAAGAAAAAAAAACTGATGAAAAGAGCATTTTTATCTCAAAAACATTGAGTTAATATTGAGAAATTTAAAACTTCATTGTCTTGAGAAAATTTTGGTGAAATCGTTGTCGGTAGAGTTGATCATTTTACAAATGAAATTGCATGGATGTTGAACTCAAGTGTTGTGCTTATAGAAAATATGTTGATGAGTCATAAGGTTAAATGATTTGTATCATGTTATTGGCGATGATGTTGTCAATGTCAATTGTCCTTAAGTTAGATAAGCTTCCCTTTTGTTAAAATGGTATTTGTTAAAACAAAGATTATCTTATGTTAGGATCAAATAATATTATTGTTTACCTATGTTTTGCTTATATTTTACATATGTTATGCTCTTTTTTTTTTAATTAATATGGTATGATGAGTTAAGAAAATCTCATAAATGAAAAAGCAAAAATAATAACATTTTATTGAATGAGTCTTTCAAATAGTTGAGAAATCAATCAAAATATAAGATAGTTGTGAGCTATGGACTCTCTCACACATTTTCTTTTGTTTTGTTTTAACAACCACAATATCGTTAGTTCAGAACTATTGGCATGGTTTCTGGGACTTTGCGGGTCATCTTACAAGTTATCAAGCAAAGAAAAATTCAATTGTGTAATTATGTAAAAACAGTAGAGATTAAAAAAAGTTTATATAATAAGATGTTTTCCTCAATATTATGTGTATATCCATCCAAAGCATCCATATGTAGTTCAAGTGACCCCTTATCGTTACTATGCGCTGCAAACTACAAGGACATTTGATTACTTGGGACTTACTCAAAACACTTCACAAGCCCTTCGCCGTGAGGCCGAGATAGGTGAAGACATTATCATTTGTGTCTTTCACTCAGGTGATAGTCAAAATTGTTGTTAAGACTAATCACAGAAAGGTGGAAAGAGAAGTATGTCGATGGTCATACGCTGTGGTGTGATAAGTGCCTATATTTTTTTGTTGTTTGGTCCAAAGCCACTTTGATTTCTAATCACCAGTTCAATTGAATTAAGAATGTGAAAGTTTTTAGCCACTTAATTAGAATCATATTGCCTACAAACTATACAATAAAAAATTAGATCGTTTTTTCAAAGATCTTGGAGGTAAAATGTTCCAATCTAGTGGCTCGGACGTCACTGATCCTTTTGACTTACTCCCAAAGCATAAAACTCAACAAAATTTAGAAAGAAAATTTAAATCGCTGAGATTTTTCGTTCCTAAATTTAAGTAAGAAAAGATCGGGAAAATAAATAACAAACTAATTAAAGTAAGAAAGAAGAAGAAGAAAGACTAGAAGAAGTTCACTAAAGTCCATTTTTCTTACTTCCCAAAAGCAAAAATTCGCCGATTGATTTCGCATCAGATCTGCTCTGTTTCTCTCTGTGTGATTCTCATTTCTTTCGTTGTTTTCGATTCAATCTCATCGGAATTGGCTAATTAGGTTTCCGATTTCCCGCCGTAAAATCCATGAAGGAATCGGATCTGACCACCGAACCCATCGCCCAGAATCTCATCAAGCTAATCAGCAATGTCTGTTTCTCAGTCTTCGTCTTCACCGTCCTCATCTTCACAGTAATCGCCGTCACATACCAACCGCCAGATCCATGGCTCGAATCCGCTCCAGCGCTAACCAAACTCCTCACCGGAACCGAAAACGCAACTTTCAAAATCGACGGCACTACACTCAACACCGGCGAAGACATCGCTTCCTCTTCTTCTCCGATACCACCTCCGGCGAACTCCACGGAACCGGTCACCGAAGCAACGATCGAGCTATCCGAGGAGAAGATCGGGAACATGACGGTGGTGAACTCTTCTTCCGTCGATTGCGACGATCTGAAAACCGTGAATTGCTCGGATCCGAGAGTCTTAGTCGCTGTTGAGAGATTCAACCTGAGAGTTTTCAAATCGATAGTCTTCTTAGAGTACGAAACTCCCGTTAACGGATCGAATCCAGACGAATGCGACGTCTCCTGGAGATTCAGGAACAAAAAGGAGAAATCGTGGAGAAGATACAGAGATTTCAGGAGGTTCAAATTCGGATTCGGCGAGAATTGTACATACAAAGTGTTTCACACCAGTGGTTGGCACTCTGGCGTCAATGCTCGTAAGCCTAGGATCAAGCCAAGCTCGCCGACGACGAGCAGAGGCAAAGGAAGTCGCGACCCCGAGATCAACGACACGATCCCGACTCTCGGCTCGCAGACGAATTTCAGGAGAGGGAAGTATCTGTATTACTCGAGAGGAGGAGATTACTGTAAAGGTATGAATCAGTACATGTGGAGTTTCTTGTGTGGGTTAGGTGAAGCAATGTACTTGAATCGGACGTTCGTGATGGATTTGAGTCTGTGTTTGTCTTCAAGTTACAGCTCAAAGGGGAGAGACGAAGAAGGTAAAGACTTTAGGTACTACTTCGATTTCGAGCATTTGAAAGAAACTGCCTCCATTGTTGAAGAAGGTGAGTTCGTGAGAGACTGGAGGAAATGGAACCGGTTGCATAAACGGAAAGTTCCGGTTAGGAAGGTGAGATCGCATAAAGTTTCTCCTTTGCAGCTGAGTAAAGACAAGAGCACGATTATATGGAGGCAGTTCGATGCGCCTGAGCCTGAGAACTATTGGTATCGAGTGTGCGAAGGGCAGGCCTCGAAGTATGTGGAGAGGCCGTGGCACTCGCTGTGGAAGTCGAAGAGGTTGATGAACATTGTGTCTGAGATCAGTGGGAAGATGGATTGGGACTTTGATGCGGTTCATGTGGTGAGAGGAGAGAAAGCGCAGAACAAGAAGCTCTGGCCGCGTTTGGATGCGGATACATGGCCTGATGCGATTTTGAGCAAGCTTAAAGGAATGGTTCAACAGTGGAGGAATTTGTATGTTGCTACTAATGAACCGTTTTATAATTACTTTGATAAGTTGAGGTCTCAGTACAAGGTTCACTTGCTTGATGATTATAGCTACTTGTGGGGGAACAAGAGTGAGTGGTACAATGAGACGAGTCTGTTGAATAATGGTAAACCGGTGGAGTTTGATGGGTACATGAGAGTAGCTGTTGATACGGAAGTGTTTATTCGGGCGAAGACGAGAGTTGAGACGTTCTATAACCTTACCACGGATTGTAAAGATGGGATCAATACATGCTGAGATTTGATTAGTCTCAGGTTGTGAATTGTGATGATGTGTTTTCTCTTTATAACTTTTTGTACCTTACCATTTCATTTTACATTTGTTCTTTTTTTTGTATCCTTAATTCAATTATGGTTTTGTTGTTTCTTCCTTGTGTTCTACTAGCAATTGATGTTCTTGGTGGTGAATGAGTGTACGTAATGTTTACATTATTTATACAGTTTCTTAAATCATGTAAGAGTGCAACAGCAGTTACCGTTTTTTTTTTTTTAAGATTTTGGTATACTGTATTATCTTATCAACTAGAGAGAAAATAGCTGATTTGTGTTTGTATTGTTTCTTGTTCTTGATTTAAATAGCTCTTTTATTCACCGAAAAAATACCACAAAATGTAATTTCAAAAATACCACAAAACTTATTTTCCAAAAATTCCACAGAATACAATTTTGTCAATTTTCCAAAAATACCACAAAATTTAGTTTCCAAAAATACCACACATTTTTTCATAAATATCACAAAATAATCTGGATATATTTCTTTCGACCTAGTAACTTTGAAAGAAGAGCAGATTTCATCAAATTGGTATACAAAATGTGCAAGAAAATAAAATAGCATAACTAAAAATATCGTGTAAATATTGTAGAAAATAGCCATAGCCATGTTCAATTCACGGATCCAGAAATAATGAAATAAGGATCAGAATCTTGATTCAGAAAAAGTTTTAATAAACAAGGTAATCAAAATCTTCCACAATTGTGGTGAATAAGCTTGTGACTGACATGATTCAATGTAATTTATGTTGTTCTTTATGAAAACTCGGACATTGTACAAACTTTTGGTTGAATTAATTGCAGATTGTAAACAGAATTTCAATTGTCTCGTATAATACTCCTTTGGCTTTGATTTATTCCATTTAGCAAAGAAGTGTCGAGTCTAGTGGAAAATTGGAAACCGATTTTTGTTTAACTAAAATTAAGAATATGTATACAATATTCAACAACGTAACAAAAAGAGAACAAAATATTAACTCCTAGAGCTAGTAGCATTGTTGTTCGGAGGAACGCTACGAAGGAAAGAAGAACTTTTTGTGAGTTCTCTGAGTGGCTTATCCGTAAATCTGATAAAGTTGTAAACAAAACCTCAGGCCATAATTCCGATGATAGGACCAACCATGTAAACCCAAATTCCTTTATATTTTCCCATCACTATCGCTGGTTCTAGACTTCTTGCTGGATTCATTGATGCTCCCGAAATAGGTCTAATAAAATAATCAAAACCAAAATTAATATTTTCACTAATACAAGAATTATTTTTGTAATAAAATGAGATAACATCATATTATTACCCAGCTACAAAGACGTTTAACACTATAGTCATCCCAACCGCAATTCCTGCTAACTCTCCAATCTGTAAAAACAAATTAAAAACAATCCATCAACATGAGAAACTTTCATTTCCATACTTTTTTTTCTTATATGACTATGGTTTTTATATAATAAGTCCACTGTTTGGGTTTAATTTCGTTAATCATGTTTTTTTTTGTATGAATGTTATTTATATTTTGTGCCCATTTCTATTCAACGATCTACCAATATGGATAAATATTTGAAAAACATAACAAGAAAAAGAAAGGGTGCTATATGAAAAAACACTAACCGCTCGATTATCAGTGGCAACACCAGAGATAACAAACATGAGGAGGAATGAGATAATGATCTCTGCGACAAGTGCTCGTGCGTACGAATCAGTCGGAATTGTTCCGAAGTAAGCTTCGGGTGTGATTTTGAACATTATTTTCAGTGTCAAACTTGCTAGTAACGATCCCGCAAGTTGTGCACATATATACGATGGTACCTGTCCAAAAATTACACAGTTAATATTTTGTTCTTGTTAAATGCAAACGCAAGAGATAGAGAGTAAGTAGTGACCTGAGACCAGGGAAACCGCCGGAAAACGGCGAAGCTGATGGTAACCGCAGGGTTAAAGTGTGCACCGGAAATGTGACCGACTGAGTAAATCATGACCATAACAATGAGACCCCAAGTCAAACAAATCCCGGAAATGTCACTGTTCCACCGTACAACACATTCACCACCACAACTCCACAACCAGAAAACATTATGAAATATGTTCCAATCATTTCTGCTATTAACTGCAATATAAAAAGAAAAACTATAAATGAATTTGTTCAAAATATTTGTTATCATTATAACTATGCACTAAAAGAAAAAAAAACTACCTTTTGGGTAAGGCAAACAATGCTGGGAGAAGTACATATGACAGTTTCGATTCCTCCATGGCAATCTGTTGATATGCCTTCCTCAATTCTTGATATTTGTTCTTCTTCGATTCCTTCACCATGAGAAGTCATTTTTATGGATAACTAAACAAGATATATTTTTTGTTTTTTTTTTTCAAAAAGTAGAGTGGAGGGTTTTTTGTTTGAGAAAGAAGAAACTAAAATTGTTGTGATTGGAGAATTTGGAGAGTAAGGGGTTTTTATACATGTGAAACAGAAATAAACTGTAACTGTCACATGATGATTAGATTAGATCTAATGAGTTGGAATAACGACCTCTGATTTGATGTAACAGATAAAATAGGGTGAAAGTTTGACTGTTATGTGGAGATGGGTAAAAAGTCAACTAAGATTGGTTATATTTATACTTATGCAACTCCACATTGTCAAAAGAAGTTGTATATATATTTGTAGGAGTATCCAAACTTAACAAATTGTTTTTTAGAAAACGAGAGTTTTAGGCAGTAGATCTAGCCACCATTCTTGACGGAGAAAATAACTATTTAGTAAATAGTAGAAATAAAGTAATTATAGAAATTTCTAGATATTTTAAAGTAATACAAATACTTTTAATAATTTATAAAACTTTAACCATGTTTCTATATGTATAAAATGAATAAACGATATAACAAGTAACAACATCACCATTCACCACCCATCATTTTTCTCTGTTACATTCGTTCTTTTAACTCAAATTTATCTATTACAAATGATGATATTATATACGAAATTTAATTTTAGTGGTATTTTTGGAAACAATAATTTTAGTGGTATTTTTGGAAAAAATAAATGTTTGTGGTATTTTTGGAAACTAAATTTTGTGGTATTTATGGAAAATTATATTTTGTTGTATTTTTGAAAAATAAGTTTTGTGATATTTTTGAAATTATATGAGATTTTCACTACAAGAAAATTGAGTAAAGATAGCATTAAAACATAGCGTTTTTTTCGATTATGCTATCTTTGACATAAAGCTTAGTATAAGATAGCGTTTTTTAAAATACCAATGCTATCTTTTAGTAACTCTTTATCTTAGATAGCATGTGCTAAGTAAAAACGCTATGCTTACTTTAGATAGAAAAATTATTTAATTCGTGGCTAAATACTTAGTGAAAAAAGAAGCGGCAATTATTTTTCATTCTCCCCAAAAATTAATTCATGAACTCAGATCTATCGTCTTTCTCCCCACACACTCGAAACGCCGCCGGTCGGTGGGATTTCATAACAGTTCTTTTAATTTCTTGCACTTTTGTGGTACTTTTGAAAATCCAAGAATGCAACAACAGTTACCCTTTTTTGAGATTTTGATATACATGATTGTTGTAGATGCAATATATTTCTGCAATTTGTAGCCTTGATTATCTTGTCAAATAGAGAGAAAATAGCTGCTTTGTGTTTGGATTGTTTCTTGTTATTGATATAAGAGAAAATTGCCAATTTACCCCAAAAAAAGGCCTTTCTTGTCCCACTACACCTTTCCATCTCGTTGTTGTCTTAATACACTTTTTTTAAAATAATTTGGACATTTTTGACCTTCAAATTGAATTGGTAATGTGTTTGGAGAAATCCTCTAAAACCATCGCTTTTAGGTCGTCAAACCTAGTATTAGATTCCACACAAACTACTCTTCCTCCTTTCCTCTCATCAGCAACAAATATCCACCCATTAATTTGACACCTCTTCCATGAACCACATACTACATAGATTTGGATTTGAACCATATTGGATAGAGAGAAAGAGGACTACAGAGGAGGAAGGGGATGAAGAAGATGAGGAAGAAGATCATGGAGGATTATTTTCGGATAGTTGGATGAAAATAAGGAAACAAAGATTTGAAAAATATTTTTTTGCAATATTCTCTCGATTTTTGCAGATGATGAACTCTACACAATGTAGAACTAACCTATTTAGTAGAATATCCTGTGAAAACACGAATACTACGCCTTGCAGAAAAACATGAAATATGTAGTACACGAAAACTATGACTGGTAGATAGCAGTGTTTACCGTAGAATTTAGAATCTACGAGTAGTAGCGGATGGTGTATTCTGTAGAATATTTTTGGAGCGAATTCTACAAAATGGTAGAGTGTATTGTATATGGTAGATATCGAAGTCTAATCCGGAAGATGAATGAAGAAATTGTAGATATCATATCCTACGACGGTTAGACTTGCGAATAACTTGTAGAAAGCGTATTCTGCTTTGATATTTTACTTTGTAGAACCAAAACTTCAAAGAATTTTTTAACCATCCAAAACATTTTTAAAAATATTCAAATATTTTACACATTCTTTAGATCATTTATAGGACTTTTAGAAATTGTGTTCACTTAAAAAAATATTCATTATCATGTTTAAACAATATTGAAGGGCAATTATGGAAAAAAATGGCCAAAGTCAAAAAAGGAGTAATAGGACAAGAAAGACCTTTTTTGGGGTACTTTGCCAATTTCCCCTTGATATAAATAGCTCTTTTATCCACCGAAAAATGTACATATACATGTTATTTTCAATTTTTGTAAGAGAAGTGATAATTTTCAATTTTTGTAAGAGAAGTGATATGTAAGTTTAGAGAGACATTCGAGTATATATGATTGATTATAGCTGTAGCCTTAGTTTTTTGGCTATTATTTATATTATTTTTTTAATGTAAAATTTTAGCTATTGATTTCTTTTTTTTTTACCGTGGCTTTGAAACTTTGGCTGTGACATTTTAAAGATGTAAAAATTATATGTAAACATACTATAATATATATATATATATATATATTAGAGAAATACAGTAGAAACTTTATAAATTAATACTCCGTAAATTAATAAACACGATAAACTAATAAAATCTTCCGGTCCCGAGTTGGGCAGATGTACAAAATGACATAAGTCGATAAGATAACAAGATAATAATATTTTTGAAACTCCTATGTAAAATATGGTCCCAATAATATTATAAATTAATAATCATCATATTAAAAATTATATATATACCTAAAATACATGTCTACTAAAATCTGAATCTATAACACATCAGAAAATATAGAATTGAAAAGGAAAATGGAATTTAAAACGAGATGGCAAGTATGAAAAAATGTAAACGATAAAGTAAATATAAAAATATCAAAAAGTTAAGAAAATATACTATAAATGAAAGTTCTTATTTAGTTTGAATGTAAATTTAAAAGATTATAAATATTTGATTTTCTTTATTGATTTTTTTTAAGTCAAAACTTATATATTAATAACTCTATAAATTAATAAAATACAGTAGAAATTCTATAAATTAATAATGTTGGGACCATGATATTTTATTAATTTAGCGAATTATTAATTTATCGAGAGACAATTTGAATCAAAAACTTAGTTTGGAACCGAAATTGATTAATCGAGTTATTAATTTATCGAGTATTAATTTATAGAGTTTTTACTGTATCAAAGTCCCGACATTATTAATTTATAGAGTTTCATTAATAATTCTATAAATTAATAAAATATCAAAGTCCCAAATTATTAATTTATAGAGTTTCTACTATAATAGATTTTGTTGAAAGAGTCTTAAAGAACTTGAAATAGTGTTGTATAAAAACATAAGATCAGAAAAATGTTAATACAATGTTTTCTATTTTTCAAAATTTTGTGATTAAGATGATTTTTGAAATAATAATTCGATAATTAGAATGATTTATTTAGTCCAAATGTGGATGGAATATAAATAGGTGTAGATTCCCAAAGCTATATAAAAATTAACATTTTTTTTTTCCAATTTCCCCCAAACTCATTCCTACAATCGTTCAATTTCTTTCCACAGCCATAAAAGAAAAGAAAAAAGGCTGTAAATTTTGAAAATGGAAGCTCAGCTGTAAATTTTTTAAAAATGGAAGCACAGCTTAATTTGTTACTTAGTAATGCTTTTGAGAGAAATAAAGTTGTGCACAGCATTTACAATTCACACTCATCCATGTAATTCTTTCTTTTTATTTCTATCACAATGGCTAACGATAACAAGTCAGCATTAGGATTAACATAATTTGACAACTAAGATATGCTAAAAATAAGTATCCTTTTTTATCCATGTGTGCATGTCCATTACAACTAGAGCATGATTTCTTTTAATAAATCTTTTACTAGAAAAATTGATTAAAACAAATAAATTTAAAGGCTCCTAAAACCATTTTCGTAATTAACTTGAATTTTTAATAAAAGTTTTACCGGAAAACTGTGAGTCACTTCCCAACAAAATTAACCAGTTGAAGATAATTTTTGTACCTGATAAAAATTAAAATCGTCAATTTTCGTTGTTTATGTATAAAAGTTGTACCGTTTATAATAGTGAAAGAAATAAGTAGGTAGGGGTAAAAATTTGGATATTTACCTCAATATTAAAAAATAAAATATTAGAACTCCATTTAATTTTTAAATTTAGTTTATAGATATAATAATAATTATCTATATATGTAATAAATTTGAATATATTACATTTGTTGGATATATACTTATAAACCGTAAAAAAAAAATAAAGTTTGTTGTTTTAACTGTAATAGGTAAAAAAGAAACTATTTGTTATCGTCCGGTTTCTTCTTACATAATTTATAAAAACAAAAACAAAAAGTCCCGCGCGAAACATGAACTACCCACTAGTAAGCCAAAAAGGAGAGAATTTGAAAATATTACCATAAAACAAAGATTTGTGATTTATGTATTTTACATCTCTTTATATATATATCATGTAGTAATGTAAACCAAAACCTTCTCTGATCTGTCTTTGAAGGAATTGTTCAAGTCCCACCTACCTGTTTTCTGACACAGGTAACAAGAAATGTTTTCCTCTGAATGACTTAGGTCTCAGCAAGATTCGATAATTGTAGGATGAGCTTTCATTTTTTCTCCTGAATTATGTTTGGAGATATTTATGCATATATTGTGAAATAATGTTTAGATTAAGCTAAGTTGAAAATTTGTGGTTGGTAGCCTCGAATCTCATTGCACTCCTATGGTTGTTCTCTGATTACAATATATGATGATTGTTTGTTTTTGTTCGTATATTGGGATGATTTTGGATCTGATTATTTAAATTTTTAGGTTTTGATTTATTTTAATTTTTACTGCGGCTTATAACTGATTTGTATTGATTTATGTTTGGAGATATTTATGCATATATTGTGAAATAATGTTTAGATTAAGCTAAGTTAAAATTTTCTGGTTGGTAGCCTCGAATCTCATTGCACTCCTATGGTTGTTCTCTGATTACAATATATGATGATTGTTTGTTTTCGTTCGTATATTGGGATGATTTTGGATCTGATTATTTGAATTTTTAGGTTTTGATTTATTTTAATTTTTATTGCGGCTTATAACTGATTTGTATTGATTTATTTACTCTTTCTCACAATGATTAGTGAACTCTTGGAAATCTCAAACTATGGCACCAGTGAGTCAGAGCCCAACTATGAAGAATGCATTTGACTTTCTCAAGGTTGCACGGAATACATTCAAAGACAATCGTGAAACATATAACGAATTTGTTAAGGTGGTGAGCCAAGCAAAAACTAAGAGGTATGTTTTCAGTCTTAATGGTTGATTTTCAATATTTCTATCCACATGATAAACACTAATGATTTATGAGGAGTTGAAGAATTTGATCTTATTAATTTTATTACAGCATGTGTCGTACTTGTATCAAATCAAGAGTGGAAGAACTCTTTAAAGATCACCAAGAGCTGATTATCGGTTTCAATAAATTCATGCCAAAGTCTAACCAGCAAATGGTCGAGTGTTGCCAAACTTTACGAAAGAGGCTTGATGTGGGTTTTGTGGACAAGGTCAAGGTAAGCGTATTCATTCATGGTAGAAAATAGATAGGGAATATTTGATTCACGATTTGATTAGATGATTTTTATATATCAAATATACAAATCTACAAATCTTTTTCAATTTTTTATTATTTTTCTCATAAATATCGTTTGGCGATAGGCGAGGTTTCAAGATGATGATCGCTCGTACGAATCATTTGAGGAGATGCTGCAAATGCATGAGGAGGGCAAGAAAAGCATTGATGAAGTATGCGATGAGGTATATATATATGTTTTTTAACTAATTAGTGTATGATATTGAAACTATTTCTTCTTTCATTACTCTCATACTGAATTTTGTAACATGTGAATATTTTGTAGGCGTTTCATGTCTTCTTCCCAAACGATCACGACTTGCGTGTGGAATTTCTCAACTTATACTTGAAGTCTTGAATAAGCTCGTATAATGAGATATGTATGCAATAAAGTGATGTCGTAATCACACCAGTCTGCTGTTGAACTCGCAGAAACTAGAAACTCATTTCAGTTATTTTCTTCATTGTTTACTCATAAAACTCATTTTTCAAGTTTCTTATACAATTTTGCAATATTGTTTTAATTTCCAATATCTTCATTTTCACATAACCGGAACCTTCTCTCTGTGAAAGAGGGTCTGAAAGGATGCAGATCTGAGAAAATGATTTCTTTTAAAATGGGGTATTGATTTCTTTTGGCGTCACTATATAAACGACCATGTAACTAGTGTAGGAAATGCTTTTTGGGAAACAAAGATGGAAAAGAAGAAGAAGAGTGAGAGTCTCAAGCTGGTGAAACTAAAAGACGCCATTAATCTCATCAACCAAGAAGTTAATCTGCTTGGTGTCGTCACTGAACGAAGAGAACGGTTTGATCGTTGCATAAACGGAAAGTTCCTGTGAGGAAGGTGAGATCGCATAAAGTTTCGCCTTTGCAGCTGAGTAAAGACAAGAGCACGATTATATGGAGGCAGTTCGATGCGCCTGATGATAGGATTTGTGTGTGGGTGTGAAAGATATGATATGAAATGTGGTGGAATGCAACAGTGGTATATAAGATGAGGTGGTAAGATGCAAACACAATCACAGTCAACAATTCCCTTTAACCATCATAGTCATTATAGCATAAAGGGTATCAATCCAAAATGGGTGAAGTTGTCACTCTATGAGAATATGAAATAACAAGGAAGTCAAGCAAGCAGTAAATGAATGGGGTAACACTAACAACCTAATGAAACAGAAATGCAATGCAATAAGTAAATAAAGCAGTAGAGCAACAGCTCGACCAAGGACTCGAGTCGAGTGGGAACAGAGTAACCGAGCTCGATCGAGTTTAGGGTCGAGTTGAAGTAAAAAGCAATAAAGGCAGCGACTTTAACAAGCTAATGCGAAATTAGGGTCTAAGACAGGGTTTACAATCAGAGGAAGGCTATACTTAATCAATCTTGCTCTCAAACAACTTGTATCAAGGTATCTCTTGATATTGAGCTTCTCAATGCCTAGCTAACCCTTTCCCAAGGTGAAAGCTATCAACCAAGACTTGATCTCAGAAACAGGGGGTTAGCCAGTGAGAATCAAGCCTTGGAGGCCATAGGATCATTGCTCAAACTAATCCATCCAACCCCTATGAACTCCATTTCGAGAGCAAGAGTTATTGGAGCTCTTAGTGGACCTTTTCCAACGATTTCCATCACTTCCATGTGGAGAATCGCCTAATGACATACAAGCCAGGGGTAGTGGTCATGTAGCCTTAAGGTTTGTCCAAAAGAGAGAGATTTCTAGATTAAGAACATAAGCAAGAAGGATTAAGCATAAAGATCCCCTAATCTAGCCCATCTTTGACCCTAAGGGAAACTACTCACTACACATGAATGTAAACACAAGCAAATGCAATGAAAGAGACATCATATGAAAGAGGAGATGAAGATAAACAACTTTTATTGAAATAAGCAAGTGCAAATACAAAAGATAGAGCCAAGATCTAGGATTCAAGAGCAAGAGCTCAAGAACACAAAGATGGCTTAGGGTTGCAAAAAGTAAAAGACAATAAATTAAAAGAAAGCTAAAACAAAATAATCTAAAGCTTGGTGGTTTTTTCGTGGCTTTTAGCCTTTAAATACAAGAGGATTAGGTTTAGGGTCAAAGGAAAGTCAAGGGGGAAGCAACATTTTTCGGGTTTGACTTTGACTTCTCAGCTCGATCGAGTTGAAGCTTGGCCGGTCGAGTAGGTGGTCGAGCTGGTCTTCAAGATGGCTTCCTCCTTCTTCCTTTGCGTATCCAGTTGAGCTGCGTCCATGCACCAAGTCCTTCCTTGCTCCTCACGTCCCATATGCTCCAAAATGCTCCAAAAGACCTATTTCAAAGGACCAAACATGCATATGTATGCAAATGCAACCTAAAACTACTATGAATGCATAAGAAGAGAAAAGGAACAAGATATGATGCTAATGGATGCTAAAACTATGCAAAAGATGCATAAAAGATGTACTAAAACTATGCAAAATGCAAGTACATCAGCGCCTGAGCCTGAGAACTATTGGTATCGAGTGTGCGAAGGGCAGGCCTCGAAGTACGTGGAGAGGCCGTGGCATTCGCTGTGGAAGTCGAAGCGGTTGATGAACATTGTGTCTGAGATCAGTGGGAAGATGGATTGGGACTTTGATGCAGTTCATGTGGTGAGAGGAGAGAAAGCGAAGAACAAGAAGCTTTGGCCGCGTTTGGATGCAGATTGTAGAATTAGGTATTCAACTGACTTGATTATTGACAATCCCAATCTTGGGTATTTGTACAACATGTCTTTGGAGCTAGATAACCCTAAACTCCTAAATCCAAGAAAACTTAACATTATCACAAAACAATGAATTAGGAAACTTAACATAATGAATCCTTTTCCGTAATACTCCCCCTCAAGTTGGAGCGTGGAGGTTACGGACGCCGACGCCTGCGATTCGATTCTTTGCCTAGTCTCGGTGAGGTCTATGCAAAGATTGTGCGAGAAGAACAGCGATTGACCTCAGCAAAGGCTCGTGAGCAACAGCAAGAGGCGATCGGTTTTGTCACTCGACGGAAAGAGCTCCCTACTTTTGTCCGTCCTAGCCAAACTGAGACTCGTTCGGACTCAGCCACTTCTATTCGTCGTGATCGCAACGCTCTCTGCAGTCATTGTGGACGTTCCGGACATGAGAAGAAAGAAGGTTGGCAGTTAGTTGGCTTTCCCGAGTGGTGGTTAGACAGAAACAAGAATCCGAGTGGAGGTCGAGACAGAGGAGGAGGTCGTGGTGATACAACAACTCTGGTCGTGGATGTGGTCAGGCCAATGCTGCACACGCCACAAGTTCCAACGCGTCTTCCTTTCCGGAGTTTACAGCCGACCAATGGAAGGCTCTTTCCAAGTTGATTCAAGAGAAGTCTGGCGAAGAGAATCCTGACAAGTTGTTGATAGTAGGATTTTTGCTACCAATTACTCAAATCCACTACTCATGTCATTGTAGTATTTGAGGTGTCAATCCAATGGGATCAAGATTAAAGCACTAGGAATGCATGAAACTTATTAAGCTAAGCCAAATCAAAGAAGGGTTTTTATCTAGCAACCTAAATGAGAATCAAAGATAAATATTGAAGCAAGAGTTTGAAACAAGAAGCCAAACTCAAGAGATAAATACAAAAACGAAAATTAAAGAAGTAAAACAAGCAAAGCAAATGGGTCTTGGGATGGGATCATTGAACTAGAGAGACTCTATGACTAATCTATGATGCTCAAACAATCAAATGAATGATAATCCTTAGGCAATAACACATTAAGCAAGACTAATCCAGTCTCATGGAACTAATCACTTTGCTAAATACAAATCTCATAACTAATCATCATTAGTGAAATTCGAAATTAGCAAGCATTATAAACAAGTTCTATCAAGCCAATAAACACCTTAAACAATCATTATCATGAGCTAAGAATGTAAATCTCTTGATTTAGTTGGTTGGGACATTTTATCAAACACCTTGTGGGTGTGAAATGTCCTTTGATCTAAATCACTTTTCTCAAAGTTAATCTAGCATTAAGATCACTAAACAAGAAAGGATATAAGCAATCTAAGCCTAAGCATCATCAATCAATCATTAAATCTCTCTAAATCTAACCCATCCCTAAACCCTAAAACAACTACTCCCTAATCATGATTAAATCAACTAGCCCAAAGAAAAGGGAGTTAATAATCATGATTAGGAAGATGAAGGGAGAAACAATGATCAAGTAAACACTCTCAAATAGATTAAACTCATAAAAGATCCAAATTTTGATTAAGAACAAAGGGATAAGAGTTTTTAGTCTAAGAGAAAGAGATTACAAGATGCCTAAAATAATAGGACTTTAATCTATTTATACTTGGAGACTCCAAAACCCTTGGTCAACTCATTTAGCTTGACTTTTCTTCTTCCCAAATGGTTTGGCTCCAAACTTTGCGTTTTGGTCCCTTTTGGTACAGCTGGATAGTGGTCAAAGCTCAGTCAACGCGGGTCAACTCGTCCTCTTGGTCAACACTCAGCTGAAAGGCGAGAAACAGGTTTCTGAACCTGTTTGACATCCTGGTTGCGAACTCCTGAGTATTCTTTTAATCTCCAACCTCCCATACTAGCTCCAAACTCCTCAAAAACACCTAAATACAACTCCAAATGCAGAATGTATGCAATGTATGCTCTAAATGGTATGAATGATACAATGGAAGGTAATTGACCTAAAATGAGTGAAATGAATGTCAAGAACATGCAAATATGTATGAAATTATATGTCTAAATGATGTAAATATGAGTACATCAACACCCCCAAACTTATCACTTGCTTGCCCTCAAGCAAGAAGAACAAATCTGAGAGTATTGGATTAGGAGAAAGACTCAGATTCCAAGGTGCAATGAGAAGAAATGAGATCAATGTCCTAGTTGAGAATTATAAGATGCAAAGTGAGTTTGCTTTACTTCAAAAACTTTAGCCACATTCATCAAAGCAAAAAATGACACTAGACCCAATCTACACATGCATTCATATCACTCTCACCTTTTGACATTCAATTAATACAAACCATGAATCAAAACTCATGCACTTCAAGATTTGCTCATTTGGTTAAGGGTTTAGGCTTTTTAGGAGATATGAAAGGTTTCTCCAAAGTGGTTTACTCATTTTTAAAACAGGGATCTCTCAAAGATGGATTGAGCTTGGGCAAAATGCTAAGAGTCAAGTCCAAGGATGATACAAAGCTGAACTTCCATCTACCCAAAACAGAGCTGAGAACCCAAAGATACCCACTGAAATCCTAGCTACCCTTTTCTTCAAGAAAATGAAACTCAAATGAACCCAAATGACACTCTCTCTTTTCTTTCTTTTCTGGACCTTGAGAGGGTTATAAACTAGGACTTAAGGGAGGATAAACTTTCTTTTCAAAACAGAGGAGTAAACTTTTTTTTGAACTTTTGTGGCTTAAGGCTTTTCTTTTCTAGGCTTTGATTTTCTCTTTTTCTTTTTTCTTGCCTAACTTTGACAACTTCACTCACAGCCACCACTCTTTTTAACTCTCCTCTTTCTTTTCTTTTTCTTTCTCCCATCCTTTCTCTCTTTTACTTTCTGCCACTCTCAAGGTCTCTTTTAAACTCACTCTCTTCCTCACAAACTCCCAACCACCCAATTCCTAAGCCTACTCTAGCTCAAAAACGTGAGCTAGTTCTACATGGAAGCTCAAACTTTGTCGGTCAAGACTCAACACTTTTTGCTTAGCTCAATCTGGAAAAGGCCTCACATCTCTCAGTAAAAGCTTTGGCTTGAAAGAAAGGTTTGGTTCAGGGAGGGTTATCAAACAAACTTGGACACACAAAGAAGGATGAAAATTGGATAAAGAGTGTCCAAGGGAAACAAAATCCATGAGCAGAAACTTTCAATGCATGAGAATGATATTTAAATGATCAAATTAGGTTCCAATAGATAAGGTGAGAGTTCAATTCAAAGCAATGATTCAACCAAGTCATGATGTCAAAATGTGCATTCCAAATGTGGTTCTATCTTAACTTCAAACTCACTCAATATGCACCAAATAATTAACAACTAGGCCATTGAAAACTTTTCGAAAAATCACACCTTTTAATGGAAATGATCAATATTTTTCTTATGCAAGTGCAAGTAACTACATGAGATGCATCTAGACTCAATCCTAATGTGCAAATGCAAATGATGCTTTTCTTTTTGTGTTATGCAATTTTTGAAAATTTTGAATTTTCTATGCTTTGAATGAATGACATGATGCATGAGACTCAAGATAAGAATCAAAAGAAACAATGGTCAAATCTATGGACCTCTCCCCCAAACTTAAACTGCACAGTCCCTTGTGTAATAAAAGTTCAAGAGAGAGCAATCAATAAGACAATACTAAAAAGAATGTAATGTATTTACAATGGTTTGGAGTGTGGTACCTTTTAGAATGAACTGAGGATGATGGAGAATATTCATGTTGGAAGATGGGTTGCTAGACTCCAGAGTTGGCAATCTCATAGCTCTCCTCTTTCTGGGTTGGGTCGAGAATCGGGTTGTGAATCCCGATTGTCAACCTGTTTGCCTTGGACTTTGACCAACTTTGCCTTCAAACATAATACACCAAACCTACAATGCAAAACACTGAAAAACACACAAAATAACAGAATTATAAAGCACAAAAAAAATGTATAAGGATATACATGAGACTTCCTCTCAAGTGTGCTTGTTTTAAGTCTCTAGCTTGACTTTTCTTAGCACTTGCTAGTGAGGAGTAAGAGGTGGAACGCCTTCAAGAGTAATGGTTAGGACTTGAGAGAGAAGCTCTTGAAGCTGGCTTGGATCTCTTTGAAGGCTAGGACTGATGACGGCTTTGGCACTTGAGAATGGTTTAGACTTTCTCTTGCTTTTGACTTTGTACTCAATCTTCCCATCCTTAAATCTTAAAGGTATCAAGCTTAGTATGTTGGGAGATGGATCAATGGAGAGAGACTGGGGTTCTTTCATCTTTCTTGTGGTTCCCAGATTAGCCATTTCAGCTCCACCCACTTTCATCTCTTGGACTCTTCCCATGTGCTCACCAAACAAGCTTTGTAGACATTCTCCATCTAGGACGCCTTTGACACATTCACTAAGCTTGTTATGATCCCTTTTCTTCACCATTACACCCTCATCATGTTCAGCAAAACTATTCTCCTTGGACTCCAGTGAGGAATAGAAGAAAGAGTTTAGACATTTTCCATTAAAAGCACCTCTTGAAACTCTTCAAGCACACTCTTTTTTTCATGAACCCCTTGGTTTGAATCCATATCACATGGTAAAGTTGTGCCCACGTCCTTAGCCTCTTCTTCATGCTGGGGTTCACCAAGTTGTCCATCAAAACCAAATGGTGTCTTTTCCTCATTAACCTCAACAGCAACATTGTTAGAATTTGAGAAGGTTCATGGTTCTGTTGGTAGCTTGTTGGATTTCATGGTTAGACCAATTGATTGAGGAAGCATACTCTCTTGGTTGGAGATCCCATTCTTGACCACGAAATTGGCTTCCTCTTGGCGCTGCTCAAGATCCAAACAAACTCCTCTATTTTGCACACTTAGGAGCTTTTCTAGTCTATCCAACTTATCTTGCAAAGCTGTCCATGTGGAGTCTTCATATGAACTTTCTTTGGGGGTTACATCATGGCTTTCATTGTAGCTTTCCTCACTCTTGGCTAAGTTCTCAACCAGTAGCTCTCCTTGCTCTATGGTCAGGTTTAGAAAACTCCCTTGGCTAGCTACATCAATGTCCATTTCTGCTCCTTAGCAACTCCCCAATAGAAATGGCTAAGTATAGCTTCTCTTGTAAACCCATGATGTGGACAATCCCTAGTGTATCCTCTCAACCTTTCCCATGCCTCATGAAAGGTCTCATGGCTGTCCTTGTTGGAAGCTTCAAGATGTTTCTCCTCATTTGGTATGGGTTCTTTGTGGGATAGAACTTTAAAAGAAAGACCTCTTGCAATCATCCCAAGACTTGACCAAATGAGATGGTATAGCTCTTTCCCATTTGCTTGCCTTTTCTCCAAGTGAAAATGGAAACAAAAGGAGCTTGATACTATCTTAGGAACACCAGCAACGCCTAAATGTGCCACACAACCTCTCAAAGTAGTCCAAGTGATCATAAGGATTCTCCAATCCATTTCCCAAGAACTTAGAGCTTTGAATTAACCTTATCAAGCTTGGCTTGATCTCATAGGCGTGGGCTTCAATGGGAGGTGGATGGATTCCATAACTAAGCCCATCATAGTGAGGAACATCACAAGTTCCAATTGTAGGCGTGACCACTTGAGCTTGGTCAGGAGTTGGTCTGACGTCTTGAGGTTGTGGAGCTTGAGGAACGCTCTGGTGACTGTCCATATCCAGCACCTCACATGATATTGTCTTCCCAGTTCTCTTCTTCTTAGTTTGGTACCTTGGAAAGCATAAGAGAATAAGAGAACACAAGTTAGTAACAACATAAATGAAAAAGTTCATCATTTCCATGAGAGATGAACAAACAAGGAACAATAAAAGCTTAGTCTTAAATGAATTCAAATCCTAATGCTTAATGCTAAACCCCAATGGCAACGGCGCCAAATTGATAGTAGGATTTTTGCTATCAATTACTCAATCCACTACTCATGTCATTGTAGCATTTGAGGTATCAATCCATAGGGGTTAAGATTAAGACAATAGGAATGCAAGAAACAATTAATCCAAGCCAAATCAAAGAGGGGTTTTTATCTAGCAACCTAAATGAGAATCAAACATAAAACTTAAAGCAAATTAAAACAAGAAGCCAAACTCAAGAGATAAATACAAAAACGAAAATTAAAAAGTAAAACAAGCAAAGCAAATGGGTCTTGGGATGGGGTCATTGAACTAGAGAGACTCTTTGACTAATCTATGATGCTCAAACAATCAAGTGAATGCTAATCCTTAGGCATAGAACTCTTAAACAAGACTAATCCATTCTCATGAACTAATCACTTTGCTAATTACAAATCTCAAACTAATCATCATTAGTGAAATTCGAAATTAGCAAGCATTATAAACAAGTTCTATCAAGCCAATAAACACCTTAAACAATCATTATCATGAGCTAAGAATGTAAATCTCTTGATTTAGTTGGTTGGGACATTTCATCAAACACCTTGTGGGTGTGAAATGTCCTTTGATCTAAATCACTTTTCTCAAAGCTAATCTAGCATTAAGATCACTAAACAAGAAAGGATATAAGCAATCTAAGCCTAAGCATCATCAATCAATCATTAAATCTCTCTAAATCTAACCCATCCCTAAACCCTAAAACAACTACTCCCTAATCATGATTAAATCAACTAGCCCAAAGAAAAGGGAGTTGATAATCATGATTAGGAAGATGAAGGGAGAAACAATGATCAAGTAAACACTCTCAAATAGATTAAACTCATAAAAGATCCAAATTTTGATTAAGAACAAAGGGATAAGAGTTTTTAGTCTAAGAGAAAGAGATTACAAGATGCCTAAAATAATAGGACTTTAATCTATTTATACTTGGAGACTCCAAAACCCTTGGTCAACTCATTTAGCTTGACTTTTCTTCTTCCCAATGGTTTGGCTCCAAAGACTTTGCGTTTTAATCCCTTTTGGTACAGCTGGATAGTGGTCAAAGCTCAGTCAACGCGGGTCAACTCGTCCTCTTGGTCAACACTCAGCTGAAAGGCGAGAAACAGGTTTCTGAACCTGTTTGACATCCTGGTTGCGAACTCCTGAGTATTCTTTTAATCTCCAACCTCCCATACTAGCTCCAAACTCCTCAAAACACCTAAATACAACTCCAAATGCAGAATGTATGCAATGTATGCTCTAAATGGTATGAATGATACAATGGAAGGTAATTGACCTAAAATGAGTGAAATGAATGTCAAGAACATGCAAATATGTATGAAATTATATGTCTAAATGATGTAAATATGAGTACATCAACACCCCCAAACTTATCACTTGCTTGCCCTCAAGCAAGAAGAACAAATCTGAGAGTATTGGATTAGGAGAAAGACTCAGATTCCCAAGGTGCAATGAGAAGAAATGAGGTCAATGTCCTAGTTGAGAATTATAAGATGCAAAGTGAGTTTGCTTTACTTCAAAAACTTTAGCCACATTCATCAAAGCAAAAAATGACACTAGACCCAATCTACACATGCATTCATATCACTCTCACCTTTTGACATTCAATTAATACAAACCATGAATCAAAACTCATGCACTTCAAGATTTGCTCATTTGGTTAAGGGTTTAGGCTTTTTAGGAGATATGAAAGGTTTCTCCAAAGTGGTTTACTCATTTTTAAAACAGGGATCTCTCAAAGATGGATTGAGCTTGGGCAAAATGCTAAGAGTCAAGTCCAAGGATGATACAAAGCTGAACTTCCATCTACCCAAAACAGAGCTGAGAACCCAAAGATACCCACTGAAATCCTAGCTACCCTTTTCTTCAAGAAAATGAAACTCAAATGAACCCAAATGACACTCTCTCTTTTCTTTCTTTTCTGGACCTTGAGAGGGTTATAAACTAGGACTTAAGGGAAGATAAACTTTCTTTTCAAAACAGAGGAGTAAACTTTTTTTTGAACTTTTGTGGCTTAAGGCTTTTCTTTTCTAGGCTTTGATTTTCTCTTTTTCTTTTTTCTTGCCTAACTTTGACAACTTCACTCACAGCCACCACTCTTTTTAACTCTCCTTTTCTTTTCTTTTTCTTTCTCCCATCCTTTCTCTCTTTTACTTTCTGCCACTCTCAAGGTCTTTCATAAACTCACTCTCTTCCTCACTGTCTAAATGATGTAAATATTGAGTACATCAGTTGTCTGGTAAGAATGGTTTCGGTGATGTTATTCTAGATACCGGCGCCTCACATCACATGACAGGGAACCTGTCGTTGTTACGGAACATTGAGAATATCATTCCATACTTTGTGGGGTTCGCGGATGGTGGAAAGACTCACTCGCTTAGCAAAGGCTCCTTAACGATATCATCTAAGCTCACGTTACATAATGTCTTATATGTCAAAGATCTTAACTGCACTTTGATTTTGGTCTCCAAATTGCTGAAACAAACCGGTGGCGTAGCTATGTTCACTGATACTCTTTGTGTTTTACAGGACCGTTTCACGAGGACTTTGATTGGAGTCGGTGAGGAACGTGATGGGGTCTACTATTTTAAGGATGTTATGGCAGCTAGGATACATCGAGCAGACGCAGTAATGAACTCTACTTTGTGGCACCAGAGGCTAGGACATCCTTCGTTTTCAGTGCTTTCTTCTTTACCATTGTTTTCTGGTTCTTCTAGACCTGCTTGTTCTGGTCCGTGTGACGTTTGTTTTAGGGCTAAGCAGACTAGGGAAGTGTTTCCAGACGGTATTAATAAAAGCACAGAATATTTTTCTCTTATTCATTGTGACGTATGGAGTCCATACAGAGTTCCATCTTTGACTGGTGCTGTTTATTTTCTTACAATTGTGGATGATTTCTCTCGAGCAGTGTGGACATATCTTTTACTTGAGAAATCGGAGGTTAGCAAGGTTCTCAAAAACTTTATGTTATATACAGAGAGATAATTTGGAAAGACAGTCAAGATGGTTAGAAGTGATAATGGCACAGAGTTCATGTGTCTTTCGACGTTTTTTCGTGAGAAAGGGATTGTTCATCAAACGTCATATGTAGCTACTCCGCAGCAGAATGGTCGTGTCGAGAGGAAGCATAGACACATTCTTAATGTGGCGCGAGCGCTCTTGTTTCAGAGTAACTTGCCAATTAAATTTGATCAGTTAAGAGTTTTTGGTTGTGAGTGCTACACACCTCGGACCACACGCGACAAAGATAAGTTTGGCCAGAGAAGTCGTCGGTGTATGTTCTTAGGTTATCCAGTTGGAAAAAAAGTATGGAAGGTGTATGATATTGAAAGGAACGAGTTTGTCGTCTCTCGTGATGTCATTTTTAAGGAAACTGTTTTTCCTTTTACTCTAGTGAGCTTCCTTCTCTCTCTCAGTCGTCACGTGTGACCGATATTGATGATGACTGGTTCGTTGCTCCCACGAATGTTGTAAGGGGGAGCGTTGTTCCGCTTATGCCTGAAAGGGGGAGCTCTGCTGCAGCTGGAACAGAACATCCACAAGAACCTGTTTCAGTACAAACAACAGAATCAGAACATCCACAAGAACATGGTTCTGTAATTGCAGTTGATTCCTCCCTTAATAATGTTACTACACAGAACGAAACAAAGGTTATTCCCATCGTTTATGCGCCTGCTCTTGGACGAGGTCTTCGCCAGAAAACATAGTCTGTAAAACTGAAAGACTATGTTACGTACAATGCCGTGTGTGTTCAAGATCCCCATCACGCTCCTCCCGACTCATCGTCTCAGTCCTCCTCAGTCCAAGGTAACTCACTCTATCCTCTCTCTCATTTCGTCTCAGATGAATCTTTCTCGCCGAACCGGTGAGCTTTCTTTGCAGCTATTACGGCGGGAGATGAGCCCAAAAGTTTCAAAAATGCTGTTCAGATCAAAGTTTGGAATGATGCAATGGGTTCAGTAGTTGATGCCTTGGAGTTCAAGAAAACGTGGGATATAGTTGATTTACCTCCCAGAAAGGAGGCGCTTGGCTACTTGTGGGTGTTCAAAACCAAGTACAACTCTGACGGAACGATAGAGCGGTATAAGGCTTGACTTGTAGTTCAAGGCAACAATCAGATTGCGGGCGAGGATTATGACGAGACGTTCGCTCCAGGGGTCAAAATGAATATTGTACGGACAGTTCTTCGCACAATTGCAGCAAATAATTGGGAGGTTTATCAGATGGATGTGCATAACGCTTTTCTTCATGGGGATCTCGAGGAAGAGGTCTATATGAAACTTCCGCCAGGCTTCAGGCATTCTCATCTCAGCAAAGTTTGTCGGCTCCGGAAATCCTTGTATGGTCTAAAACAAGCACCTCGTTGTTGGTTTAAGAAGTTATATGATGCTCTGCTCCGCTTCGGCTTTGTGGAATCTTACGATGACTACTCTTTGTTCTCTTATTCGTCTAAAGGTATTAAACTTTGAGTGTTGGTGTATGTTGACGATTTAGTAATATGTGGGAATCATGAGTATATGATTCAGAAATTCAAAGACTACTTGAGTCGCTGTTTCTCCATGAAAGATTTAGGCCGCCTCAAATACTTTCCCGGCATTGAAATCTCTCGAGGTCCAACAAGAATGTTTCTTTCTCAACGAAAGTATGCTTTGAACATTATCGCTGAAACTGGAAATCTCGGGTCTCGCCCGGCTGCGACTCCTCTCGAGCAAAATCATCAACTCCCCACGGTTGATAGTCCACTTCTCGATGATCCTAAGAAGTACTGTCGTCTCCTAGGACGTTTGATTTATTTACTCAACACAAGGCCGGAGCTGTTCTACTCGGTCCATTTGCGGTCTCAGTTTATGCAAGCACCCACGTTGGCTCACTGGGAAGCTGCTTTACGTGTTGTACGTTACCTAAAGGGTTCGCCTGGTCAAGGCATTTTTCTTCACTCTGATCCCGATCTTACGCTTACTGTGTACTGTGACGCAGACTATGATTCATGTCCGTTGACTCGTCGTTCTCTCAGTGCCTTCGTCATTATGCTTGGAGGCTCACCTGTGGCTTGGAAAACAAAGAAGCAGGTATTTGACTGTGTATGTTGTAGACCATACAAGGATTCTAGCTCCAAAGACATGCAGTAATAACCAGGTGGCCAGTGGCGAAAAAGGATTCATTATGTTAAGTTTCCTAATTCATTGTGTTGTGATAATGCTAAGTTTCCTTGTATTTAGGAGTCTAGGGTTATCTAGCTCTAAAGACACGTTGTATAAATACCCAAGTTTGGGATTGTGAATAATCAAGTCAGTTGAATACCTAATTCTACATGGTATCAGAGCAAAAGATCTTCAAAGCTAAAATTACTTTTTGATCTCTTTCGCTCTTTGTTATGGCTGGAGACGATGTCGATGCTTCAGCCAGTGGAGATGGTGCCAGTGGTAACCAGGTGGCCAGTGGCGGTTCCGGTGGAGCTGTGGTCGGTGTTGGTGTTATCTCGCCGTACACGTTGTCGGCGTAGATAACCCGGGAGTTTTGATTACTTCCGTTCAGTTGAATGGAGAAAATTACAACGAATGGGCTTCGGAGATGCTTAACGCTCTTCAAGCTAAATGCAAGATGATTTCATTCACGGTGTTCTTCCAAAACCTGCGAGTGGTAGCCCGGATTTGGAGAATTGGTTAACGGTCAACTCCATGATCGTTGGCTGGATTAGGTCTTCGATAGAACCTAAAGTACGTTCGACGGTGTCGTATATCACGGATGCTCATCTCCTGTGGACTGAGCTTAAGGAACGTTTCTCAGTGGGGAATAAAGTTCGTATACACCAAATCAAGTCTCAACTTGCGTCATGTAAGCAGGACGGTCAAACTGTTTTGGAGTATTATGGTCGTCTTGCTATGTTGTGGAAGGAACTACAAACTTATCAGCCGGTGATTTCGTGCTCTTGTGGAGCAGCTGGCGTACTTGCCAAAGAAAAAGAAGAAGAAAAGCTGCACCAATTTGTTATGGGATTGGACGATGCTCGGTTTGGTGGTTTGTGTACGAGCATCGTAGCTTCTGATCCTTTGCCTAGTCTTGGTGAAGTCTATGCAAAGATTGTGCGAGAAGAGCAACGTTTGACATCAGCGAAAGCTCGCGAGCAACAGCAAGAGGCGATCGGATTTGTCGCTCGCCGAGAAGAGGTCCTTGCTCCTGTTCGTCCTAGCCAAACTGAGACACGTTCAGACTCAGCTAATTCTGTTCGTCGTGATCGCAATGCTCTCTGCAGTCATTGTGGACGTACCGGTCATGACAAGAAGGAATGTTGGCAGTTAGTTGGCTTTCCCGAGTGGTGGTTGGACAGAAACAAGAATCTAAGTGGAGGTCGTGGAAGAGGAGGAGGTCGCAATGGTTACAACAACCCTGGTCGTGGTCGTGGTCAGGCCAATGCTGCACACGCCACAAGTTCCAACGCTTCTTCTTTTCCGGAGTTTACAGCCGACCAAGTGGAAGGCTCTATCCAAGTTGATTCAAGAGAAGTCTGGTGAGGCGAATCCTGACAAGTTGTCTGGTAAGAATACTTCGGTGATGTTATTCTAGATACCGGCGCCTCACATCACATGACAGGGAACCTTTCTCTGTTACGGAACATCGAGAATATTATTCCATGTACTGTGGGGTTCGCGGATGGTGGAAAGACTCTCTCGCTTAGCAAAGGATCTTTGACGATATCATCTAAGCTCACGTTACATAACGTCTTATATGTCAAAGATCTTAATTGCACTTTGATTTCAGTTTCCAAGTTACTGAAACAAACCGGTGGTGTAGCTATGTTCACTGATACTCTTTGTGTTTTACAGGACCGTTTCACGAGGACTTTGATTGGAGCCGGTGAGGAACGTGATGGGGTCTACTATTTTAAGGATGTTATGGCAGCTAGGATACATCGAGCAGATGCAGCAATGGACTCTGCTTTGTGGCACCAGAGGCTAGGACATCCTTCGTTTTCAGTGCTTTCTTCTTTGCCATTGTTTTCTGGTTCTTCTAGACCTGCTTGTTCTGGTCCGTGTGACGTTTGTTTTAGGCTAAGCAGACTAGAGAGGTGTTTCCAGACAGTATTAATAAAACACAGAATGTTTTTCACTTATTCATTGCGATGTATGGGGTCCATACAGAGTTCCATCTTTGACTGGTGCTGTTTATTTTCTTACAATTGTGGATGATTTTCTCGAGCCGTGTGGACATATCTTTTACTGAGAAATCGGAGGTTAGCAAGGTTCTCAAAAACTTTATGTTATACAGAGAGACAATTTGGAAAGACATTCAAGATGGTTAGAAGTGATAATGGCACAGAGTTCATGTGTCTTTCGTCGTTTTTTCGTGAAAAAGGGATTGTACATCAAACTTCATGTGTAGCCACTCCGCAGCAGAATGGTCGTGTCGAGAGGAAGCATAGACACATTCTTAATGTGGCGCGAGCGCTCTTGTTTCAGAGTAACTTGCCAATTAAATTCTGGGGTGAAGCTATTCTCACTGCGTCGTATCTCATCAATAGAACACCATCTGCCATTCATCTTGGTCGTTCCCCGTATGAGATTCTACATGGTGAGAAACCCTCTTATGACCAGTTAAGAGTTTTTGGTTGTGAGTGCTATACACATCGGACCACACGCGACAAAGATAAGTTTGGCCAGAGAAGTCGTCGGTGTGTGTTCTTAGGTTATCCAGTTGGAAAGAAAGCATGGAAGGTGTATGATATTGAAAGGGACGAGTTTGTTGTCTCTCGTGATGTCATTTTTAAGGAAACTGTTTTTCCTTACTCTAGTGAGATTCCTTTTCTCTCTCAGTCGTCACGAGTGACCGGTGTTGATGATGACGGGTTCGTTGCTCCCACGAATGTCGTAAGGGGGAGCGTTGTTCCGCTTATGCCTGAAAGGGGGAGCTCTGCTGCAGCTGGAACAAAACATCCACAAGAACCTGTTTCAGTACCAACAACAGAATCAGAACATCCACAAGAACCTGGTTCTGTAATTGCAGTTGATTCCTCCCCTAATAATGTTACTACACAGAACGAAACAGAGGTTATTCCAATCGTTTCTGCGCCTGCTCTTGGACGAGGTCTTCGCAAGAAAACAGAGTCTGTAAAACTGACAGACTATGTTACGTACAATGTCGTGTGTTCTCAAGATCCCCATCACGCTCCTCCCGACACATCGTTTCAGTCTTCCTCGGTCCAAGGTAACTCACTCTATCCTCTCTCTCTCTCATTTCATCTCAGATGAATCTTTCCCGCCGAACCAGCGAGCTTTCTTTGCAGCTATTACGGTGGGAGATGAGCCCAAAAGTTTCAAAGATGCTGTTCAGATCAAATTTTGGAATGATGCAATGGGTTCAGAAGTTGATGTCTTGGAGTTCAAGAAAATGTGGGATATAGTTGATTTACCTCCCGGAAAGGAGGCGCTTAGCTGCTTGTGGGTGTTCAAAACCAAGTACAACTCTGACGGAACAATAGAGCGGTATAAGGCTCGACTTGTAGTTCAATGCAACAATCAGATTGCGGGCGAGGATTATGACGAGACGTTCGCTCCGGTGGTCAAAATGAATATTGTACGGACAGTTCTTCGCACAGTTGCAGCAAATAATTGGGAGGTTTATCAGATGGATGTGCATAACGCTTTTCTTCATGGGGATCTCGAGGAAGAGGTCTATATTAAACTTCCACCAGGCTTCAGGCATTCTCATCCCGGCAAAGTTTGTCGGCTCCGGAAATCCTTGTATGGTCTAAAACAAGCACCTCGTTGTTGGTTTTGTTGGTTTAAGAAGTTATTTGATTCTCTGCTCCGCTTCGGCTTTGTGCAATCTTATGATGACTACTCGTTGTTCTCTTATTTGTCTAAAGGTATTAAACTTCGAGTGTTGGTATATGTTGACGATTTAATAATATGTGGGAATCATGAGTATATGATTCAGAAATTCAAAGACTATTTGAGTCGCTGTTTCTCCATGAAAGATTTAGGCCGCCTCAAATACTTTCTCAGCATTGAAATCTCTCGAGGTCCAACAGGAATGTTTCTTTCTCAGCGAAAGTATGCTTTGGACATTATCGCTGAACTGGAAATCTCGGGTCTCGCCCGGCTGCGACTCCTCTCGAGCAAAATCATCAACTCGCCACGGTTGACAGTCCACTTCTCGATGATCCTAAGAAGTACCGTCGTCTCCTAGTGATGTAGCGGAAGCTACGATAAACACAGCTCAACCAATGATTCAATGAAATCAATTGGGACCTGCCAGCTCAACCAAGGAATTCAATAGAATTCTCACTTGGGACCTGCTTCTTGAACTCGTTGAGATCTCTCTTGATCTACCGAAAACAAGGATGGAGAATACTCTTCTCTCAAAGCCTAAGCTCTTTTATTAATAATCAACAACTTCTTGAAATACAATAGGCCTAAACGGCTATTTATAAGAAAACCATAAAACCCTAAAACACCAATAATAATTAATTTAAATAATAAAATAAATAATCTAAATATTTGGAATATTTCCAATTATCTTCCTGCATCATTCTCTCCGGGTTGGAGAAGATTCGTCCTCGAATCTTAGCCATGATCTTCGTTTCCAAAACTCCATCCAGAAAAATCATTCAACAATTTACTTTCCCTTTTTTCTAGGGGTGTTCAATCCGGATATTGGTTCGGTTTCGGTATTCGGTTTTTCGGTTAATAAAAAATAGGTACCATACTAGAACCATACATACTTCGGTTTGGTTGGGTTTGGATAATCTCGGTTATCGGTTTTCTCGGTTTGGATATTTTCGGATCGAATAATCTTGGTTTTCGGGTTATTTGTACATTTTGTTTGATTATTATTTTATTATATAGATATTTTAATTTTTCTGATAATCGAATGATAAATTCAAATAATAAAATGTAAATTTTTGTCTTATTTTAAATTATAAAACTCTAAAGATCTATATTTTAGTATTTAGAATTTCTTAATTGTTAAATTTTGGTAAATTAAAGATATATAATTTTATATAAGATTACTCTAAACTTATATTATTATATATCATATGTGTATACTATATATTATTATACTAATATATAGAACTATTCGGTTTTTTCGATTTTTGCGGTTCGGTCGGTTAATATCCAAACCATATCAATATCCACGGTTTATATAAAATTGCATCCATACGGTTTATACAGTGTATCCAAATCCAAACCATATGACCTATTTCGGTTCGGTTCGGATCGGTTCGGTTCGGTTCGGTTTTACCAAATTGAACAGCGCTACTTTTTTCTAATCTTCCACGAATAAAATCTTTTATACAAAAGAATATTATGTTGCACCTTAATTCCTTTAATCTTCTGATTTCCAATAAAAAAATAACATCCAATATTTGCTATGATGTATTCCTTGACTACCTTCGAATCACAAGACCAAATCTCCACTATCTCCTTTTCACGTAAGAGAACATGCTTTTGAATACCTCGTAGAAGAAAACCATCTTCAGTATCGAAGCACACCATCTTGCATATTTGGACGTCTTCATTCAGATCCACATGTTGAGATTGATACAAAAGGGCATCATTATCTTCTCGATATGTATCATAAATTGGATCACCAATAAGTTCTCTAAAATTTTCAGAAAAATCTTCACTTGAAACAAATAGATCTGTGGAACAAAAACTCCCAAACAACATGATAATCAAAACAGAATCGAACCTTGATTGAAAAATCAAAGTGTTGTCTCTGATACCAACTGATGTAGCGGAAGCTACAATAAACACAGTTCAACCAATGATTCAATGAAATCAATTGGGACCTGCCAGCTCAACCAAGGAATTCAATAGAATTCTCACTTGGGACATGCTTCTTGAACTCGTTGAGATCTCTCTAGATCTACCGAAAACAAGGATGGAGAATACTCTTCTCTCAAAGCCTAAGCTCTTTTATTAATAATCAACAACTTCTTGAAATACAATAGGCCTAAACGGCTATTTATAAGAAAATCATAAAACCCTAAAACACCAATAATAATTAATTTAAATAATAAAATAAATAATCTAAATATTTGGAATATTTCCAATTATCTTCCTGCATCACCTAGGACGTCTGATTATTTACTCAACACAAGGCCGGAGCTGTGCTACTCGGTCCATTTGCTGTCTCAGTTTATGCAAGCACCCACGTTGGCTCACTGGGAAGCTGCTTTACGTGTTGTACGTTACCTAAAGGGTTCGCCTGGTCAAGGCATTTTTCTTCACTCCGATCCCGATCTTACGCTTATTGTGTACTGTGACGCAGACTATGATTCATGTCCGTTGACTCGTCGTTCTCTTAGTGCCTTCGTCATTATGCTTGGAGGCTCACTTGTGGCTTGGAAAACAAAGAAGCAGGTATTCGACTGTGTATGTTGTAGACCATACAAGGATTCTAGCTCCAAAGACATGCAGTAATAACCAGGTGCCAGTGGCGGAAAAGGATTCATTATGTTAAGTTTCCTAATTCATTGTGTTGTGATAATGTTAAGTTTCCTTGTATTTAGGAGTCTAGGGTTATCTAGCTCCAAAGACATGTTGTAAAAATTCCCAAGTTTGGGATTGTGAATAATCAAGTCAGTTGAACACCTAATTCTACAAGGTATCAGAGCAGAAGATCTTCAAACCTAAAATTTCTTTTTGATCTCTTTCGCTCTTTGTTATGGCTGGAGACGATGTCGATGCTTCAGCCAGTGGCGGTTCCGGTGGAGCTGTGGTCGGTGTTGGTGTTATCTCGCCGTACACGTTGTCGGCGTCAGATAAACCGGGAGCTTTGATTACTTCCGTTCAGTTGAATGGAGAAAATTACAACGAATGGGCTTTGGAGATGCTTAACGCTCTTCAAGCTAAACGCAAGATGGGTTTCATTCACGGTGTTCTTCCAAAACATGCGAGTGGTAGCCCGGATTTGGAGAATTGGTTAACGGTCAACTCCATGATCGTTGGCTGGATTAGGTCTTTAATAGAACCTAAAGTTCGTTCGATTGTGTCGTATATCTCAGATGCTCATCTCCTGTGGACTGAGCTTAAGGAACAATTCTCAGTGGGGAATAAAGTTCGTATACACCAAATCAAGTCTCAACTTGCGTCATGTAAGTAGGACGGTCAAACTGTTTTGGAGTATTATGGTCGTCTCGCTATGTTGTGGGAGGAACTACAAACCTATCAGCCGGTGATTTCGTGCTCTTGTGGAGCTGCTGGTGTATCCTTAATTCAATTATGGTTTTGTTGTTTCTTCCTTGTGTTCTACTAGCAATTGATGTTCTTGGTGGTGAATGAGTGTACGTAATGTTTACATTATTTATACAGTTTCTTAAATCATGTAAGAGTGCAACAGCAGTTACCGTTTTTTTTTTTTTAAGATTTTGGTATACTGTATTATCTTATCAACTAGAGAGAAAATAGCTGATTTGTGTTTGTATTGTTTCTTGTTCTTGATTTAAATAGCTCTTTTATTCACCGAAAAAATACCACAAAATGTAATTTCAAAAATACCACAAAACTTATTTTCCAAAAATTCCACAGAATACAATTTTGTCAATTTTCCAAAAATACCACAAAATTTAGTTTCCAAAAATACCACACATTTTTTCATAAATATCACAAAATAATCTGGATATATTTCTTTCGACCTAGTAACTTTGAAAGAAGAGCAGATTTCATCAAATTGGTATACAAAATGTGCAAGAAAATAAAATAGCATAACTAAAAATATCGTGTAAATATTGTAGAAAATAGCCATAGCCATGTTCAATTCACGGATCCAGAAATAATGAAATAAGGATCAGAATCTTGATTCAGAAAAAGTTTTAATAAACAAGGTAATCAAAATCTTCCACAATTGTGGTGAATAAGCTTGTGACTGACATGATTCAATGTAATTTATGTTGTTCTTTATGAAAACTCGGACATTGTACAAACTTTTGGTTGAATTAATTGCAGATTGTAAACAGAATTTCAATTGTCTCGTATAATACTCCTTTGGCTTTGATTTATTCCATTTAGCAAAGAAGTGTCGAGTCTAGTGGAAAATTGGAAACCGATTTTTGTTTAACTAAAATTAAGAATATGTATACAATATTCAACAACGTAACAAAAAGAGAACAAAATATTAACTCCTAGAGCTAGTAGCATTGTTGTTCGGAGGAACGCTACGAAGGAAAGAAGAACTTTTTGTGAGTTCTCTGAGTGGCTTATCCGTAAATCTGATAAAGTTGTAAACAAAACCTCAGGCCATAATTCCGATGATAGGACCAACCATGTAAACCCAAATTCCTTTATATTTTCCCATCACTATCGCTGGTTCTAGACTTCTTGCTGGATTCATTGATGCTCCCGAAATAGGTCTAATAAAATAATCAAAACCAAAATTAATATTTTCACTAATACAAGAATTATTTTTGTAATAAAATGAGATAACATCATATTATTACCCAGCTACAAAGACGTTTAACACTATAGTCATCCCAACCGCAATTCCTGCTAACTCTCCAATCTGTAAAAACAAATTAAAAACAATCCATCAACATGAGAAACTTTCATTTCCATACTTTTTTTTCTTATATGACTATGGTTTTTATATAATAAGTCCACTGTTTGGGTTTAATTTCGTTAATCATGTTTTTTTTTGTATGAATGTTATTTATATTTTGTGCCCATTTCTATTCAACGATCTACCAATATGGATAAATATTTGAAAAACATAACAAGAAAAAGAAAGGGTGCTATATGAAAAAACACTAACCGCTCGATTATCAGTGGCATCACTAGAGATAACAAACATGAGGAGGAATGAGATAATGATCTCTGCGACAAGTGCCCGTGCGTACGAATCAGTCGGAATTGTTCCGAAGTAAGCTTCGGGTGTGATTTTGAACATTATTTTCAGTGTCAAACTTGCTAGTAACGATCCCGCAAGTTGTGCACATATATACGATGGTACCTGTCCAAAACGTTACACAGTTAATATTTTGTTCTTGTTAAATGCAAACGCAAGAGATAGAGAGTAAGTAGTGACCTGAGACCAGGGAAACCGCCGGAAAACGGCGAAGCTGATGGTAACCGCAGGGTTAAAGTGTGCACCAGAAATGTGACCGATAGAGTAAATCATGACCATAACAATGAGACCCCAAGTCAAACAAATTCCCGGAAATGTCACTGTTCCACCGTACAACACATTCACCACCACAACTCCACAACCAGAAAACATTATGAAATATGTTCCAATCATTTCTGCTATTAACTGCAATATAAAAAAGAAAAACTATAAATTAATTTGTTCAAAATATTTGTTATCATTATAACTATGCACTACAAAGAAAAAGAAAAATCTCCCTTTTGGGTAAGGCAAACAATGTTGGGAGAAGAACATATGACAGTTTCGATTCCTCCATGGCAATCTGTTGATATGCCTTCCTCAATTCTTGATATTTGTTCTTCTTCGATTCCTTCACCATGAGAAGTCATTTTTATGGATAACTAAACAAGATATATTTTTTGTTTTTTTTTTTTCAAAAAGTAGAGTGGAGGGTTTTTTGTTTGAGAAAGAAGAAACTAAAATTGTTGTGATTGGAGAATTTGGAGAGTAAGGGGTTTTTATACATGTGAAACATAAATAAACTGTAACTGTCACATGATGATTAGATTAGATCTAATGAGTTGGAATAATGACCTCTGATTTGATGTAACAGATAAAATAGGGTGAAAGTTTAACTGTTATGTGGAGATGGGTAAAAAGTCAACTAAGATTAGTTATATTTATACTTATGCAACTCCACATTGTCAAAAGAAGTTGTATATATATTTGTAGGAGTATCTAAACTTAACAAATTGTTTTTTAGAAAACGAGAGGTTTAGGCAGTAGATCTAGCCACCATTCTTGATGGAGAAAATAGTAGAAATCAAGTAATTATAGAAATTTCTAGATATTTTAAAGTAATACAAATACATTTAATAATTTATCAAACTTTAACCATTTTTCTATATGTATAAAATGATTAAATGATCATAACAAGTAACAGCATCACAATTCACCACACATCAATTTTCTCTGTTACATTCGTTCTTTTAACTCAAATTTATCTATTACAAATGATGAGATTATATACGAAATTTAATTTTAGTGGTATTTTTGGAAACAATAATTTTAGTGGTATTTTTGGAAAAAATAATGTGTGGTATTTTTGGAAACTAAATTTTGTGGTATTTATGGAAAATTATATTTTGTGGTATTTTTGGAAAATAAGTTTTGTGGTATTTTTGAAATTATATGAGATTTTGAGAGCAGATTTCATAACAGTTCTTTTAATTTCTTGCACTTTTGTGGTATATTTGAAATTCCAAGAGTGCAACAACAATTACCGTTTTTGAGATTTTGATATACATGATTGTTGTAGATGCAATATATTTCTGCAATTTGTAGCCTTGATTATCTTGCCAACTAGAGAGAAAATAGCTGCTTTGTGTTTGGATTGTTTCTTGTTCTTGATATAAAAAGCTCTTTTATCCACCGAAAAATGTACATATACATGTTATTTTCAATTTTTGTAAGAGAAGTGATATGTAAGTTTCGAGAGACATTCGAGTATATATGATTGATTATAGCTGTAACTTTAGTTTCTGGCTATTATTTATATTAGTTTTTTATGTAAAATTTTAGCTATTGATTTCTTTTTTTCTACCGTGGCTTTGAAACTTTGGCTGTGACATTTTAAAGATGTAAAAATTATATGTAAGCATACTATATTATATATATATATATATATTAGACAAATACAGTAATAGATTTTGTTGAAAGAGTCTTAAAGCACTTGAAATAGTGTTGTATAAAAACATAAGATCAGAAAAATGTTAATACAATATTTTTCTATTTTTCAAATTTTTTTGATTAAGATGATTTTTGAAATAATAATTCGATAATTAGAATGATTTATTTTGTCCAAAAGTGGATGGAATATAAATAGGTGTAGATCCCCAAAGCTATATAAAAATTAACATTTTTTTTTCCAATTTCCCCCAAACTCATTCCTACAATCGTTCAATTTCTTTCCACAGCCATAAAAGAAAAGAAAAAAGGCTGTAAATTTTGAAAATGGAAGCTCAGCTGTAAATTTTTTAGAAATGGAAGCACAGCTTAATTTGTTACTTTGTAATGCTCTTGAGAGAAATAAAGTTGTGCACAGCATTTACAGTTCACACTCATCCATGTAATTCTTTCTTTTTATTTCTATCACAATGGCTAACGATAACAAGTCAGCATTAGGATTAACATAATTTGACAACTAAGATATGCTAAAAATAAGTATCCTTTTTTATCCATGTGTGCATGTCCATTACAACCAGAGCATGATTTCTTTTAATAAATCTTTTACTAGAAAAATTGATTAAAACAAATAAATTTAAAGGCTCCTAAAACCATTTTCGTAATTAACTTGAATTTTTAATAAAAGTTTTACTGGAAAACTGTGAGTCACTTCCCAACAAAATTAACCAGTTGAAGATAATTTTTGTACCTGATAAAAATTAAAATCGTCAATTTTCGTTGTTTATGTATAAAAGTTGTACCGTTTATAATAGTGAAAGAAATAAGTAGGTAGGGGTAAAAATTTGGATATTTACCTCAATATTAAAAAATAAAATATTAGAACTCCATTTAATTTTTAAATTTAGTTTATAGATATAATAATAATTATCTATATATGTAATAAATTTAAATATATTACATTTGTTGGATATATACTTATAAACCGTAAAAAAAATTAAAGTTTGTTGTTTTAACTGTAATAGGTAAAAAAGAAACTATTTGTTATCGTCCGGTTTCTTCTAATATAATTTATAAAAACAAAAACAACAAGTCCCGCGCGAAACATGAACTACCCACTAGTAACCCAAAAAGGAGAGAATTTGAAATTATTAACATAAAACAAAGATTTGTGATTTATGTATTTTACATCTCTTTATATATATCATGTAGTAATGTAAACCAAAACCTTCTCTGATCTGTCTTTTGAAGGAATTGTTCAAGTCCCACCTACCTGTTTTCTGAGACAGGTAACAAGAAATGTTTTCCTCTGAATGACTTAGGTCTAGGATGAGCTTTCATTTTTCTCCTGAATTATGTTTGGAGATATTTATGCATATATTGTGAAATAATGTTTAGATTAAGCTAAGTTGAAATTTTCTGGTTGGTAGCCTCGAATCTCATTACACTCCTATGGTTGTTCTCTGATTACAATATATGATGATTGTTTGTTTTTTGTTCGTATATTGGGATGATTTTGGATCTGATTATTTGAATTTTTAGGTTTTGATTTATTTTAATTTTTCTTGCGGCTTATAACTGATTTGTATTGATTTATTTACTCTTTCTCACAATAATTAGTGAACTCTTGGAAATCTCAAACTATGGCACCAGTGAGTCAGAGCCCAACTATGAAGAATGCATGTGACTTTCTCAAGGTTGCAAGGAATACATTCAAAGACAATCGTGAAACATATAACGAATTTGTTAAGGTGGTGAGCCACGCAAAAACTAAGAGGTATGTTTTCAGTCTTAATGGTTGATTTTCAATATATCTATCCAATTCCAAATGATAATAAACACTAATGATTTATGAGGAGTTGGAGAATTTGATCTTATTAATTTTATTACAGCATGTGTCGTACTTGTATCAAATCAAGAGTGGAAGAACTCTTTAAAGATCACCAAGAGCTGATTATCGGTTTCAATAAATTCATGCCAAAGTCTAACCAGCAAATGGTCGAGTGTTGCCAAACTTTACGAAAGAGGCTTGATGTGGGTTTTGTGGACAAGGTCAAGGTAAGCGTATTCATTCATGGTAGAAAATAGATAGGGAATATTTGATTCACGATTTGATTAGATGATTTTTATATATCAAATATACAAATCTACAAATCTTTTTCAATTTTTTATTATTTTTCTCATAAATATCGTTTGGCGATAGGCGAGGTTTCAAGATGATGATCGCTCGTACGAATCATTTGAGGAGATGCTGCAAATGCATGAGGAGGGCAAGAAAAGCATTGATGAAGTATGCGATGAGGTATATATATATGTTTTGTAACTAATTAGTGTATGATATTGAAACTATTTCTTCTTCATTACTCTCATACTGAATTTTGTAACATGTGTATATTTTGTAGGCGTTTCATGTCTTCTTCCCAAACGATCACGACTTGCGTGTGGAGTTTCTCAACTTATACTTGAAGTCTTGAATAAGCTCGTATAATGAGATATGTATGCAATAAAGTGATGTTGTAATCACCAGTCTGCAGTTGAACTCGCAGAAACTAGAAACTCATTTCAGTTATTTTTCTTCATTGTTTAGACATAAAACTCATTTTTCAAGTTTCTTTTACAATTTTGCAATATTGTTTTAATTTCCAATATCTTCATTTTCACATAACCGGAACCTTCTCTCTGTGAAAGAGGGTCCAAAAGCAAATGATGCAGATCTGAGAAAATGGTTTCTTTTAAAACGGGGTATTGATTTCTTTTGGCGTCACTATATAAACGATCATGTAAACTAGTGTAGGAGAAGCTTTTTGGGAAACAAAGATGGAAAAGAAGAAGAAGAGTGAGAGTCTCAAGCTGGTGAAAATAAGAGACGCCATTAATCTCATTAACCAAGAAGTGAATCTGCTTGGTGTCGTCATTGAACGAAGAGAACCCAAACAATGTCGCAATAAAGGTAATCGAAACCCCCAAATTTTTCCCATTTCTTAATCTCAATTCATCGTTTTTCTTGTTCATCTAATTGGGTTTGGTTTGTGAAACCCTAAAAGTCTCAACCTTTAACATTGATTCTAGATTTCAAAGTTCGGATTTTTAACTTTTCAGCTTGGATCTGTACGCTACGGATAATTGATGATTCGTACCATGAACCTGGACTTACAGTAAACGTGTTTAGTAACAAGATTGAAGAGCTTCCTGATATCAAGAACAAGTACCACAATGACATGATTCTGTTTACACGAATCAAGGTACAAAAGACTCTAAAAATCCAATCTTTTTGAGGGTAAGAAGATGAAGACACTAAAAATCCAATCTTTTTCTCTGTAGATGCAATCTTTCGGCGGTGATGGAAAAGGAGTAAGTGGTGCCTGTAGACAACGGGCCTCTTCCTTTGCAGTGTATGAAGGAAGAAGAAGACAAGAGTTACAAGACGGATTTGTATGTTACCAATACACTTCGAATTTTCTTGAAGAAGCGCAATACAAGAGTTCCATTGCTTATCTAGGCAAAGTGTTTGCCAGTAGCAGCAGCTATGATGAAGGTGACAACATTTTGATGTGAGCTTGTTTAGCTTTCAAAATTTCATCTTTTTTTCCCAAAGATTTATAGTCTAAAGTAGAGAGCTTTCAATGGCGTTAGGATAGCTAAAATATATTAATAGTTCCATTTATTGTTTGCCAGTAGTAACAGAGTTGATGAAGGTAACATTGTGATCTTGTTTAGCTTTCAAATTTTCATCTTTTCCAAAGATTTATAGTCTAAAGTAGTGAACTTACTGTGGTTTTTAGAATAGGTATACTATTGTTACACGGTTTCAGGAACACACTGTGAATGATTCTCATAAAGCTTTGATTTTTTTCAAAAGATTTGTAGTCTAAAGTAGTGAACTTACAGTGGTTTTTGGAGTAGGTGTACTATTGTTACACGATTTCATGAAAACACTGTGAATGATTCTCCTAAAGCTTTGATTTTTCCAAAGATTTATCGTCTAAAATAGTGAACTTACAGTGGTTTTAGAATAGGTGTACTATTGCTACACAGTTTCATGAATACACTGTGAATGATTCTCATAAAGCTTTGATTTTTTCCACTTTGAGGTTCTTAGATTTACAGAGTTCATCTTACAGAACAAAAGCTAAAACTCCAGAAAAGTTTTCATTTTTGAGAGAGATCAAGGAAAGAAAACGCTTTGATTTGCTGTGTAAGGTAAAAACAATGACTTAATTCATACTTGCCTTTGCTTCAATACTCTGAATTACTTTAACCTATATCTTAACCTTGTTTTCTACTGTTTCTTGTAATGGAGATCCTCCATGTCAGTGAAGATATGAGCACCATTTTCGTTTGGGATGGTACTGATGCACCCCCAGCATCTTTTTCATCAAAGTAAGTTTTTTTTCAAGTGTCAAAGTTTAACTATCATTGGATTTGTTGGTTCTTGAGTTGTTTTTATGTACAATGTTGAGTATTAACAGTGCGATTAAAGACAAGGAATTTAGCAGTCTCTCAGTTAATACTCTTCTCTCAAGAGAGACATTGCTCGGCTTACCTACTGTTGGAACCATCTTGAGAGTCTCTTTAAGCAGTCATCTGTTTCATTTGGTGAAACCTGGTGAATGGATGAAACTATACCAGTTACTCTGTGAAGTTCATTGTGGTTCTTGGATAGGTAAAGCAACGAACTCTACAACGGTTAGTCTCGCACAAGATGATCCTTTAGTACAAAAGATTACAAGGTTAGTACTCTTTCTGACTTCTTTTCCTTTCGGCTAATTTCGTCTCTTGAGATAAAAAAACTCCTGACCTTTATTTGTCATGTTCACAAAACGTAGGATTTATGATAAGAGAGTATCATCAAAGCTTGGACACATTCCGTTTTGGAGTTTTCCTTCTCCTCCTGGATTAACAGGTTGCAATGATTTACAATGTCAAACATTTTGCTTTTGCTGCCTCGTTTCATTCTAACAGATTCGGTTTCTTGCAGAGACAGATGAAGATCAAGCTCCATTTGTTACACTCATGGACATTATAACATTCCCTAAGGTACGTAACATACCGGTTTTATTGTTATCTATATTGTAGTATGTTTTTCAAGTGTGAAAACGACTTTGTTGTTGTTGGATTTATCACAGGTTACATACAAATACAGATGCATTGTTAGAGTTGTAGCTTCATATCCTTGGCAAGTAGAGGAACTTTCTTCAGATGGCCACAGAGTTTTGTTGACCTTAGAGGATCCAACAGCGACTTTAGACGCTTTCTTATGCGATCAAGATGCAGTAAAAAAAACAACCCCATTTTGGTTTATGCATCTAAACAAAGTAAACAGAGATTGTCTCTTACTTATAATCATCTTTATTTTATTGAGCAGGAGTACTTTTGGGGCTTAGGGTTGCAGAACAGAGAGATATTGAGGACGAAGTGGAATCGGTTGGTGGGAATAAAGGAGAGCTCTCCAAGAAAACCACCGTGGATAGAGTGTTGTCTCTTCTCTTACTATGCTGATAAAGCTGATCCTTGGAACACAAGATTGTACAGAATCTTTGGTACTCGTTTTCTTAATTAAGTAGTGATTAGTGTGCTAAAAGTTTAGTAGTTAGTATTTAGATCATCTTCCTATTTTTTTGTAGTTCTAATGTTCTATGCATTAACAAAGCAACCTCAAAACCAACTTCAGTCCCTGTTGTTTCGTACTATTTACATAATTGGCGTTTTACTTTTGAATCTATCAACAAACCCCTTAGTAGAATGATTCCAAACTTTCAAATTGATCAATTTAACCCAACTGTTTTTAACGTTAAGTCAAAACTCTAAAGTAAACACAATCGTGTTTCATCCGAACCAAAGTAGGTGTGTGCTTATGAACGCTTACTTTGGTTCTGTCGCATTGACGAAAGCTTCTCCGATTACGCAGATTCCGCTTCCAATGGCCACCGTGAAGAAGACTGTTCGCGTCGCAGCTGCTCAGATGACATCTATCAATGATCTGATTGCCAATTTCAACACTTGCTCTCGTCTCGTTCAAGTAAAATCGATCCTCCCTATCTCTAGATTCATTTCCCGATTAATTCTAGTTGTAGCTCGTAAAACGGTTTAAAATTTGACTTAGGAAGCAGCATCGGCTGGTGCGAAGCTGATTTGTTTCCCTGAGAACTTCTCCTACATGGGTGAGAAATCAGGGGACAGTGTGAAGATCGCCGAACCATTAGACGGACCGGTGATGCAACGGTATTGCTCTCTAGCCAGGTAAAAAGATTGTGTTTTTATGTAACATTTTGAGACGTTTTTGCTCTGCATTGCCTTTAACATGTTCGGTGTTTGTTTTTGCAGGGATTCGAATATTTGGTTGTCTCTTGGTGGCTTCCAAGAGAGATTTGATGATACACATTTGTGTAATACTCATGTTGTGATTGATGATGCTGGGATCATCCAAAGCAGTTATCAGAAAATGCATTTGTAATATATATTTTTTTTTACTCTTCTTGGGATTTCAGAAAAACTATTTCTGCATATCTATCGCATATTTTGATCGTTTTAAGTTGTGTTTTTTACGAAGGTTTGATGTTGATGTTCCTGGTGGAAGCTCGTACAAAGAAAGTAGCTTTACGGTTCCAGGTAAAAAACTCTGTATCTTTTAGTAATCTTCTTGATTCTATGGTCACATCTAATCTAGTTCTTGACTGAATGTTCTGAATTCATTCCAAGACTTTCTTGAGTGGAAAGTATCTTAGGAAGTACTGTTGTTTGGGGGATGATTTAACAGTTTAAAATCCGAATTTGTTGTTTAGAACACATGAAGTTGTATCTCACAACTTGATAATCCCTGGAAGAGCACCAAGATCCATGCTTAATAACAACTTTTTTTCGTCACATCTATAACAGATTCTCCTTGTGTATAGACTTAAGTAGACTGATAAATCTTTAACTTTTTCTTCTTCTCAGGAACAAAGGTTGTTTCTTTAGACAGCCCTATTGGGCGCTTAGGCCTTACTGTTTGCTACGATTTGAGATTCCCTAAGATTTATCAGCAACTGAGATTCGAGCAGAAAGCTCAGGTAATATCCAATGTAATTCAGTTCAGTTTTTCAAAAGTTGTTGTTCAAAAAAAAATTCAGTTCAGTTTTTCTATCTTATTGGTGGTATTGCTTATGAAACGTAGTCAAGGAGAGAAATGATAAAATGAATTATTGAAACAATATTTTTGTTTCAAAACTCTGAAGAATAACAATGAAACATTAATTTGATGAAACTTTGTTTTTACACCAATTTTTTTCTTTCAGACTTGTGTATGAATTGATCTTTTTTAAAATGGTTGTCCTGTGAACTTAAAAACCCTTGCAGGTTTTACTTGTACCATCAGCTTTCACTATGGTCACTGGGGAGGCACACTGGGAGATTCTTCTTCGAGCCCGAGCAATTGAAACACAATGTTATGTACGTCATTACACTTTTCTCTCACGCTTTAACCACTCATTACAATGTTATGATCAATGTTGTGTCGATTTACATTTGATTTTATTGGTCTCTGTTTGATTTTTGTTGCTTTAACTAAATCGTCAGGTCATAGCTGCTGCTCAAGCTGGAAAGCATAGCGAGAAAAGAGAAAGTTACGGCGACACACTGATCATTGATCCATGGGGATCTGTGATTGGAAGATTGCCTGGTGAGAATCTTGATTTCATTCATCTGTTATATACAATTCTTGATGTGTTTTTTGGATCATATTTGATATTTCTTGCTGTTTTGTAGATCGTGTTTCGACTGGAATTGTCGTGGCAGATATTGATTTTTCACTTCTTGATTCGGTGAGAACAAAAATGCCAATTGATAAGGTAAAAAAATACAAACTTTGACAAAATGCAAAAATGAGACAAAAATCTCTGTTTCTGTGTAGTTACGTTTTCAGCTTCTTTGTTCTTGCAGCAACGGATGTCAATAGAGCTTTGAAGACACATGTGACATTTGGAGAAAATTGTAAATGTTTTTTTTTATCTAAATCATAACATCTTGATAACATTTTATTATTAGAAAGAAACACATAAGCTCCTCACATTGAGCTAACAAAGTCAACATCATCTACCACATCCATGATCTTGGACTTCTTATTCGCCACCCTACAATTCAATCTGATTTCTCCTTGCTTCCCTGTTAAAGGTGAAAGTCTTGCCATCCTTAACATTGCCTCCACGAACGCATTGAAAAACTTCTCTTTACCATCTGCGTATGCTCGGACTAAAGGGATAGTGTCCGAGGCATCAGGACTAGAGAACAACTCTTGGTCGCTCTGGATTAGTCCTTTGTTCTCTTTGAGATTCACATAGAATTTGTTGTCGAAAACTGTCGGCGTACGTAAATCGAAATCTACCAAGACACTCTGGTTTCCATTGCGAGGACATTGTTTTCTAAGCGCTGCGAGGTAAGATTTGTCAAGGGTTGGATCAGGTAAACCTGTGTTGCTGAAGTTGTAAAGCCTGTCCATTATGAATTGGCATTGGTTCTTGCCAAAAGTGTGACCACCTAAAGAAAGAAAGATATCAAAAGAATTATACAAACGTAACCAATAATTTTGTTAATGATTATAACTATGTGCTTATGTACCGGAAAGAGCAACGAGATCAGAAGGACGGTCGAGTCCAACTTTCTTGAAGCTTTCTTTAAGTTCTTTAAGGGTAAAGAATGGAGCAGGAAGGTTTATATTAGCAAGATCCATAAACCCTCTTAAGCCGTCTCTTCTTCCACTTTCAACAAACCATGAAGGACCTCCTGCCTTTACATATGTTTAATATATAGAGTCAACAAGATGGACTAAAACGTTTTGAAATGGCAAAAAGAGAATCTATGATGTATGTTTGTGTAGAATTGTATAAGATGCATATGTATACGTACCAAGACGACACCTTCTTGAGCTGCGATGGCGAGCAAATCAGCACATGAAACGGTTTTAGGACATGCTTTCTCCACAGCAGCCTTCATTTCATCGATCACGTCAAAGCCCCTAGCTGAATTTGCGTTTCCAAACGCATCTTTCTCCGTTCGAAATGATGTTGTGTTGTCTAACAAGATCGATGCATCACATCCCTATTACAAAACAAAATAGTTTCCTTTTGATTTAGTCAACATCTAACTGATATAGTAAATCACACTGTAACTATATATTAACTTATATTCAACATTTGGTAGGTATCGTTTTCATTTTTCTGTTATTATCATTATTACTAATATTATTACCAATTTACCATCGTGCTTAAAACAAGGATTATATCATCAAATCTACAACACAATCTTTGTGGAGTTATGTGAACTAATCAAATTACATGTTGTAGTTTATGCAATATTAAAAACTAAAAAAGATAAAACATTGTAATTATTAGAAAATATCTATAGGAGATTAAGACATTAACATGAGCAGAAGCCAGAAGCATTGAGTAATTATCATATTCATCATTAATTATAGTGGAAAAGCATACAAGAGACTAAATCTCATTAATGTCAAGCCATACCACACTAGCTTAACTATATTAAGGTGACGGTTTACAATTGAAGTATGCAAACAGTTCTTTTACTTGGGTTAAACGAAATAAGTTGTTTGACCTTGTTATTATATACGTGAATATGTTGAATCTAGTGGTATCTTACATTAACAAAGCAGTCGTGGAAGTGAAGACGGAGGATGCTCGCTGCGATGCGAGGGTCTGATCTCAACGCTTTGATAATGGTATTGGTTGCAATGTCAAAGACTTGCGGACATGTTTTGTCGTAAAAGGAAGAGCTTAGTTGAGCATGAGACAGCGACACATGAAGAACTAAACAAAGAGCCCCCAGTTTTATTAGGGTTGTCATATGGAAGGAGGAAGAAGAAGAGGAACGCATATTTTTGTTGGTCTCTGAAGACTAAAGATATACTATTTGGTTAAGTTTAAGTGTGTGAATGAAGTTCATGATAACGAGTCCTTTTATAGGCAAAAAGGTCTAACTTGGAGGCCAAAGAGTCTAACGAATCCTTTTATTTTAAAATCGAAAAATATCATCTAACTTGATGGCTTTTTCTTTTGTAGATCACTTAAAATATTTCTGTTCAAGTGGTCTATACATAGTCTATATTTACATATGGAAGAGGATACATTGTGTTATGCTAAATAATTATGCTGTTTTCTTTTTGGCATAGTGGTTTGAAGTTTAACAAAAAAAATCACTTTATCACGCGTTTCCAATACAGAATCTATTGATTTTCTCGCATTTTTAACACATTCAAACTCAAGTACTCAATATTTATGTAATTACTAAAGTGTGTACGTATTCTCTTCGATCAAGTTGGACATTTGTTGACCCCAAAAAAGTTGGACACTTTGGTCTATTCATTCAGCTAAGTTTTCTATGTATATATGATGCACTTATGATTGTTGTTAAAAAGGGAATATAGCAGATAAAAATAAGAAAACAAAAATCATGTATCAAGATATATGCGGATGTCTTTCAACATGTTTTTTTTTTTGTTAAAATCTTTGAATATGTTTCGGTTATCCAAATTGCCAAATTGATATAATGTATTGGTTTTGTTATTGCAGAATATAAAGATGAATGTGTCTAGCACATACCGATACAAAGAAGACCAAACAAAACAAAACATGTGCCTAGTACTGCGTTCTTTCCTCCATTATTAAAGATGTTTTCTGCATTTTCCACGTTAGAGTTGGTAGAGTTCTTGGTCTTTAACCTTTATCTTAGATTCTTAGCCATCGTATTAGGTAATGACCGAAATGTACGTCCTAGCCTCCCAGGCGTTGTTTATTAATATGATTGAGACCCTAAATTTTAAGAGTATTATCTTGGGAGCTATTTTTCTTCTTCTGTTTTTCAAAACACTGACTATCATCTTAAAAGATAGTGTTTTGAAAAAAAGAATAGTATCTTGTTATTTACTCAATTTTATTAACTTTTACATTGTTTCAACTTAAAACCAAAAAAAAATAAAATATATATAATGTTTATTAATGTTTGCAATTGACTGAAATTGCATTCCCGAAATAGATTAAAAATCAGTATAAAATTATTCAACTTTTTTAAAAAAGCAGAAAAATCTAAACCCTAAATCCAAATTCTAAACCTTAAACCCAAAAATCTAAACCATAAACCCAAAAAAGTAAACCATAATTTTGGGAAAAGAACCAAAATATAATGCTAATTTTAGTTTTATATGACATTTAGTTAGGTACACAAATATTTGTTCACAAAATTATTAGTTCAAATTGGTCATCCAAGTTTTTGTTTCTGTCCATTTTAGGATATTTGTTTCGTTAATGTTATATGAGAAAGAATCAAAATTTCAAGTAGCAAAGAAAGAGAGAGATACTGCCATTAATCATTTTTATTTTTATTTTATTGTCAAACCATTCATCAATTGTTCACTAAATTTTAGTATATTTTTTTTTTTCAAAATCGTTTTTGAAATTAACATTAACAAGCAAGCAATCATAAATTGTTGGAAAAAAGTTTTTATGAAAACATAAATTGCACTAAAAATAGAAAAATAGATTCACTGCATGGTCAAAAATAAATGTTAGTTCAGTTGCAATTGCACTGTCAATGTCATGCACCGTATAATGACGTAAAATTTTGACGATAAAGTTGCAAAAATTCATAAGAGAGAACTAAGACCATGCTTGTTAAGATGATCACATTTACATAAACATCTAAAAGTTGCATAGATCCCTATTCGTAAAACCTACATAAAACGCCTGCTCATGAAATCTTCTACGCATTAGCTATGCATGATCAACATTTTATGTGCATCCATCAATGATTGTACGTCTTGTTCTCCTTTAGCTTCATCTACCTTGATCTGAATGGCATTGTTGACTTTGTTCCTCGAAGCCTCGTCCCTCGCAACATCCTTCATACAAACGTCTTCTACAGCCAAGTTATTCTCATTTGTCTCACTCTCACCACTTGTACGCACATCAAAGCCCTTTCTTTCACTATAAATTTCAGATTCATTCTCTACAACCTCCCCGTTACCATCATCACCAACAACCATATCTCGCCTCTCGAGATACTGTAACCTTCTTTTAAACTCACCAAAGTCTATTTCCATCGTAGACAACTTTTCCTTCATAGTCAAGTTATCTTCCTCTAGTTGAGCAATATGACTATCGTGATCATCAACTCGGTTTTCCAAAACATTATGATTCGGATAAATCATCTCGAACCGGCTTAAATCCTGATCTAATCTCCTCTCAACCTCTACATGCTCATCTAATTCACTCTCACACGATCCTCCTTCATCTTCATCCTCATCATCATCGAAAGGTTCCATTTCATGTCCCCATTCTTCCTTCGCCATATCTCCCAAAACCTCTCTCGACGGAGAGAACGTCGGAGTAGGCAACACCGATGGTGTCCTGGACATGGAGACACTAAATCAGCAATGCCACCAGATTTCTTCGCTCGGATAATAAACGACGTTGTGTTCCTTGGAGCATAAGGAACGTATCTATTACCATACTTTTTCTTCGGATTAAACTTCTTGTTTTGAGATCGAAACTTGTTCACTCTGTTACCACCAGTGCTATGCATTCTCCTGACTGGATCCATCTTCTTATCTTCCCAATTGTGACAATAGTTATTAGGGTTTTTCAAATTAGGGTTAGGGCTAAAGTTTGGGGGATTCATCATAGCGTGAGGCTGACCTAATAACGGAGGATGGTTCATAATCCAAGACTGAAATACCTGTGAAGACGGAGGAATTTGATTCATAATCTGAAACGGCCGTGGATTCATCATATTCGACTCAACACAAGAGACACAAACACGAAACAAAAATCAAGCCCCAACAAGAAATTGAAAAAGAATAAAACCCTAATTTCGAAAATTGAGGGATCTCAAACGATTAATTGAAGAAAGATCAGTAAATCAGCGAGAGATCAGTTCCGATGTTTGGTAGTTGAATCGTTAAGACACAAACAACAGATCAAACAAAAGCAAAACAAGATAAACTCTTCGGATTTTGGTTGTTTTCAAGAGACGAATATAGATCGATTCTGTATCAGAATATCTTTGTTAATTTAACTGGACTATGTGTTGTGTTTTTGTGACTGATTCTTCAATAAATTTTTGCAGCAGGAGACAATTTGAAACTTTTTGGTAAAAGCAGTTCATGAGACGATGAAGATTGTTTATATAGAGGAGAAGGGAAAAGAATGAATGGCTGAGATGATAGAAGTCAAAAACAACGGCTAAGATGAACAATGTTGGTATTGGGCTTTGTAACCGCATTTTACTGGGCCCAAATATCTAAAGGCGCCTCCTTTTAACTAATTTTGGAAACTAAACTGAGAGATTAACAAATACTTCTTTGAAAATATCTTATTTTGAAAATGTTTAAGTTTCATATTTTAAATTTGTTTGTTTTCTATGCAAACCACATATTTATCATCATAGTTTGTTTTTTATTATAAATATTTTTAGTCATGGAGATACAATAATCATATCAAAGAAAATTAAACATGAAAACATGCACATTCATGGCCAGTAGAATTATCGATACATTCACAACGAGGATAATATGTATCTTGAATTTCAAATACGCATTGTTTGGCTCCCTCAGTAGGAGTAGGACTGCATTTTGTGTCGGTAAAGAGTGCAACAAGTTCAAAAGGACGATCTTCTTTTGCCTCAACTACATTATATCCACCACAAAAGATCAAATAATGAATAATATATCTTACATAAATAACAATATTTTTTATCATACAATGTTTACATAATATGGGAATAACCGATCAAATAACAATAATAATATATTACCTTGCGCATGATGCATAGCGAAGAACATAATAGCACAAAAAACTACAGATGAAATAGCAGGCTTCATTGCAAAAATTGATAAAAGATCGTTTATGTTTCTTGCAAAATTTTCTTGTATATCTCGTAATAAAAAATGTTATATCAACATTTTATATATATACAAGCACTTTTGTAAACATATAAACCTTCATAATAATTGTATATCTGACTATATTTAAACCAAAAACATAAAAACCTCTATATCTTGAATTATTATACTAACTTTCCAAATAAATATATCTTTTTAATAAAAAATTACTTTGAAAAATACAATGTTTTAATTAATAACTTTTGTAAAGTAGACTTCTTTCTAACTTGTCCAAATATTAAAATTAATGAGAATTATGGACAAGTTAAATTATTCATTAATAATTGTATATTTAACTATATTTAAACCAAAAAAACATAAAAATCTCTATATCTTGAATTATTACGAACTTTCCAAATAAATATATCTTTTTAACAAAAAGTTACTTTGAAAAATACAATGCTTTAATTAATAACTTTTCTAAAGTAGACTTGTCCAAATATCAAAACTAATGAGAATTATGGACAAATTAAATTATTAATTAATAATTGTATATTTAACTATATTTAAACCAAAAAACATAAAAATCTCTATATCTTTAATTATTACTAACTTTCCAAATAAATATATCTTTTTAACGAAAAATATACTTTGAAAAATACAATGTTTTAATTAATAACTTTTGTAAAGTAGACTTCTTTCTCACGAAAAGTCCAAATATCCAAAGGTGTTCTTTTGACTTATGAGAATTATGGACAAGTTAAATTATTATGACTTGTTTTCGAATCTCATATCTTGAGTTATTATTATTTATTATTATTTTTTTCATTTTGGAGAATTTCTACTTGTAATCCTAACCTTTGTATGGATAGCAAAATTACAAAGTTCACCGCATGAATAGACGATAAAATTTTGAGAAATTTTAAGAAATACACCTCTTGAGGTGCAAATTTCAAAACTACACCTATAGTGTGGAAATTTTCAAAAATACATTTTTTCCTAATTTTAATATATATGTTTGGATTCACTAATCCTAGATTAGGGTTTAGATTTTTGGGTTTAGGGTTCAATGTTAGATTTTAGGGTTTTGAGTTTATATTTTAGGGTTTTGAGTTCTTTTACTAAATGAAAAAGTGTAGGTTATATTTTAGGATTTTAGGGTTGTGCTTTGATTTCAGCTTAAATAGTGATCTTATTTGATGGAATATATATATATATATATATGTGATCACATCTTCACTAAGAGCATAGAAGATCAAGATCAATTCTTTGTTCAAAAGTCTGATCAAAATCGAGATCAATTCATTGCGGTAAATGTTTGTTTTGGTTTTAGACTAAGATTATTTGTGAGATTTGGTAGCGAAGTTTCTGAAATTCGTATGAGCTTGTGTGATTGGTGTCTGGGAGATTAGAATATCTATGGTATTGTGCATTTGGCTTCTCTAAGATGAGATTGTGTATTTGACAATGTAGCTCGAAAATGCGTGTCTCTATTTGATGGAATATATGTCTGTTTGATTCTCTCTTCTATACTCTTAGTTTTGCTTATTGTGGTCATGTATGTTCTAGGATCGAAAACAAATTAAAACTGAAAATAAGTGATTTTGCTCACTGTTTTTGTTTTTTCAATGATTTAGGTTAATATGGATATGGAATCATGGCACGTTTACAGATCATTTTCACAAATCTTGGAAACCCTCATGCTTTAGGACAAAAGCCTCTGACTTTTCCTCGCCAGGTCTTTACAAAAATTCTCTATACTTTGTTGACTAATTCAATCCTAGATTAAGCCTATAAAGATAAAAAATTTGCTCTATGCCATCTGCTAGATCACCCAAATGTTGGCGTGTTATTCCCAGAAGATGTTATTGCAAGAGCTAAGCATTATCTTTTCCTATACTTCTGGTGGTCTTGGTATGTCTTCTTTATTTCAACAACTCACCTGAGCTAGTTCTTGTTTAGGTTTTCTACTTTGTTTACAAGTAAAATTCTGCTTTATCAGGTGCTTTCTTGAGGTTCAATAAGAAAGCGATAGTAACCAGTTCTTGTCTCGCTAAAACTTTCTAAACTATTTGACTTATTGTCTTTCAATTACAACTTACAAACAAATGTAAAGACCAAACTCCAATATCATTGATACCCATAAACAGAAGAATAAACATCACAAATAGAGATTGTGAAAACATTACCGAAAGAATTGTTATCCACCACTATCAAGTCACAAGCCTAGAAATTTGCTTCCCTTGTTTTTTTTATTTTTTACAGATTCTCTGGTGACATTACTAGCAACTTTGTGTTTGCTGATCTCTGATGCTCTGGCTCCAATGGTCAAGAAGTGCTGATGCAGAATTGCATATTTTCCTGTCTTTGTGCCTCGTTAGATAAGCAAGCTTGTCCATGATCCGACTTGTTTCAGGAGCTGCTGAGCTGATTGGGAACTCGATGAGTAAAGAGAGAGTGTCCACACATATCGACGTCTCCTTTGTAGCCAAGAGAAGTCCCTTTGCGTTAGCCACATCTGCAGATTTCTTGGCTATCTCGAAGAGCTCCAACATCTCTGTTGCATTCTTTTCAGATACTTTCTTCTTCATCTGGAGAGGCCTTGATGTTTCTGGAACAGACTTGCAGCGAACGTCAGGCTTGTTCAGATTTTGCTTACTCTGTCTCGCTTCATGAGCCAGAGATCTAGGGTTTGTAGAAAGAGCGGATTGCTTCTTCGCTGCAGCGAAAGGCTTGCGATCATCAGTCTTCTTTAGGTTTTGTTTAGTCTCGCACACTTGATCATGAGCCCTAGATCTCTCAACTTTTTTCTTCTTCAGCACGGAAGGTACTTTCACAACACGAGCTTTGTTGTTGCAAGTAGAAGAAGGGTTTCTTCTTCTTCTTCCTTCGTCGGTGGAAGAAACAGTCTTCATCCAGGAACTTAACAAGACTTTAGCTCCCGTCCGAATCTTCGGGTTACTGTGATGTCTCAAACTCTCCAAAGGAAGTATCTCTTCTCTAGACACGCGACTAATATCCTTGTCTGAGAGATTCAGGCTCTTCAAGAATCGAAGGATATCTAAACATCTCTCGACGCCCTCTACGCTGTCTGAATTAGCGTCTCTGACTGCAATAGAAACCAAACAGTGAAGATCAGATCTCTCCTCCGTCATCTTCTTTGTCAGGTGTTGATTTTAGTTTTCGAATGGGTTGTGGAACTTGGAAAGAGGAAAGCAGAGAAAATAGGGTTTCAATCAGAGTATGGAAAAGAGATAGTTAAAGTCAGAGAGGCACAGAAACTGGACCCGATTGTTATATAGAGCGTAGAGAATCGGAGAAAGGATATAAAAAAAGAAGTTTCCCTAGGTCCCAAGATCATAGGTCGACTTGAAAACGACGTCGCGAGATTCTGCTATTTCCTTTTTTCTTTCACTCCCGAGGGTAAATGTGTCAGAACAAATATCTCAACGTTTAACAAAATCAAGGTGATGTTTAGACTTTAGACCATAACGATTTTGTCGTTGCATCATTAATTGCGTTTATCAAAATTAATTTCCAGCCTCGTTATGAAAACAGAAATATAGAAACTCAGGAAAGAAAAGAAATATTGAATTATGTCAAAAAAAAAAATAATAAAAAATTGAACCTCATTTCCAGGAAACCAAGAGATCCTAACGGTGATGGATTCTACACTTTGTTCAATGGATTTCGATCTCGAAGGACTCCAAAACGACGGCTTCCTTGTAAAGCAAGTAAGCATATCTATTTGGTAGACGTTGAGAAACTTTAAACGATATACTTTAGAATTTTTACTGTTATATATAATCTTGATCTCCCCCCTACGTTACTCTGTGAGTTGATATACCAGTATAGATCTTTTTCTGCTTTCAACTTGTGATTGTTGTTTCTTGCCGGAGACATGTACAAT